AAGCGCTAAGGTGATGTTTTACTGGCCCTTGACTTTGATCTTTAGTACGCACTGGATCTGAGCGGATTGTTACACACATAACGTCGGAGCTTTGTTGCTGGCTACCTAGTAAACCTGCGCCCTTTGCCGGCTTTAGATTCATTATTCCTTTGTAGTAGCGTCCCTGCACGGCCAGTGTATGTGTGACTTGGCAGCTTAGCCAGTGACTGAGTACTCTACTCAGTACACCACTGTATACAGCGTGTATGTACAGTAGTAGGACGGGAAGCGAAGGCGTTCGGTTACACTAAGCACTTTCAGTGTACGACGAGTGTGTCTCGTGAACGTTTCGGTTTCAGTTCGCTGAACACTCAAGCCTGGGCCTTGACTCTTGAGCGATGCATACCGTGCACTAAGCACGCTTTATGTTCAGTGTCGTTCACGGTTCAGCGCCATCTCCGCGGTCAGTGAGCAAAGCACGGTAGAGCACGCACAGAGCAGATAGCTGCTAAGTACAGTACTCTGGCACTAGTACTAGTAGTAGTAATGTCTTATGTTCGAAGTAGACAAAAGGAGCAACCAACGAGCGGAACTTCCTGCGGGGCTTGAGTTTTCTAGTACAAATTCGCAAAGACATCTACATGTACATGTACATGTAATTTTATAAAACCCTTGGAATTACAGTCGATATTCACAAGAAGAGCGGCGTACATTGATTGCTCGCACATTTACACAATGACATGCACCGACGCAGTACAATCAAGCCAGCAAGACAATACGAACAGTTTCGACTAATCTTGTTGAGAATCTTTTGTGTTGGAGGACTAGAGGCCTAGGTTAGTGCATGGCAGGGAAGGCCTTATGCCTTGTTGTGCCCGCCAGGTTAGCCCCGAGGGCCGTAGCCGGCCGTAGGCCCGAGGGCTAACGGGATAGACCTCGTCGCGTTCTTCTACTTCTTATTATTATAAGTTCTAGGCTAAAAAAGCGTACAGTGACCATGGTAACCGGGCCACATCCAGACATGTCGACAGATGAGTCTCCAATCTTGCTCTGCCTCTGAGTCTCTGACCCGTAGCCTAGGCCCTCGCCTCCGACTCGCGAGGTCTCGCCTGCCCCGATCGGGCTGGGAGTCATGACTGATAAACCATTAATTAAATTGAATCATAAAAAAAGAAAAGGAAAATTGGAGGCGTATCCAATTTCGAAAGAAAGATGTCAGCACCGACGCAATACACACAGTCAGGTAAGCCAATTTATTAACCGAACGTTTTCGTTCCCTTCTCATCATGGGTAAATGCAGGGAATAATGGAAAAATGTCAAATACAGCAACTTATAGAGCAAAAGCATAGATTGAGAACTCACGCTATACATGCACATGTGGAAAAAATAAAATTCACCTGAACAAGTCAACAACAGGGTGAAGGTGAAGAAATGACTAAAACATGATGAAAACTTCAATGAGAAGAAGCATTCCTGACACTTTCACGAGGATTAGCGCCAAACAACTGAAGCGACAAAAGTTTAAACATTTTCCTTCTGGACACATACATGTACACTGTAGTTCAGGGAGCAACTTGCGAATATATAACGCTTCCAAAACAGACAAATGTAATCCAGATCTGCCAAGGGCCAAAACTGAGAAAACATCAACATCATGTTTTAGTCATTTCTTCACCTTCACCCTGTTGTTGACTTGTTCAGGTGAATTTTATTTTTTCCACACGTACATGTACATGTGCATGTATAGCGTGAGTTCTCAATCTATGCTTTTGCTCTATAAGTTGCTGTATTTGACATTTTTTCCATCATTCCCTGCATTTATCCATAATAAAATAGGACTCCATTTCAAACCCGTGAACATACTGTTATTAGTATAATAATTTATTACTTCTTACAAACATCTCCCTAACCATGCTGACACTTCTTCAACAGTTCAAGTGATGCAGTCATTACGTGGAACTACAAGTACAACAGTTGCTACACAACTTACTTCACAAGTACAGTGGTCCCTCTATAATCCGGCACCAATTGTGACAAGGGAAATCTGCTGGATTAGGGAGGGTGCTGGATTAACAAATCTGATTGACTGCTGCAATGTGCATGAAGAGGACATTTTGGCTACTGAAAATTGTGCTGGTTTATCGAGGGTGCTGGTTTATAAAGTGCTGGATTAGAGAGGGACGACTGTACAATGATTACTAGTATTTAGAATCAACTCATAAAAACTCCAAGTCAATCTTCCATTGACACAAACCTCGTTTATTCAACATAATCATCCTATCCAATAAAAACAGTTCATAAAAATAGTTCATAAAAACAGTTCATAGAAACAGCTTATTAGGATCGGACCCAGTCCGCATAACCAAGAGAGCTAGCTCCCTTGGCTGCTGTTGGAATATGCAAGAATGGGCCTTCCAGATAAGGTCTAACAAGGAGCAGTGGCTATAGTTATGAAATGAACACCGGTAACCATGGAGACAGGCCACACTCTCATTATAGATACTGGTTATAAATAGACCCAATAAGGAAAATGATCTGATAGCCTATAAAGAGTAAAAGAAATTGAACCAATGACAACAAATACTCGTCCAGCACACGAGTTGTCATAGCAACACAAATAACAGCTGTCCACTAATTTTGTTGTTGGAGATTGAGTAGGAGTTTTAACTGGTTGATTCTAAATACAATAAATGAGGAGGCCGAGGGTTTATGACCAATAGTTTTTAATGGAAGTTTCCGGAGGAGGAAGGAGGAAACTGTAGTTATCACCAACCCTCACCGCGCCCAGCTCACGCCGCTACGGCGTGCGACCTGAGCTGGGCGCCCTGCCCAGTATGGAACTGTCCTCAAGCCAGTCACGTATTTGGCAGCCCAGTGAGCTGTCTACCGGATCGCAGCGTTTAGAAGCGCCAAATGCGGCAGGGCCAGTCTCAGGCTGGTCGCGTAGGCGGCAGGCCGGCGGGCGACCGGCAAGGCTGCATTCACATTTGGATGACCGAAGTGATACAGGTGCTTCGACGGCACTCCGTGGCGCATCAAGGAGGCATCTGGGGCCCAGGCAGCCCGCCCGTAAGCGCACCACCGTATCAGGTATGCGCAGGTGGAGCAGCAGAGCAAGATGTGTGCCGGACACTCACCATCATCCGGTCGACTGCATGGTTGTGCGACTTTACACAGCCGTCACTCATTACTTGCTATTGCTTGCAGAAGGCCAGAATTTTTTTTTTTTTCTTTTTTCGCTCTTTCCCTTCCTACAGGCACGGCTTCACGTTAGAGCAGTAAATTGCAGTTAGGGACTCAGCTGAGTCAAGCTGGACTCAGCGTGTCAAGTTTGGCATAATACAATAAGCGCGCTATCCCCAAACAGTTGTGTGGTTATTGTGTGAGTGTATATGCAGGAGTCCGCGGTCACGTGAGGGGGGAGTGATAATTGGTCATAAACCCAAGGCCGGAGCATTTAGGGACCATCGCAAAAGTTCGCAAAAGCCCCCGAAACGAAGACCGTGAGTTTCGGGCCTGACCCCCCTCCCTCCCCCCTCAAACGAAACGACATTCACAATACGGAGCATCAGCAAATCGAATTTTCGAGTGAAATTCGATAATCGTCACGAAAAGCTCTCAATCAGTCGCAACTAGGGCTTTGTTCGACTGAAAAATGCCCGGAAAGAGAAAATACTTTTCGAATACTTTTCGAATGCTAAGCGCGTGCTCTAGAAGAGTACACGCGTACACCTGTACACGGCGCACTACGAGTACTCATACTTGCGCATGTAGCTACTACAAGTAGTAAACTAGTTCTTACTACAATGATTGTAGTCATATACCATGTATACAGAAATCGAATCCGAAAACATGATTGTAGTCGTAGTTGTCAGTGCACATGCACAAGGCACAGTCGAACCGGACTTCACGCTTTCCTCTTTATCTCTCTCGAACTGTGAAACGTTTTGTCAAGTGTGCTTTTTGTTTCATTTCAAGATCCTGGAATCATGGTTTTTTTCACCAACTACCAGCCGCGCGCGGTATGCCTCCTGCTCCCAAAAGAGAAGCGAATCCAACAAATCGACTTGCTCTGCAACAAACGCAGCCATTGCACATCTCAAAATCCCAGTCCTCAACTACTCATGGTTGATAAATATGGTGGTAAAGACACACCTGGCAATATGGCGGTAAACACACGCCTGCCCTCCATAAGTACAGCTGCAGTGGTGTCTTGAATTTCATTCTCCCGAGTCAAGCTCAACTACTCAGGCTAGAAAATTGAACTCGATTCGAAAATACTGGACTGCGCTACATGCTGAACCTCTTTTTCATTCGAATTTTCGGTCTGATTTTCTCTTTGCCATTCGAATAATCAAATCGAAAATTCGATTTGCTGATGCTCCGTAATATGGGCTTCATTATTTCACTTGGATGCTGCACACATAATAATTATTATAATAATAATACTACACAGCAGGGGTTCATAAACCCTATCATAATTATCATCGGCCTATGAACCCCTGCTACTAGTACAGTGCTAGTACTAGTACTAGCAAGAGTCCATAAACCACGCGTTTTATGGACTCTTGGTACTAGACTACACACAGTGTACAGGCAGCCAGCTACGCGACACGCGCATGACTACGCGTCCTGACAATACAAGCGATCTACGCCGGCTGTGATGGCATGCTAATCTATATCAGCTCCTACATGTCGTCAATACTTTTTTGAATTGAAGCCCGGTTTGCGATTTTCGACACGACTCCCTCCCCCCCAAACGTATGCTCTTCGTTTCAGGGGCTTCTGCGAACTTTTGCGATGGTCCCTTATTGTATCAAGAGTCCATACTTGATTGTATACATAGATGGATCATCATGATGGGCCCTGATCAGGCTGATCAGGCTGATGCAGTAGCAACAGTCAGTAGTCACTGCCCGTCATTTGTCACGTCGAGTAGAGCCAGACTACATGACTGTAGAGCTACTAATACTATTAGTATTACTAGAAGTAGAGGTTCTGCTGGACGACATGGACTCGGCCAGTTCTCGTGGTTCTTGCACATCTCAGATTTTAGAATAATTATTGTTGTTTGTTGTTCATGGGATGATAGGTCCGTTGGATATGCACGAAAGTGTGCAGAAGAATTTTTAGTTCATTTTACTGCAATCTCTACATGCTCTGAAGTGAAGATAGCTTCCATCATGTTGGTCCTGCTTTGACGCAATGAACATGTTGACACCCGTGCTGTAATCACGAAAGAATGGCTACTGGTATGTCAATGGCAGCCAATGTTTGGGAGTGGACAGTGCTGACTTTGTCCTACAACCAGTCGTAGTGCATACCTTTATAGCAACGGTGGCTGGGTGCGTGAAGAAGAAGAGGAGAATTAAGTGCATTAGTTTGGAATGAGTGAAAACATTGGCCCAATTCAGCGCATTGGGACCGCTGAATATTCTGAAGTGCCTGACGATTGAGACGGCTGCTAACACGGTTGAATACAGCAAACAGGGGGTGCTCCACTCCAGTCTGACCGACGACCAGAGTTTAGACTAGGACGTGACGGCTATGGTGCAGGATGAAGTAGTGTCCGTGGAGGAGGAGAGTGTGACGTTGGGGCACTGCAGCCAGGAGAAGAGCGCCAGCAGCAGCGGGGTAGATGACGTGATTGGCGAATTTGACAGTGTGGGAGTATCGAGTAGGCCTTTTCAACGCATCCCTCGCATACGACTAGCTCTTCAAGTGATCGCGTGCATGGTGGCGTACTGGATTAGCTTTGGAACGGATCTGGCCAGTGGAATTGAATATGCTCAATTGATCCTGCCACCATGTGGCAGCGTGATGGATGGAAATAGCAGTGATACGAGCGATCAAATACGAAATGGTACATTGGTGTGGACAGCGACTATGACAACCAGTCTGCCCATGGCAGTGACAAACTCGAGTCTCCACACAGCCATACCGAACTCAGACAATGATGGTCTGTATGCGGCAGAGTGTGGAGGCTTTGGAGGGACGGCTACCCAAACAGGTAATGTTGTGAAACTGGGCCGAGCCCCCCCCCCGGAACATGTTTTGCCCTGCTATGCCTGAAATATCGTCACCACTGTAACCGGCTTCGTCGTTATTTTGTTGTACGCAGTACACAGATTTCATAGCTCTGCAAAGTTTGGTGAAATTGGAACCGAGCAAGAACGGCCAGAGTAAGCCTGAAACGTAGTACCGTGCGTGAGGACTGAGCTAAGCCAGCAGAGCAGACAGAGCATAATACAAAAGCAGTAGCTAGGTGCATTCATTGCAATACACCGAGGGAAATTATACTGAACATGCACCCGTTCGTATCCGGTGTGTTTGTTGTTTCTGCATGATTTCTGCAGCATGGGTGTCATCGATTGCAGCTGGCTTGCGAGTACTGACTGGGTGGACTGCCAGTGTTGTTATTGACGCATTCGGTGTTAGGCCAACAGTCATTGTAGCCAGTGTGACGTACAGTCTTGGAATGCTGACCGCCTCGTTCTCGACCAGCCTCTATCAACTGTACTTGTCGCGTGGAGTAGTGGTCGGACTGAGTGCTGGCTTCCTTCACACCGCTCCAGTTCACTGCCTGGCGCTCACCTTTGATCGCAGGATATCAATTGGCACGGGACTAGCGTTTGTGGGTGCAGGCATCGGTGTGATTGTGAACGGTTATGCAGGCAAGGAAATCATTGAAATTGCCGACTGGCGGTGGTATTACAGAATGGTTTCCGGCGTGTCACTCTTAGGTATTGTTGCTGCCTTCTTCCTCTTCATTGATCCCAGCAAGAGTGTTGAACATCCTAATGCCAGCAGCAATGCAGACACACCGGCCAAGCTGAACGGAACCGGCATCGGCACTACAGCACTACGCACACTACGGCATGGTTTCGTCGAGCTTGGCAGATCCGTTCGCAAAGGACTCATTCTGTACCGCGATGTGAACTTCCTCTTCATGCTGGTAGCGTACCTGTTCTTCTCACTGGGCTACATGTTTCCAGTAGTGGCAGCTGTAAGTACATCCAACCACCGTCACCCTACTACCACATGATCTTGACCATGTAGCGTGACGTTGAACGTGTTACCTGCTGTAAGATTACGGTGCAACTTATCTGTTACTTTGTCTGTGCAGATGCCAAAACCACCAAGGTTGGGATAGCAGCAGGGCCCCTCCACCACTTTTCGCATTCCTTCGGGAGCATAGTTGACTTAGCAAAAAGAAAAGAAAAAACCCACTTGTACTTATTGCTTACCAGAACTGAGACATGTCTGGAGTTAAACAATTCTAAAGCATCGGTGCAAACCTTGGATGCTATTTCAGCCTTTCTTGTTGCTGTTGGCATTCCATTCATTATAGCAAGGGATACAGACCATGTTTTGTCAGTATTGTGATGACTGTGAGAAGATATGCAATACTTGAATTCTAGGAAATTGAATCCAACAACTTAGCCAACACGTCATGTAAAAAATGGCCTGAAACAAAAAGAATGAGAAATAGCAGAATGAACAAGGTGATATTCTCTCTCAAAATAAGAACTGTAGGTTCAACGTGAAAGTTTCCTTTGACAAATTCTCTGCGTTGGTGAATCAACTCGCCCGCCTGAGATTATGGGAGTTGAATGGATGAGGGAACGGAATGTGTACCAAGCGTATTCCAGAACAAGGATGGGTTCAAGGCAGATGTATATACTTGGAGCAGTATGGTTAAGTTGAGAAACTTTCTTCCTATCATACCCTAGTTTCTCGTCATATTGTGTTGAGTTTGCCGGTAAAAGAGGCTGTAATACTGAGAAAGTCACCACATTAACATGCTTTAATAGATTGTTCGGTGTACTCAGAACTGTCCTTCATTTTTACAATAGATTTTTTGGTATTTTCTACCCAATCTGGCTTGTTTCTTGTGTACACAGAGCCATCGCTCACGGGAACTAAACATCACAAGCAGTAGTCCATATCTACAGGTTGCTTATGTTGGCTACGGTACTTTAGCCGGTGCCATTCTGGTAGGAATTGTTGGGTCTTTGTGGCAGCTTCGTGGAACCCTTACGCAAGGCATCTGCCTTTTCCTGATGGGATTGAGTACAATGCTGAGTGTATTTGTCACAAGCCGATCTGGACTGACTGCTTACAATCTGATCTTCGCACTTCTGTCTGCGTGTGCCGCTGCCTTGTGTGGCCCGGCATCGCGGGAAGTAGTAGCAGCGGACATGACGGTGCACGCCTTGGGCCACTTGTACTTGATCAGTGGAGTACCGACCACACTGGGTATACCCTTGTCAGGTGAGTAGTCTTCTACTGCCGCTTTAACACTCCATGGACTGTTTTTTACACTGTGTAGTCGTTTAGTTCTGACATTCATCAACCCCGTCATTGTGCAGTGAAAGCACTGAGGTAACTTTTAAATGTGGACGGCGGAGTCAATTTTGATCAATTATCTTACAAGAGGCTGTTATGCTACAGTTACATAAATAGTAAAGGAATATTCTTTGTACACTGTAGTATATGTGTGGTCAGGGGCGTCGGACACGCTAAGGTCACTACGGTATTGACTGTATCACTTTTGCCCCAGGTGCCCCGTGAATCTATAAAATGCGATGATTTGGGCTCTAAACTTTGACATTTTTCAGAGGAACTACCCCAACTCTACAAGTAAATTGCACTTCAGGTGGTTGACCGTGCCAACCTAAGTTACCTTCCGACGCCCCTGAGGGTACTGACCAACAGGATGTCCACGAACATTAGGTGCATTCCATTTTTAGTGACAGGGGGGAGGGGGTGTTACTGGAACATTGTATTGTATCCGGTTTATTTCCTGGATCGAAACAGTTTGCGGTCTTCTGCTTTCTCACTTAGGATGGATATACGACACAACACAGAGCTACACGATCCCGTTGATATTCGGCGGAGTGATGCTAATTCTGGGAGCCATATTCTTGCTCATAGCCGATGTCCGCATTTATCGACGGCGGAAGCGGCCAGGAAAGCCACTTTCACACAGACAATCGTCCGTTGAAAATGCCTTCGAATTTTCGCACCCGGATTCTAGTCCGGATTTTGTCGCTGTTTTAGATGGCACTGTATGACACAGGGATGGCTGCTAATGCACACTGTATTACTGTGCTTTTAAAGTTGCACAAACTCGCAACCAAACCAGTGAGTGATGGAAGTATACTTCACCTTGCTTTGTCACAGTTTGGTTAGAGAAGATCTTTGCCACTGTCGCAAGCAAGTTCACATGGAGCAGAACTACCTATACCCAATTTATTTATTTACTTGAGTACCGTAATCGCGTGAATAGTGCCCCTGGGGCACTATTTTTCAATTCTGGTGCATTTGCGTCATCCAGCATATAACAAAGCAAAACAGCCGGAGCCTAAATGTTGCTATAAACTATCACGACTCGACAACAACGGCAACAAGAACTGTGATTTTGATCCTGAAACCACCAGTGCAATGACATGGACGAGAACATTAGCAAAAGGACACCAAACTTGCACATGCGCCTGGTTACAAGCTCGGGGAGGGGGGGGGGCACTATTCTAGAGAGGGCTTTTTTACTGGCTCTTAGAGACCGGGGCATTATTCGAGATAGGGCACTATTCAAGAGCGGGCTCTAATCGCTCGAGTATGGTAGGTCATGCCTTGCCCTGTGCCTCTACATTTTAAAAGTTAACTTCAATATTAAACACTTTTCATCGTTTCAATCACATAGTTATACTGTCTCATCTCCGTGTAGAGTATGTGCATGTGCGCCAATGTTAACCCCTAGGTCTCATGAGTGCATTCGTGCTATTCAGGCAGCTTCTTGTTCAGCAGTTGCTTTGTGTACAAAGGTAACAGCTGCCTGGATGCCGGTCGTCCGTATCTGTATCTTAATGCCTCCATTAATTGTGTGTGATGTTGGTGATCGTAAAAGGTGCATTCAATGATTCAAGTATGTGGAGTGGTATGGTAGGTATGGTACGTATTGACCGAATACGATCCATTCGAGTCTTTCCAGTATCCACATCGATCCGAGGAGTACTACTACTCCCATTGTTGGTATCAATGTTGAAATTTGAAGGATGGAGACGTGGAGGTGGGGCCAATGCTGCTCACACACCTAGCCAACCTCACACCAGTGGTCCTGGGTTAGCATGAAATTTGCAGCAAGGGGGGCAGGGAGATAGGCCAGGGTGAGCAGGGAGTAGTGCTTTTTTTTAGTTGAGTCGTATGTTCGATTGACTTCTGGCGTGCTCTGGATGACACTGAGTCGTGAGCCAGTCAAGTTTCAAGTCATGTTGGTCAGCTTTGTTTTGAATTATAATTATAAGAAAAAGGAATCATTGCGGCTATGGAGTAGGCCTGTCCGGATTATGTTTTGCATATTTTTCGCATATTGGGTTTTTTCAGCTTTTTTCACTTTTTGGGGTTTTCAGCATTTTTGCATTTTGAGGTGATTTCTCATGCATGCAGCTGATCAGCACTACAGTCCATTCAGAAAATGATGAGCGCTGGCTCTGGAGAGCTCCCGTGTTTGGTGATTTTGCCAGTGCCGCGAGATTCTAAATTTAAAAAAGGGTCAAAAAGGTACCCCAACTGGAGTTTGAACCGCAAATGTACTGTTCTGCAAGTGGAGTGCATGGGTTTGATTTTCATGGTTTTTCCCCAATTCAGTGCTTTGGGGGCAAAACCTGGCCGAAATCCTATTCTTGTTATGGCTTGCTCTTTGGAGAAATATACTTCAAAAACAATTGGAAGACCATTCCATGGGGATTGCCAAAAAAATTGTGACAAAAACTCAAAATTTGACCCATTTATGGCCAAAAGCTAGGATATCATTTTCTGAATGGACTGTAGTACTAGCACATTTCAAACTGCTCCAGTGTATCTGGCTGCCGTTGTCACTTATCACCTCATCAGTACACAACGACAAGGGATTCAAGTTTTACGCCATTTTGGTTGCCATGGTAACGGCAACATAATTTTCGTATTTTGGGTGAAATTTTGAATTTTTTAGCATTTTGGGTAAACTTTTCTAAGCACTCGCAGACTCCATTGCAGCCACTCACGTCACACATTACAGGGTACCTCACTTCAAACTCTCCAACTACGCGGTCTCTTCGCTGCATAAGTTACTAAGTAACTAGTTCACTTCACCATTGCTGCTACCCTCCACACATACAAACATTTCCATCACTCCCGCACCACACAGTATAATACTCGTTTCAGTTTTTGCTGGCTTTAGTTGAATGGTTTTTCACCCTGAAGATGGGCCATGCCCGAAAATTTGGTGCATTCCATTTGTATCTAATAATATTAGATACAAATTATTTATTTTTTTGGAAGTGAAGTGAACTTATGCAGCGAAGAGACCGGAGAGTTTATGAAGTGAGGTACCCTGTTGGGTAAATTTCCAAAAAAATGAACATTTCCATTTTGACCCTTCAAAAAATACATACAGGTAATCCGGACAGGGCTAGCCCTGTGATGACAGCCGGCCATCATCTGACCATGGTGCCATGTTGTTGCGGCTCTGAATCTCCATACGAATCGTGAGCAGGTGAGATTATCATCAGATACGGACACCGCCGAATCATAACAATGTCAGCGTTTATGAGGCTCTTATGTCAGTTATGACATTGTCTTGACGTTGCCTGCGTTTCTGTCATCAAAATTATTGTAGATCTACTAGTAGCAGTAGGACAGGTGGCTTTTTTCAACCGCTAAGTTAGTTACTCTTTCAGCGTTCTCGGCGATATTTGTTCTGGCTAGTGAGTCTGCGAGCCTGCGAGCCGGTGTTCCAACTAATTACTTGCAAGGCCAGTTGGTTGGTGCAGCGCTTGGTTTGTATGAACACCGATATTACCCTGGACCGATACTGCCGTCGGTCACAATCTGGTATCTCTGAATGGATTGCAAACGAACTGTATCAGTTGCCCACGTCTTGTAGTCTTCATTGGGTCACAATACATTAGTAGCCCGTAATGAAGCTAGCAGGGCACTACTTGGAATTAGTGGCTTGGAAACGCCAATGTTCCGGCAATGCTCCGTCGAATTTAGCTGAAGCTAGCAGACTCATGTGGCAGCGACATTGCGGACAGATGGGGATGGTTGGTGGATTGAAAAGTTGACCATAGCAGTTGATAGTATTTCCTGCAGCAGCAGCAGCAGCAGAAGGATGCAGCAGCTGTCTTGCACCAGTTACTTCTGAGCTCCCAGAGCGGTAACTCACCTTAGTCATAGTGCAGACTGCACTGGCACCTCAGCAACGAACTATTACTGTATTATTATATTACGCATAGCCAACCCAGACTGGTTGCCAGACATTATAATTATATCGTTGCATGTGCTGGAGGCAAAATGGCAGATGGAAGAGCCGAAACGAAATCCGCGTCTGAGGCTGGGAGCAACGTACAAGTAGGACAGTGGAGGAAGCAATCAGGCCGTGCACTGTTGCAGCTCTGTGGAGCATTCATGTTATACTGGGTCAGTTACGGAACTGATCTGTCGGATGGAATCATTTACGCCAGACTCATTCTACCTCCATGTGATTCATCGAACAACACTGTACGGCAGGAAAGTGGCACTGACAGGAGCAACGGGACAATGGCGACTAGTACTTCCTGGACTGATATGGCCACAGCGAGGCTCATCATCTCTCCCTCTCCCTTGGTTCTGAACAATGAGACGAATCAGAGTGTACCCCTCCAGCCATGTGGTGGATTTGGTGAAGGTGCCTCAAGAACAGGTACAACTAGATTACAATGTATATTTTCACTCCGGATCAATTTGATATACGTGGCAGGGTGCATTTGGACCCTGTCAATAATTTGCGAAATTATCTCACTGCCAATTTTCTGATATGTGAAATTGTGAAGTAACTGTAATTGTCACAGAAGCCCAATTCAAAGTGACATAAGTCTGATCACCCTATGAAGTGGAGCATGATGAAAATGGGGAAGGGATGCTTTGAGTGCCCATGGCGGTCATGTGTGTGTATACAGGGGCGTCGGACACGCTACTGTCACTACGGTATTGACCGTACCACTCTTTGCCCCAGGAATTGATAAAAGGCACTGATTTGGGCTCTAATTTTCGAATTTTTTCAGAGGAGACACCCCAACCCCACGCGTAAATTGCACTTCAGGTGGCTGACCGCACAGCCCTAAAAGACCTTCCGACGCCTCTGATATATATGCGTGTGTACATGTGTATATATGTGTGTATTTGTTTGTGTTAGTTTGTGTGCGTGCTTATGTGTCATGCACATAGCCCGGGGGGTCGGGGGGTCAGAGGGTATTGACGACCCTCCCTTTCTCCTCCGACAGCCATGACAAATAATTGAAATGACCCTCGTTTTAGACATCTGGTCACCGTCGTATTACTCGAAGTATATTACATGTATATCATGACTGTTTGCCAGTTGTGTGGGGTATCACCCCCCCCCCCCCCCCCCCTTCCCCTCTCTCCCCTCCTGATAATAATCTGATGATACCATTGAGCAGTGTGTAATAGTGTCTTTGCATTAGCAACACTGTCATCCAGCTGAAACTTGTCTGCTGATCTGCTTCTGTACAGCTTGGATCACATCTCTATCATCAGCTGTGCGTGTTGGACTGGCATTCATGGGTGGTGTCTTCATCGATGCATGTGGTGTTCGGGCGACGGTCATTGTTTCCAGCGTCTTGTTCAGTCTTGGACTCGTCCTCAGTAGCTTTGGGACGCAGCTGTACCATCTCTACTTGGCAAGAGGTATCCTGTCAGGAATGGCTTCAGGAGTTATCTTCTCCACGCCAATCCACTGTCTGGCCTTGTCATTTGACAATCAGATTGCTCTGGCCACTGGAATAGCCTACACTGGATCGGGAGTTTGTGCCATTGTGTATGGGTATCTCGGCAAGGAAGTGGTTTCTGCCGGCGATTGGCGTTGGTATTATCGAATGGTCGCTTTCTTTGGTCTGCTGTGCATACCAGCAGTTTACCTAATGGATATGAGGCCGCCTTCTCCTGATATCAAGAGCCCTCCAGACCATTATGCCGCAGAAGGGCATCAAGAAACTGGTGTAAAGGTGGCATGCTCACGGGTGCTTCAAAGATTAAGGCAGGGATTCCGAGACTTATTTGAGTCGCTCAAGAAGGGCAGCGTCTTGTACCACGATGTGAACTTCCTCCTGATGAGTGGATGTTACTTCCTGTATGCCATGGGATATTTCTTTCCTTTCATTTCATCGGTAAGGTCTGAGCAGTGCGTTTTCACTTCAAAAGTTAAGGAATACCATACAGATTGATGAGACTGTACATGTTATCAAGAGTCCATAGCCCCAAGAGTATGCAACTCCGCACGTGAGGTCTGGCGTGACGTGCTGCCCATATTACGTAGTCAAGAATCGGGAATTAGTTAGGGCATTGCATCAGTATTCATCTGCTAGAGTTTGAAACTTCCAAGTACTTTTTCTCTGAGACTTCAGATTTGCATGTGATGTGTCGTGCATAGGATTTTCTTATGAACCTTCCATATCATTCATGCAATCGTTGCTCCTAAATGTAGAAAAAGTCCAATCCAGTAGGCTTGATCATCATTTCAGTATGTAATGAAGGCAGCGTCGCTCGGGGCATACTCTTGGGGTTATGGATTCTTGATGCTATGTCCAGTGGCTCTCAATATTAGTGGTGTGCACAGGTAGTCGGGTACTCGTGCTACCCGTGAGGACCTCGGGTAGACGGGTAAAGAATAGTACCCGAAAACCCGAAGTCGCAGATGACATCATGTACAGTGGACGTGTACAAATTCATGTAATACTCCACATGTCTACCCAGTGCGTGAGGGACGGGGTGCGTTGTGGTGTTGCCATGGAAACAATACCCGATCGGGTACCCTTGCTGCCCGTGGAAAACTAACCGAGCCCGATACCCGAAGAAAATGCTACCCGACTCAGCCCTACTCTATATGCCTTTGTTTACATGGCTGACCCCACATACATCATAATGTGCTCAGGATCACACTCCATCGGTTCATGTATTGATCTTTCTGAATGACTTTCTCTTGGGGAAAGCTTTTACTGTACAAAGCACACTAGACACACACGATACATGTCATCATCAGCATGGTGAACTCCAGTTAGACCCTTGGCGTATTCTGCCGGCAGAAAAAACTGGCAAAATTTGGTACTTTTCTGATACTGTAAGTCAACGGCAAATATCCGGCGCATATTTATTTTCAGCTATTTTCGGCGGGGTTATGCTTGGCCGAAAATATGTTGCGGCCGAAATTTTGTTTTCCAATGTTCAGTGTGACAGTGTATACAGGCGGCAGCAGTACAGGCCGAAAAATTGATGCTGCCGAAAGGGGTTTTAGCCCTGGGAGACCGAAATTTGAATGTGCCGAACATTTGTAGACTTACAGTATGTGCCATGCATGTTTAGCTTATTGATAAGAAGAGGAGCAGAATACAAGGAATCCCCCCCCCCTCAAAAAAGCTCTGGATGGTACTGCCATTTTCACTGGTTTTTGAGCCAAATCTGCCGATGTTTCGAGCATTTTCTGCCAAAGCCTAACTCCAGGAGCATATGACCACATTAACGTTTCAACTAAAGCAGTGTAGGATGTACTTGAAGTCAGTGGTTTCCATTCTCCAATGTGTTGAGAGTGTGTGATTACGTGTGTTACCACAGCTGACTGTTTACAGTTGATGGTATAACAATTTTTTTTAACTGTTTCCAGCTGCATGTGGTTGATCCTTTGTCTACCTGCAGAGTCACCGTTCCAGAGCTCTTGGCATACAGAGCTCCGATGTGTATCTGCAAGTGGCCTACATTGGGTTTGGAACAATAGCCGGTTTTCTTCTCTGTGCTGCAAACGGCCTATTGCTCATTATGCGCTGTACTCTCTTCCAGGCCCTATGTCTGGCTGTGATGGGCTCATCTATGCTTCTAAGTATCCTGGTCGAGACTGAGAGTAGCCTCACTGCCTATAACATATTCTACTCTGTTATCAGCGGTGCATGCTCGGCAGCATGTGGCCCGGCAGCACGTGAAGTGGTCTCGGCTGAGATGACCGTGCACGCGTTTGGCCATCTCTACCTGCTAAGCTTCCCAGCCATGGCACTCGGCCCACCAATAGCAGGTCAGTTTATCGGAAATTTCAACTGGGTACTCACTGCTCCGAGTTAGAGCAACATGGATGCAACTGACGAGGTTTCGTCCCTTGTTGCCAGGGGCACTAGTTGTGACACTTACCGTCTTAATTTTTCCGCTAGGCACTGCATCTGCCACCTTGGAACGATCAAGCATGGTGGTGGCCTGGCACGAGTGAAAATTCCTAAGCTGGTTGTGTTTCTCTGCACAATTATGTAGCTGGTAACTCATACTTCGAAGTATGTGCGACGAACCTTACTTAGCGGTTCACACAGAGATGGTGTGCTGTACGGCGCTTTATAGACAGTGGAACTCGGATAAGACGTGCTGCCTCAGGGAATGCAAAAAGGTACGCAATATCCGAGGTACTTCTTATCCAAAGTTGACTCCTGCAGCCCAACTAATACGATACCATCATGTGCAGTATGTCAAAATGCTCGAAAGTATTTACTGCACTCAGGAATGAACGCCATTAGTGCCACCAAATCAGGCTTCCAGAGCTGGAAACAGCCTCCTCTGCACTGTCAACACACTAAAGTATCTGTCAAGCAAACTGGCATACCTGCTAACCATCCCTATTTGGCCGGGACCGTCCCGATATCGAGGGTGGTAATAAGCACCCAAAAGTGTATTTGTCGCATGCTTCACCGCTAAATTTGTATACATTTTCATACCTAGGTATGTCATTGTCCCGATCTCAGGTTTGCAAAGCCTGGGTGCAGGTATGAACATGTTATATGTAGTAACTGTGTATGAAAACACCAACATAGTACGTAGTATGCGAGGCCAGCTCTGTTGGGACTTGCTGAAAGTCCGTCTTAGGTGGTGATTATATGTGCAGCTCCAGCCCGGGCTGGTCGACAGGCGGGCCAGCCCGCCTGCAACGGAATCTCGGGCTTATACACAAATCCACACAAAACCTGTTGTGCGTTTACATGACAAGCGGGCTGGCCCAGCGAGGCGGGATCCCGCCCCGAGGCACCCGGGATCCCGGCTAGGCGGGCCATTATAAGCAGACTAGCCCAGGTGGGAGTTGCATTATTATGGTGTCGACACTGCGTTCATACTACAAAATATGTACTTTCACCTTTTGAGGGAAGTTAGTAGTGTGTTCGTTGCATACTCACAACGGGCTGGCGTGTGTTCAGCGCATATAAACTCACAACGAGCTGGCGACCAGCCCGGCCGTGCACATGTTAACACCCTTGGTCCGCTCGCTCCAGCCCGGGCTGGAGTTGCACATATAACATTTTAATGTGCCCTTACACGAGCGTTGTGTCTTATCAGAGTACGTCGTATCCGTGCACATTTTGTATATGCGCTTATGGGAGGAAAATCTGTGCAACGAGAAAGGACCGTACTAGCGCAGGTGTACAGTAGGTCTCACCCGGGTACGTACTAAGTGAGTTCCATTGTATTCTGTTTCACTGCAGGATGGATTTATGACCTTACTCAGAGCTATACGCTGCCATTGGTGTTTGGCGGTTTGGTGCTGTTCCTAGCAGCAGCCATGATACTCATTGCTGATGTTCGCATCTATCGACAGCGGAACCGATCTGCAACAATGGATAAACGCAAGCATTCAGATGGCGCCATTGCACTTACAGGTAGGGGTGAAACTAGTGAATATGGAACGAGCACTCAAGTTATCTTACATTGTACAGTCCAGTTATAAGAAGATGAGCGTTGGTTCTGGCGAGCTCCCGTTTTTGGTGATTTTTCGTGATTTTATCGTACACGGTGCAATGCCGCGAAATTTGAAACTTGCGAAAGGGTAAAAAAAAGGGACCTCAACTGGGGTTCGAACTGCGCAATGTACTCCTACTGCTGTATAACCGGAAAATTTCGGCAGGTAATTTTTCCTAAAACAAAACGAGACCCAAAATTCAACAATGCCATGTCACACGGTGTGCAAAATTCTTTTTTGGATCTGGAAAACTGGTTTACCGAAATTTTGGCTACCGAATCGTTGACTTCGGAAAATACCGAAGCCACATGTCTCCTTTACGATTTGTTTCGATTTCTGCCAATTCCTACTTCCTCCGCCCAAGCAAAATTTTCGCTTATCTTTACACTTTTTACTGATATATTCCAGGTTCTCAGAATGGCTCCTAACGACTCAGAATGAGTTGAGGAGTCGTTGAGCATCAAGAGAAACAGGCTCTCCGAGTCAAAACATCTAGAAGTCGTCCATTGTCATCAGCCGACGCAGTACTTGTTGTCGGGTAGTACTTCGCACTTTCCAGAAGCGCAAATACTTCGTATCGACACTTTTCCAAGCGCTTCACCTCCTTCATGAGTATAATCGGTCGTGTTTCTTACCAGCCGAAGCGGACGAGCTCAGCGTCGTTTTGCTGGATCGTTCACGTTGACATCAGGCGAATGAGCTGGGTGAGTGACAACCCTGTCATCGAAGCCCTTCTTTTCCCCCTGTTTTGCCCAGTACCAATTCTGGTTCATTTTTGCAGTATGTGGGCGAGCGTCGCTGAGTGGCTTTCTCAGCTTCAAGCTGACGTGCATTTTTTACCGTACACACATCCTGTGCCGGATGCAATCAAACACGCTGGCTTTTCGCAACATGACACCTCTGCTCTGTACTCCAGTGGTACTCTAGCAGCACCCACCGTTTTGTTGACTGACTTCGTGTCTTTTTTACCAGTTCACTCGCGTTCAACGCGCTCTTCTCTAGGTGTTTCTTTACTCTTTGCCGACTTGTTTGGAACTGGTACGCCTGAACCAGCAGATGTGTGATGGTGAAGTGCACAATATGCAAAAATGGCTGTCACACACCTGTCATTGGGCTGAAGGAGATAAGCGAAAATTTTGCCTGGGCAGAGGAAGTACATTCAATTAAACCCGCGAATATTCTAAATGAATATTCTCAATTATTCGTTTACACGTATATTCGTTTCAACACTAGCAGTTTACAAGGCAAAGGATGGTGCCATACTGGCCGAAATGAGAAAAAACAGTGAGTAAGGTAAAAAGTCATTTGGTGAAGATAGATTTCTCAACGTTTCTGACTGCTACTTTTGTCTTCATTCACTTGCCGGTTGTTCCATCAACATGACAATATCAAGACATTGGCAATGGAATATCTTTGGTGCAAGCCCCAGTTCTAGAAAGTGTCGGGGAAAGCATTACTTTAAAAACAGTACTTCAGGAAGCATATGTGCGGGTCCGGAGAAGGGAAATTAGTCATTATTCAACAATCAAGAGCATGACAGCCGCTGGCATGATCTTTAGCAGGGCCAGTGAGATACAGAAGTATTAGTTGGAAAACAGCAAATACAATGTATATCATGGTGCTCTAGTTCTGGCACCAGGTGTATGATGTACATGTATGATGATGTAAATTAGCAAAGAAGTATACACGTGTACTTGTAGCATGCAAGGGAAACTCAAGACAGTCGTGTATTTTTAGGCTTATAAGCTAACAGCAACAGGTCACAAGTGTCCCGTGCAGCATACAGTAGTGCATGTACATTGTACATGTACTTGTACATGTGATGTAGAGTAGTCCGGTAGTCAGTTACACTACTTAGTAGCAGTTCAGTTCTTTGCATTTGAAGCAAGTGTGTTAGTCATACACGTATACACACAGGGGCGGATCCAGGGGGGGGGGGGGGGGGGTTCGAATGAACCCCCCTGATTTTTCCGACCATAGTTGGGTGTGACCACTAACGGGTTAACCCATGCCCATGCGACGCATGCGCCCCATGCTATGGCCCAGTCGGCCCAGAGCGGGCCGCTAGCTATGCAGCTTGGTAGATCTACATGACGTTGTACATAATTGTTGTCTTGAACGTAGATACAACGTAAAGTAAATCTGCACTGAATGTACAGCTACGCGTTCGCTTCGGAGAAAGAGCTGCATGCATTTGTTGAGCTGCTGCGGAAACTCCGAAAGTAAGTTTCAAATGCTAGTTTCTGAACAGTGGCCGTGCAGTGCTGTAATTGTCGTCACGGCTCGTGCTTTTTGAGCTGTCTTAGAGTTCGTAGAAGCGTGTAAAGAAGCAGGCTCAAGACCAGCTGCCCTTGAATTTTGGTGACACTCCAAAGAAAAGTGTAGCCACTAGTGTCGAAGGTAAAACAAGGAGTGAAACTTTGAAAATCACCTTCAAATTCAACGTCCCATCATCCAATAATCAAAATTTCTCCGAACTGGGGACAATTATAACTGAGACACGAAAGATGCAGGAACCCTGCCCTGTGGAACCTACTGTACAGTGGAGTCAACGTCGGGCGGCTCGGAGTGCAATATTACGGAAAATTATTACAGACGACCTGCTGGAGAAAGTACCAATCAGCTATTCTGCAGCAAAGAAATTTGAAAATTTCTTCCGTGTGCTGCGTGTCTTTAATAATGTTTTAGCTGCAGAGTGTTGAAAATAGGGGTGCTGAAGTAGTTTCATTTGTATAGCAGCTGGCATATTTAAGTACAGGATGCAATATACAGTACATGTGGGCTGTCGTGCTGTACCGAAAACGCGAACGTGTGAACTTGTTATACATGTACATGTGTATGTCATCAATAACTCATCATTTCGTCAGTGTGGGTAGGGTGGGAAAAAATTGAACCCCCTTGGAAAAATCCTGGATCCGCCCCTGACGCATGGTATATGTAAGCCTTGTTTGATAGGCTAACATGTTGATCGGTTGCCAGCATGTTACAAGGCACAGGACGCACTGCGTTGAAAACAGTGCCCCTGACTACAACCAGCAGAGCCCCGGTCTTGCGATCATTTGAACCATATGAGGTCTGGCCCCGGTTCGGACCCTCCTTTTACTAGGGAGTCTTTAGTCAGTCGTCACGATATTTTTGTTCGTTGTTGGATGTGAGTCTTGTGTAATTTCCTCTCCAATCGCTAATCATTTGGTTTGTAGACTTGTCAGCGTTGTTCTAGGTTTGTTCTGTTTTTGGCTATTTTATTGTTTCTGTTTGTTCTCTTTCTTCTTCTTTTTGTTCCTTTTCCTTTTTCCAACTTCTGCCCATGACGTCCTTCCCTTAGGTCGTCAGCTGCTCGACACCTGGGTTGAAACCAGCCTGTGAAACCGAGGCCAAGTTCTACATCAGAGGTAATCAGTGGCTACGGTTGTTCACTCTACTCAACACCCCCTTCCCCCCAGGGCTCCGTTGGCTAACATTTCACACAGTACAAATCAGTTAGGGTACCAAAGATCAAAATAAAACCCAACACAGACAGAAGGACGAGCAGTTGCATTTTTGTTACTCTGGGTTTCGCGAGCTGAATCGATCATCAGACGATAATAAAACCCAGCAATTGTTCAGTGTAAAAATGAGGTATTTTAATTCAAACGAGCTGCCTAGACCGGCCTTGTTTGTAAATTCGAACAAATATTATTTTAAAAAGGCGACGAGGAGACAATAACTTTATTAATGCGATTAATAGTATAAGTGAAGCGGACATTACAAAATGATGAATGAGAATACATGTATCTAAAATGGTTGTTCCTAATCGATTTTCTTGAGACTATCATCAGGGAAAGTCGTCTCACAATAGAGGCTATACGGAGAAACAAACTACTTATAGGTTAATGGATAGTGGGAAGTATACAAGGTGAGGTGTGAAAAAAAAAAACTAAAGTGGGAGAGAAGACGAAAGAAATTAGAAGAAAAGATGTGAGAGTGTTCTGACGGTGTGAGCTACTACAAAAGGTGAGTGAAATGAAGGCGTGGAAGCAGGTGAATGTGATAGAGTGAGGAACTGTGAGGTGTAGGTGTATGCGAATGAATACGTGTGTGAATGCTAGGTGAAGAGTCTCAGTTTTGTGACATTTTCTTTCTGAATGCATAGATTAGGATTGTGTTTACGGATGAAAACAGCTTCTAATACCTTAAGTTCACGAAACCTACGAGCACGACACAAAACAGTGAAGCATGAATCATCATACACTGAGCGGCATTGGCTACTAGACAAGAGGTGTTTCTTAATGGCTGACCCTTTCGTTGTGGTCTCACCTTCAGTCCGGTCATCTTCATCTTGGTTGTCCAACTCACTCTCTTCATCACTGCTCTCACCTTCCTCATCCTCCTCCGCTTCCATCCCGTCCTCTGCACCCAACGACAATCCCACGCTACTGCTCGCTGCCGGTCCATGTCCGGTTGTAGATGCTATTACCCGCGTACGAGTCATGCTCCTAGTTATTGGTCTCCGTACCTGTGTTTGGCCATTTCCTTCAGTCTCACGTACCTGTGTACTTATAGTCCGTTCAACCGGTACTGTGTGGTTCTGTTGTAATTGTGCAACTGGCACCTGTTTGCGGGGACGGCCTCGTCCAGGTCGCTGGGCTTTGGCTCCATCTGACAATAGGTACAATGGTACATGTTGTTTGACGCGTGCGTTCAGGTGCTGAAGGGTTCTTCCTACATATCGGCTATCACAATGCCGACATTCAAAATGATAGATCACATGGCTAATCAGTTGGGTAGGAAGAACATCCTTCTTCACCGTGAACGCACGGGCCGTAGTAAAGACTGTTGTCAATGCTGTGGCAAAATAGGTTTGTCTGACAACAGTCCTCACGGCGCGGGCCACATCCAGCGAAATTTGACCTTTCCATGGAAGTCGTAAAAACACACGACATGGGTCAGGTCCAAACTCAGGCTCGGCAGCCTGAATATCAGGTTCGTTAAACAGCTTACTAAGGAGCTGAACAGGATATCCATTCTGAACGAATACCTTCTTCAGGAAACAAAGCTCTTGCTGAAGCTTATCAGGCGAGCAAATCCGCCTAGCGCGCATGATCAAATTTCGTACGAGATTAGTTTTGTATAAAGTCGAGCAATAGGAGTCGTAGACAATGTATTGCCCGGTGAACGTTGGTTTTCGATATACTGAAGTTGAAACACCCATCTCCGTTTTCTCGACTAACACATCGAGAAAAGACAAACGGTTTGACTGCTCATGTTCACATGTAAATTTCAGAGCGGGATGTAGGTTGTTGAGCATACCAAGAAACTCATTCGATTGTTCCAGATTACGGAAATGCGTGAACGAATCATCCACGAATCTAACATATAAGCTAGGCCACATGGACCGGCAGCGTGCAGCGAGCAGTAGCGTGGGATTGTCGTTGGGTGCAGAGGACGGGATGGAAGCGGAGGAGGATGAGGAAGGTGAGAGCAGTGATGAAGAGAGTGAGTTGGACAACCAAGATGAAGATGACCGGACTGAAGGTGAGACCACAACGAAAGGGTCAGCCATTAAGAAACACCTCTTATCTAGTAGCCAAACCGCTCAGTGTATGATGATTCATGCTTCACTGTTTTGTGTCGTGCTCGTAGGTTTCGTGAACTTAAAGGGAAACTGAACGCCAAAAATAAGTATGGCTTATCCGAAGGAGAATTGGGCACTGATTCCGATGAGCTATGTCTCGAGCCGATCAGAGAAGAGGAACTGTGTCAAATTTCATAAATAACACCTCCCATATTTGGAAATTGGCCTTGATGACGTGCGTACTGCTTAGCTGTCACCATGCTGTGCATGTTCAGCAGTGTAATTGAATGGAAGAAAACAATTACTTTGGTGTTTTGCAGCTCTGTTTCGTTCCCTGACGGTAACCAAATCTAGATGTAGGAATCTGTTGAGCAGGAGAGTGACACATGTCTTCCCGAAGGCTGTCCAGGCTGCAGTGGTGATGAAGAAGACACGATCATCACCCCGAGATCGATCGTAGCGAATTGGAAAACTCATGGTGAATTTGCTTCCACTCCAAGGCAATGTCGAGGTATGAAGGGTGCTTGTACTGCCTTCCAAAGTGAAGAGGAGATGAACATGGCTTTGCATAGCTGTTGTTCTATGCCAACTTACCTACTCTTGCTGGTACCGTAGTGGCATATTGCAAATTTCGTGGACGAACGACTCTAGTCACGAGTGGCTAGTGAGCAACACTGGCAGGTGAGATTTTTCAATTCGACAAAAAATTGTTTTTGTTTGAGAACTGACAGTGGCAGTCATTAGACTCAGTAGGTGTCTTTGCTGCTTCTTTCCCTTCATTGGTAGGGTTGTGCTTGAATAGTACAGGTGCTTGAAGTAAAATAAAATAAATAGAACATGTGGAACATAAATCTAATCAAGCATCAGTACATGCATTGCGAAGTTCAACTTCAAAGCACATGAAATCACAATGATCACGAAGTTTATGTAATCAGGAGTACACCCTGTGTTCAACGAACACATACACACATGCTGTATTGCGCTCACACATGTACACATGTGCGTGCACCCCCACCCCATCCCACAGACACACGCATGCAGCGCGCACATCCATACACATGTGTGTGTACCCCCCCCCCCCCCACACACACACGTGTGCACATACAGATACACAAACACACACGCACGAACACACACACACACAAGATACGTGTAAGTGTACATGGTCTTCCTGGTGCAGATGCTGAGCCAGCACAATGGAAAATACCTCCATCAAGATGCTTGATCAAGTGTTGTGATAATGGCACTGTTTGTTTGTTTTTACAAAGAAGTGTGGGAAAGATTACAATGCATTATAATTCATAATTGTTCTTTGCCTTGTACTGTGCAGACCAGAATGCTTCGCTATCAACTCCTGGCTTTCCATCGGCATGGTGTTCAGCTGCAGCGGCATCTGGTCCGGGGAGTTCAAGTTGCTGGATAGCTGCACTGACACAGGATGGGTTTGCGTTGGCAATGCGATACGGCAGTCATCCCACATCACGAGCTACATTATTATGGAATTTATATTGTCGCTCGTCCAGCAACGTCAAGGCTCTGCATGTAAACACAGGAGAACACCGTAATACTACTCAGGGGATAATAATTTTGGATATCAATTTCGTGACAATTATTAGATTCACACAATATTCACAACGTATGCAACACGATGCTGTCTATTGACACTACTTCAAACTGAAGTGCTCACTACTCCTCTCCCGTTTTCATCTCCCTCTACCTTATGAATACTCTGCATTACTGGTTTCGTTTCTACCCTTTCCATTCCTGCCAGCTCCCAGTCTTTTTCAATGCACAGCACCACCTTGACAGTCATTTTTGTGATTTGATGTACACATACTTTGAAGTTCAAATTCGAATTACATGATCAGATTTTTGTTCCACATTTTCTATTTATTTTTACTTCAAGCACAACCCTCAGTACCGATGAAGGGAAAGAAGCAGCAAGGACACCTACTGAGTCTAATGACTGCCACTGTCAGTTCTCAAACAAAAACAATTTTTTGTCGAATTGAAAAATCTCACCTGTTAGTGTTGCTCACTAGCCACTAGTGATTAGAGTTGTTCGTCCACGAAATTTGCAATATGCCACTACGGTACCAGCAAGAGTAGGTAAGTTGGCATAGAACAACAGCTATGCAAAGCCATGTTCATCTCCTCTTCACTTTGGAAGGCAGTACAAGCACCCTTCATACCTCGACATTGCCTTGGAGTGGAAGCAAATTCACCATGAGTTTTCCAATTCGCTACGATCGATCTCGGGGTGATGATCGTGTCTTCTTCATCACCACTGCAGCCTGGACAGCCTTCGGGAAGACATGTGTCACTCTCCTGCTCAACAGATTCCTACATCTAGATTTGGTTACCGTCAGGGAACGAAACAGAGCTGCAAAACACCAAAGTAATTGTTTTCTTCCATTCAATTACACTGCTGAACATGCACAGCATGGTGACAGCTAAGCAGTACGCACGTCATCAAGGCCAATTTCCAAATATGGGAGGTGTTATTTATGAAATTTGACACAGTTCCTCTTCTCTGATCGGCTCGAGACATAGCTCATCGGAATCAGTGCCCAATTCTCCTTCGGATAAACCATACTTATTTTTGGCGTTCAGTTTCCCTTTAAGGTATTAGAAGCTGTTTTCATCCGTAAACACAATCCTAATCTATGCATTCAGAAAGAAAATGTCACAAAACTGAGACTCTTCACCTAGCATTCACACACGTATTCATTCGCACACACCTACACCTCACAGTTCCTCACTCTATCACATTCACCTGCTTCCACGCCTTCATTTCACTCACCTTTTGTAGTAGCTCACACCGTCAGAACACTCTCACATCTTTTCTTCTAATTTCTTTCGTCTTCTCTCCCACTTTAGTTTTTTTTTTCACACCTCACCTTGTATACTTCCCACTATCCATTAACCTATAAGTAGTTTGTTTCTCCGTATAGCCTCTATTGTGAGACGACTTTCCCTGATGATAGTCTCAAGAAAATCGATTAGGAACAACCATTTAAGATACATGTATTCTCATTCATCATTTTGTAATGTCCGCTTCACTTATACTATTAATCGCATTAATAAATATTATTCCCGTAGCTATGCAGAAGACGTTACTTCAGTAACGTCTGGCGCTAGCCAGGGTCCACACAGCTTTAATTTGGTGTTTGTTTGTTTGTTTGTTTGTGTCACGGCTGGAGCTATCCCGTATCTGTCCCGTATCTGTCCCGTATCTGTGACTACAAAGGCTCTACAGGATTGTACATAACAGCTGTCCACAATATTTGCGGGCTCCTGTATCTGTCCCGTACCGTACCAATATTCGTCGTATTATGTATACGACTCCCTGATGTAGAGGGAGATTTGGATAGAAATAGGGAGACGAAGAGGAAATTAAATTAGAATAGACGCCGATTAGGTGATAGGATGCGTCAGCATAAACATACTTTGGAAGAGAGATCCCGTCGTCTCCAAAATAAGCGTGAACGAGCGATTCAGTGCCGGTCACAGGAAACGTCGGAAGAGAGATCCCGTCGACTCCAGAACGCCCGTGATCGGTAGAGTCCGGCGGTACCAGGCAACGTCAGGACAGACATCCCTTTGAGTCCAGAACGCCCGTGATCGGCAGAGTCTAAGCCGATCCCAGGAAACGTCAGGACAGACATCTCGTCGAGTCCAGAACGTCCGTGATCGGCAGAGTCAGCGCCGGTCCCAGTAAACGTCAGGACAGACATCCCGTCGACGCGCAGAAAAACTAAATCTGCAGCCTCTTTTGCCGTCGAACAGGATACGTTTTATATAGGAGACTGTAAATTTATGTAATGTCCAAATTTCGACGTGAGCAGCAGGTCACTCGCGTTGATTTTTCGACGTGCGAGCCAAATAACGCGAGCTGAACTTTCGCGTCGCAGACATCCCGTCGACGCGCAGAAAAACTAAATCTGCAGCCTCTTTTGCCGTCGGACAGGATACGTATTTTAGGAGACTGTAAAGTTATGTGATGTGCTCCACAGGCAACCATGCATTCGGCGTCGTCATTGGCTCAACAGGTCAATGCACATGTATTACTACAAAAAGGCCAGAAAATCCGATCACTGTATTAAAATCAACTAATGTTCGCTGGCGATTTAATTTCGCTGATTTCGCCGCTTGGTACCAACCGGCCAAAGTAAATCGCAGGCCAACGTTTGTCATATAGGCAAATGATGCATGATTGAGCAATGGATGCATGTGAGAGCAAAAATACCGATCGATTTCAAATTTGACGTGAAACTGCGCGTCACGTCGGAAATAACGTGCATCTTAACCTCTCTAATAGAGAGGTTTCTATTTCTCATCGGCCAAAATTTGTTGATTTACAATATAAGGAGATAAAAAGAAAAGAAGGAGCAAAACAAAAGTAGATGATTATTAGAGAAATAACAATCCGCAATAAATTCTGCAAATACTTTTGCCTAACTCATAAGCAAACCGATTGAAACGTTTTTGCAATACAGTGATGTGGCCAATCAACGAAAAAGACATTCCCATCAGTTCTTATAACATGTACGATGAGCTAGGCAAAAAAGCATAAAAGCATAGCGCAGGGCCCTGAGCTTCCAAGCTCTCTCGTTTTAATTCGATTGAAATGAAGTAGTTGGGTATTAGCAAGAGTGGATAAACAAGAGTGTGTAATTCCGCATCTCTTCTGCACAATTTGCAGATGCCCCGGCCCACGGCGGAATTTTTTGTCGACGTCACCTTTTTCAGAAAACATGACGTGTGTTGTACAGAGCACGCGCAAACTGCCGCAGAGCAGTGTGAGAGCACGTCCTGGGCACCGACTTTCATCGCGAGTTTGTGTTTTCAAAAACAAAACACTCTTGCTCTTGTAGTTTTCCGTGCACGGGTTTTTGCTGAGGTCAAAAGTATGTCGTGCACTTTCCTCCAGCCGGACACGACTTGAAATGATGTTCAACCAAGCAAGACTGGGTGACGAGACTGCGAGAATGAGCAAGTACCCGTTTGCCCCCCCCCCCCCCCCGATGTACTCGCTTCACCGAAGAGGAGCGAGAAAAATGTAAGGATCATCTAAAGCATGATTTCACTAAGCAGAATAGCCACTGGAAGCACCTGTATAGCCCCACATCAGGCTGCAAATGAGATGAGCGCTCAAACACATGTACAGTCAACTTCGCTAATACCGGCTGCGGATATAACGACAATTCGCGAATAACGACAGAATTTCCATGCCCAGAGCAAAGTCCCATCTAACTGTATACATTTATCTTCGGATACGACTATCTGAATAACGACAATTCGCGAATAACGACATGCTTTTAGTGCCCCGGGGTCATATTCACTGCTTGAATAACGACTTTCCGGGCTTTTGCCAGCTATTTCAAGTACCTGTCATGCAGAAGTACCAGAACCCATGCCATCCATGTCGATGGATAAAGGCACACATGCAAGAAGATGCAGCCAAGAGGGGGGGGGGGGGGTGCTTTTTATTTTTTCGCTTCTACTAAAATGCATGTTGGAGTGATCAGCACAACTACAATGTCATGTATTTGTAGGTCTACATGATTGTACAGTAATCATCATACATGTCATGTACATGTCCTGTAGATGGCTCCAAAACTTGCAAAAGACAATTTTTTCCAATCTATTTCCCTTCCATATCAACTTTATAGTTCCTTTCAATTGTAATATGAAAATGGGGTACACGTTGGCATAGAGCATGAAAAGAGCTTCATTTTGATATGCGTGTCATACTATACAAAAATATGGGCTCACATACATTCAAATGGAACTTCAGGTATAAGGACACTTAGCGAATAAGGACATTTTTCCGATGCCGTGCCGAATGTCGTTATTCGCAAAGTTGACTGTACATCACTCGTTGCGTGGAAGCAGACTTTGTTTCAAAAACGAGTTTCTTACATGACCCTGTAACACTTTTGACGTTAAAAAAAAGTTTATCACATAAACGAGCGTCTCATAAGATCAGGTAACACTTTTTGGCAGCTGCTACGCAAAGTAGGGAAAGATCAAGCCACATGTTGAGAGAATGTCAAACCACAACCTGTAAAGACATGACAACCCTGTAAAAGGTCACTTTCGGGTAAACTTTGCGTTCGAACCCTCGTGGAACCTACTACTTGCGTGGGTTCCTTTATTCACGTGTGCTTGTGCCTGCTTTTGTGTGTGCGTGTGGGCATGCATGTACATGTGTGCCTGTGTGTGCCTGTGTGTGCCTGTGTGTGCCTGCTTTTGTGTGTGCATGTGAGTATGCATGTACATGTGTGCCTGTGTGTGCTTTTGTCCATAAAAATTATGCTGTGTTGTTCCATCCTACCTACGGCACAGATGCTGTTCCCGGTTTCAAAGCAGTTTTGGATGGCACGTTTATTGATTCCTGGACGGAAATGCATCGCTAAGGCATTAATTTATTCCATATACATCTCCTGAGATTTAAGATGGTTGGTATTCTTCGTCTTGAGCTTCAGTTCAACCTTAGATTTTTTCCTTTATCTCCCGCTACGTGCACAATGATAATTGCTGTGTGAGCTGTTCACTCTTTTGCACTGCCACCTGTTGAGGTATAATATTATCATCTAGACCCTCTAGTCTTAAAATGTAAATCACCGCAGCCACTTGAATGCTGGTGTGAAGATTTAAAACAGACATTAGTAGTACAGGTAGTTGCTGTATCTTGATTTGACGTTGCTAGTCAGTGAGTTGTTTTCCAATCCCTATTTAATTAACCTTGACCTATGCTGGACAAGTCGTTTAAGTTTAATGCATACTAGACTTGTTCATGCTCTGTAAAAAGAGACAGAAAACGGCTGCTGTGACAGTATCTGCAGGGTCGTCCACATCAATATCTTGACACGGTGTCACCGGTTTGCCATGGTGGTGGGAATGTGTACATGTTTGTGGAGTGGATCTGCCAAGAGCGCACTGTGATGTGGAGAATTGTGCTAAAGTAAAGTCGTAGCTTAGTTCATTCCATCCCACTCAAGAAAAGAACAATCAACATTTTGAAAACATTTCCACACGGACTTTCGATGCCTTTTCATCATGTGCTACTGATACAAGCAAAAAGAAATTGAAAAAACACACTGTGAATTCATTATAGTAGAGATGTGATGTTATCTGCAGAAACAGCGCTAAGAAGAGTAACGAGAAAGAACACGAAAACAATGCGTTACCTCATACAATCTTACACATACGGTAGATGGAATGAGAAAAAGGTGCTGAGTGCGAAGAAGCTTAATCAGGGTGGGGTCATTTTGTTTCTGGGTGCTCTGCTTTGGGCTGCTCAATCTATCACGTCTCACAACCCCTGTACCTAGCGCGTTGTGCTCATCCGGTTTCTTACGCCTGTATTCCACCTGATGAGAGAGCATCGAAAGTACTCCTGGAAATTATTTCCAAATTGTTGCGCAGAGTAGCCTGAATCATTTTCTTTTCGTGATGTTGTCTACATTGTTGCCTGCTGAAACTCATTACAACCCTTGCCTATCAAACTGCATGTGAGCTGAAGTTTCATCCACAGCATCACTTATGCCAAAGAGCTTGGTTTAGAGAAGAGAGAAGGGATAGCAGATAGACAACCATGCAGTGTTGAAACAGGATGGTCGATGTTCCTCCTCTTATATGCATTGCAGGCACAAACTTATTTTCATGACGATCAATAATTTTTGGGACCATTTTTCGTTGAAAAGCCAATTTTTACGGTCACTAAAGATGGGTCTGAAAAGTGCCCGGTAGACGGACATGGCCGGTCTGGGGGCGTCCAGATTAGGGGAGTTTTACTACAATAATAAAAAAGATAGGACACTTTAACTGACATGGGCAATATCAAATTTTCATTTATGATAGACAGTTCACGATTGATGGTTTGTCAGTACCAGTTTATAATTGGAAGCTGTACAGTCACAAGCTAAGTCTTGCTGGGTTGATCCAATTCTACATGACAGGGCGTGCAGTAGCCAGTGAACTACCAGCTGAAGGGCCAGATCGTTTCCGTAATTGCCGGATGCGAACTTCAACAAGAAAGGCAATGATGCCAGATGCGGCTATGACAACTCCACCAACAACACATGGCAGAGCATAGCTGTTCGTCTTGTCAAAGACAAATCCTACAAAAGCCGAAAAGGGTTAGACAACATCATGAACATATTATTCAGTTACCGGTATACATGTACTTTCACAGGGCCTAGGAATACTTTTGTACTTTATAAATTTAGTTTTAATCACGGAGTATTAAAAGTACGGTATTACACTACTCCCAGGTTTGAGTGCTGGTTTCTTTATACCGGGGAGTACAGTAAAACCTGGTGTAAGCGACCTCTGCGTTTAGCGACCACCTGCTCTTAACCTTTTGAGCCTGGGCCCATTTAAAACCGCTGCCACGCAGTAAATTTATTTAATTCACTCTAAGTGAGCAAACTTGCTTTCAAACGATTATTTAATGTATCCTGAGCACAGAACTGTTTTTGTTTTGGAAATACAACAAAAATTACAAAGGTTATGGCCGTTTTCAGAAAGGTAGTTATACGCGAACTTGATATTTTGAAATGCATGCACACACATGTAACTTCAGTTCAAACTTACGGAGCGACTCGCATTTTTTTACTGTACTCGTACATCCTAGGAGTCCTCTGTGCAGCGGTACAGCTCGACGCCAAGCCACGGAAGAAGTGTGGAATCGATGCAGTTCCGTGCTGACTCGTGACGTTCTAGAACGTCACCTAGAACGTCACGCGTGTCACAGTGGCAGTGGTCATGACGTGTCAGAACGTCACGCGTGCTCAAAAGGTTAACGACCGTTTTCCATGCACAGACAGCTCTACACAAACACTGTGGGACCTGGTTCTAAAGACCACCTCGCTTTAACGACCCCTTTTTCTTGCACCGTGGGGTGGTCGCTTAAACCAGGTTTTACTGTAGTACAAAATCAGTACTCCCTAATACAAGCATCCCCAACCTCATAAACACTGCAGATACAGGGCCAAGGTGAGGGCAATCTGGGCAGACCAAGTCAGAAATATCTTACCTGCCAGCGGAGGGCCAAGGAAGACAACTGGTGCGCATAATATATTTAGGTGCCCATACGCCAGCGCAGTGTATTCTGAAGGGACTACGTCGCTGATGAACGGTCCCCAACCAGCCGTAGACGACGTGCGAAACATCATGTAAATAACATTGCAGACGATCAAATCAGCCTTTGTTTTGATCAAGGAACTCAGAGCTATTGTCAATCCCATTGCCATAAAGATTACTCCTATTCGAACAGTATTGCTAATGCGTTGCCGTCCACGCCAAGCACATAGTGTGTAGCACAATGATCCAGCTATACTCCCATAGCCCAAGTACGACGTTTGCACGTAGATTTCATTGTCCCTCACACCCAGCAGTTCGGCTCGGTGTGCCTACAAAAATGACGCAAGTAAAACATACACATAACATGTACGCTCATCAAACAAGCATTCCTAACATCACGCAATTTCGATTACACCATAGCGTAATGGTTAGAGCATTATAACTTAGAACCTTCCAAGTTAGAAGGTTGTTGGATTGCGCATGCAAGGCGTGCTAGAGCTGATAGCCAGCTAGTTGTAGAACGTCAGTACCGACGGTCAGTGTCGTGCAATGTTATCGCATGAGCTGATTGTTTAGTAACTGGTGGTGTAAGTGGACATTATTCCCATAGCTATGCAGAAGACGTTACTTCAGTAACGTCTGGCGCTAGCCAGGGTCCACACAGCATTAATTTGGTATTTGTTTGTTTGTTTCTGTCACGCCTGGCGCTATCCCGTATCTGTCCCCTTACCGTACCATCAAACACACCTGGCCACAAACAGCTGGCCACAATATTCGAATAGGGCTTTCAAATGCAAGATCATAACGTGAAGTAACTTGGAAGAATGAGTATGAATGCGAAGTGTATTGCAGAATGCATGTAGGGCGATAGCGCGGGGTCGAATCCCAGGTTATGCCTTAAAAAATAGGAGAATTGAAAAATTTATAACATCCCTATCCTTTTTTTGCCTAGGTCATCAAGGTGGTAGAGGGTGTCGTATTACCCTCGACCGTATCTGTCCCGTACCGTACTGAACCATCAAAGACGGTTGGCCACAAACAGCTGGCTACGATATTCAAATAGGGCTTTCAAATGCAAGATCATAACATGAAGCATCTTGGAAGAATTAGTATGTATGCGAAGTGTATCGGGGGATGCATGCCGGGCGATAGTGCGGGTTCGAATCCCAGGTTATGTCTTGAAAAAAAATTGGAGAAATGAAAAATTTGTAACATCCCTATGCTTTTTTTGCCTAAGTGAAGTCATCAAGGCAAAAAAGCATAGCGTAGGGCCCTGAGCTTCCAAGCTCTCTCGTAGTGTAAATTGTAGTTCCTTGGTCCTTTTTCTTTTCTATAAATTTATCCTTGGCTCTCCCCCCGAGTATAATGTAGGACTAACCAGAGTTCTTGTCAAAGCGACATAACAGGGCGCTGCGCTCTTTTTCACCTTTTGACCAAAGGTGGAGGGGGGGGGGGATCATCAGACCTAAAAAATGTTGGTCCGACGGTCCCCTCCCCCCTTCACTATTGCTCGGACTATCCCTGCTAATGGCAATGTCTATCAGACGAGATATTACTCCTACTCCAGAAACATGTCCAATACATGTACACACGGTGCCTATGTCATGATAACATACGTACAGTAACATACAGTAACCATGGTAACATACCATAACCCAGCTGTACTCTCTGCAGTTCAGCTACTTACAGCTACGACCATTGGTAGACTGGATCCCAATGCAGCCATGTTGCTGATTAGAATACACACAAGAAAGTTACCATTTTTGTAGAGTGTCCGTGATTTTCCACACGACCGAATCAAATCTAGGAAGTTGGCACGCAGTCTGGATACAGCACGGTCTCTACGTACAGATGACAGTGTATTCTTCCTGCGGTGTTGCGAGTGGCCTAGGTGAAATGCAGCAAGCAGGCCGGTGATAGAGAGTAAACATATCATGCGATAGTACCATCGCCAGTTGTACGCTGTGATAATTTCTTTGCCAACATAGCCGTTAAACACACAGCTACAACCCATGGCGGTGTACGCTATTCCAGACATGAGTGCATAGTCGTCCCCGGAGGACACTGAAAGGGCGTATACAGGCGTTGAAGAGAGAAAGCCTGATCCGACGCCTGACACAACTCCTCGTGCAATGTAAACCCAGTACAGATGGTTAGCAAACGAACTGGACAGTAGTCCTATAGCAAATACGGCGCTGGAGAAGAGGACCATAGGCCTCAGTCCAAAAGCATCAAAGAAGTGCGGTGCAAATACGGTTGTTAGAGAGCGAACACCAGAAGTGAGTGAATTCACCCAGGCTGCAGCAAACAGTATAGAAGAGAGTCACATGCATTAGTTTTCATTCACACTTTATCTAAACTTGAACTCGTACCCACCTTGTCAACTATTGGAAATTTGGTATTGTTTCAACGTTATTCGGGGTATACTTCTAGTAAACATGACAAAGACACAACAGTATTATTCGAGATATCCGCGATATAATTTTTACATGCTTCGCGGGGCAATTTGGTTCACCGATTGTTGCAAAAGGACAGCAAATGTGAACCACGTCAAACCACCAAGTCGCAACTTTATCAACTGACCTCTGGAAGCGAGAAGGGTACCATACACCCTCTCAGCTAGGGATAAGGTTTAGCAAATTCGTGCCGTGCGTTGTCATCAGGGTAACTCCAAGCAAACCGCCACAAGCTTATGAAAATTTGGATTTGTTCCCTGCAAGCATTTGTTGTTCTGAGTATTGTTTTACGCCTATACATAATATAATAATCTTTATTTCAGGATTACCCAAAGGCTAACGCCTATCTGCATCCTTACCTGTTGCTGCAGCTCCTTGTCCAAATCCTCCACATTCTTTGCTCTCGTTCGCTCGGGAGGACGTATTCGCTGTAGATTGGGTTACATTATCGCACGGACTGTCCAAAGCACCATCCGAACTATTCATAGACCATAGATGGTCCGGTAAATCTAGTGACTGTGTAGACGTCATGTATTGGACCTCCTCCGGATCTGTAGCATTGCCATATTCGTTGCCCTGGGTAGAGTTTCCCAGATACAGATACTGTGATGTGTTAGTTGTCCCTTGAGGACTGGGCTCAGTGCATGGAGGTAGTAGTAGTCGAGAATATACAATACCGTCCGACCATTCCGTTCCAAAACTTATCCAAATCAAAGCAAACGCAGCAGCCACATTCAGCCACCGCTGAACTCTAGAGTGAGTTTCATCGTTGTCTCTGCACTCGGTTTCAGATGGTAGCAAGACCTGTTCAGCGGATTCGAATTCGCTATGAAGAATAGGAGAATCATCTGAAGGTGTGATGGGGTCGACTAACACCGTGGTACTAAGATATGCGTTGTCAGTCTCTATGATAACTATACCATTTGGGCTCCTGATCCTGGCCGGAGAGTTGGTTTCAACACTGTAATCCATCTTCCGGCAGGTAGATCTACGTTATTACCGGATTTTGTTCACGTCTCTCAACCCATAGGATGCAGGTACTCTTCTACAGCCATACCATCATCATTCTCATTCTTCTCGATAGGGTCAGACTCAAAAGTCATAGTCAGCTTGTTAGTAGTGAAGGCATGCGGCGCTGCACACAGCATACTCTGATTCAGGGAGTAGTAAAATAAAGTATTCCCTGCTCTGATTCATAGTTATCTTGTTTGTGAAAGCAGCACCGCAAAGGTCAAAGTTCAAAGGTCATAGTTTAGCTAGTGCGGGGAGAAATGCGGGAGGTAAAGACTGCCATCATGCCATTACTAGACTGTATCGTCTGTAAAGTGTAATGCTCGTACAGACAGTCTACAGTATGAGCAGGGAGTCGTCAAATATACGTACCGGCGGTACATGTATTTGACGACTCTCTGAGTGTGAGTTCCGGTATGTGCTTTGTTTGACTGTTCTTGGTTTTGGGGAGGAGGAGGATAAGTCTCCAAGAAGTCAGGAATCAGCCAGCTTACAACTTATACAAGTAAACAATATGATGGACTGCATTGCGGTAGATGGTAATAATATAAGTCTGTAGGGCCCTCCCTATCAAAATAATAAAATGCTACAGTACATTGTACTACTCCTAGTCAGTACTTCAGTACTACGTAAACCTGTCTTCTTGCTTTGTATGTGCTAAGTGGCAGAGATATTCTTTGCTGGAAATATTATAAACAGCCGACGGAAATGGCCTGGAAGCGAGCTGTTGGGGTATACATCCTGCCTGAGCCCTACACTCAGACCAAGGTTTGTACTGAATAACTATGACCGGCTATATGATACTAGTACTCACATCACACACACAGTCAGTATTAATAATAATATTATAAGAATCTTTATTTCAGGATTACCCAAAAGCTGTGCAGTGTGGACGGTACATGTACCAGGAATCGCAGTATCCTACAAGAGTAGATAGCGGCAGATTCCCGGTTAATTTCCATCTAGCTGTTTCTGGCTAGTACCAGTTCTATCACACTTATCAATCGTCCTTATTAGCGTCACGCCATCGTGGAATAAACGAATAATAAGATTGGAGACCAATATCCCTGCTTAGAAAGTGTAAATCACCGTAGCCACTTGAATGCTAGTGTGAAGATTTAAAACAGACATTAGTAGTACAAGTACATGTAGTTGCTGTATCTTGATTTGACGTTGCAGTGCTGTCATCACATGCTAGTCAGTGAGTTGTTTTCCAATCCCTATTTAAAGGGGAAGTTAAGGCAAAAATTAAAATTTCACCAGTTGTAGTCTTCGGGGTGCCGAGTCGAATGGTCTTGGTCCGAGAAAGCTGAGACGCTCCCTTCCTACTTGAATCCCAATCGAACTCGCGCACTTCCACCGAAACTGGGTGACTGCGCCCTACTAGATGGGGATTTGTATGCAAAATGTCACTAAAAGCGCCGTTTCGTTCTTATAAAAGCACGGATGACCGCGATTGGCCCATATGTTGTAGTCTTTTGGACGCTGAGTCGACTGGTTTTGGTCCGAAAAGGCTGCGATGCAGCGTTCCTCCTTTATTCCCAATCGAACATGGTTGAACAAGTGGTCACGTGCTCCTGGGTGCCCAAATCACCTGGTCACCACGCCAGCAGGCGACAACTTTCACACCAAGGTTCAACTCGGGTTCAACTCGAGTGACAGGACTGCACCCAAAAAAGGTCAAACAGGCTAGTAAGTTGTACCCTGCAGGCACGGTGACCAGCTGACTGGTGTACGCAGGAGCACGTGACCGCTTGTTCAACCATGTTCGATTGGGAATAAAGGAGGAACGCTGCATCGCAGCCTTTTCGGACCAAAACCAGTCGACGCAGCGTCCAAAAGACTACAACATATGGGCCAATCGCGGTCATCCGTGCTTTTATAAGAACGAAACGGCGCTTTTTGTGACATTTTGCATACAAATCCCCATCTAGTAGGGCGCAGTCACCCAGTTTCGGTGGAAGTGCGCGAGTTCGATTGGGATTCAAGTAGGAAGGGAGCGTCTCAGCTTTCTCGGACCAAGACCATTCGACTCAGCACCCCGAAGACTACAACTGGTGAAATTTTAATTTTTGCCTTAACTTCCCCTTTAACATTGCCCTATGCTGGACAAGTAGTTTAAGTTTATTGCATTCAAAACCTGGTCATGCTATGTGGGAAGAAAAACAAACGGCCGCCGTGGCAGTATCTGCAGCCTGCAGGGTTATCCACACCAATATCTTGACAATGTTTCAACTGTGACTATGGTGGTTGGAAATGTGTACATGTATGTGGAGTGGGTCGTCCAAGAGCGCACTGCGGTGTGGAGGATTGTGCTAAGGTTACGTCGTAGCTTAGTTCATTCCATCCAACACAAGAAAAGAACAAGCTTTTTAACTGGGTTCTCACAAGCAACTTTTTGAAACAATTTCCAAACGGACTTTCATCATGTGCTACTGATACAAGCAAAAAGAAATTGAAAAAGCACACGGTGAATTCAATATTGCCAACTTTCAAGTGCATTTTTCTGCACTGCACAGTGTTTGCGGTAAGGTCTGTTTTCTCATGTGCGGCTCATATAGTAGAGATGTGATGTTATTTGCAGAAACAGCGCTAAGAAGAGTAGCCAAAAAGAGCACGAAAAAACATGCGTAATCTGCTTAGTACAATCGTACACATACCGGTAGAGGGAATGAGAAAAAGTGTGCTGAGCGTGAAGAAGCCTAACCGGCGTGGGGTTATGGTGTTTCTGGATACTCTTCCTTTGAGCTGTTTAATCTATGAAATCTCTCAGCGACTGTGCATAGTGTATTGTGCTTATCCAGTTTTTGTCTGTATTCCACCTGATGAGAAAGCATTGAACGTACTCCTTGAACATAATTATTCAAAACATTCGCCGCAGAGTAGCCCGGAGCGTATTCTTTTCGTGATGTTGACTGCATTGTTGCCTCCTGAAACCCATTACAACCCATTCCTGTCAAATTGCATTGTGAGCTGAAGTGTCATCCACAGCATCACTTATGCCAAAGAGCTTGGTTGTGAGAAGAGAAAAGGGATAGCAGATAGACAACCATGCAGTGTGGGGGGGGGGGGGGGGTGGTCGGTGTTCCTCCTCTTACATGCAACTCAGGCACAAACTTTTTTTCATGACGATCAATAATTTTTGGGACCATTTTTCGTTTAAAAGCCAATTTTTACGGTCACTCAAGATGGGTCTGAAAAGTATCCGGCAGACGGACGTACCTGAGTTGGGTGCATCCAGATTAGGGGAGTTTTACTGTAATAAAAATAGACACTTCAACTGACATGGGCAATATTAATTTTGCATTTATAATAGATGGTTTGTCAGTACCAGTTTGTCATTGGAAACTGTACAGTCACAAGCCAAGTCTTGCTGGGTTGATCCAATTCTACCTGACAGGGCGTGCAGTAGCCAGTGAACTACCAGCTGAAGGGCCAGACCGTTTCCGTAATTGCCGGATGCGAACTTCAACAAGGAAGGCAATGATGCCGGACGAGGCAATGACAACTCCACCAACAACACATGGCAGGGCATAGCTGTTCGTCTTGTCAAATACAAATCCTGCAAAGGCCAGAAAGGGTTAGACAGCATTATGAACATATTTTAGTTTAATATGTACTGCACTGGTACATGTACTTATTTTCACAAGGCCTAAGCATGCGTTTGTAGTTTTCAGTTTTAGTTTTATACGTAAAGCAGTATACATGTACCAGGATTCGTGGAAGTAGCACAATAGTACTCCCTAATACAAACATCCCCAACCTCGTATACATCTACACAGCTACATTGCCACGGTGAGGCAGTCCAAGTCAGAAATGTCTTACCTGCCAGCGGAGGGCCAAGGAAGACAACTGGAGCGCACACTATATTTAGGTGCCCATACGCCAGCGCAGTGTGTTCTGAAGGGACTACGTCGCTGATGAACGGTCCCCAACCAGCCGTAGACGACGTGCGAAACATCATGTAAATAACATTGCAGACGATCAAATCAGCCTTTGTTTTGATCAGGGAACTCAGAGCTATTGTCAATCCCATTGCCATAAAGATTACTCCAATTCGAACAGTATTGCTAATGCGTCGCCGTCCATGCCAAGCACATAGCGTGTAGCACAATGATCCAGCTATACTCCCGTAGCCCAAGTACGACGTTTGCACGTAGATTTCATTGTCCCTCACACCCAGCAGTTCGGCTCGGTGTGCCTACAAAAAATGACGCAAGTGAAAACACACACACACACACACACACACACACACACACACACACACATTATAATTATATATTTGTATAACATGGTACATACTCAACCTGCGGACAGAACTGTTTCGTCCTTTGTGTGGGGGGAGGGGGTAACATGGTACATATGTACGCTCATCAAACAAGAACTCCTAACTACAGTGGTCCCTCTATAATCCGGCACCATTTGTGCCACGAAAATCTGCTGGATTAGGGAGGGTGCTGGATTAACAAATCTGATTTACTGCTGCAATGTGCATGAAGAGGACATTTTGGCTACTGAAAATTGTGCTGGTTTATCGAGGGTGCTGGATTATAAAGTGCCGGATTAGAGAGGGACGACTGTACTTGCTTCACGCCGCTTTAATTCCGACACCACAGATCAGTGGTAAGTACTGTAGTGTAGAGCATCACTGGCCTGTAGTGAATGTCCCTGGTTCGAGTGCTGGTGACGGCAGCCAGTTTCTCCCTGGACTCTTCCCTTTTCAATCCCTGAAACTCATGAAATGATATAATAGTCATTTTAACTGATTTTATAAAGGGTCCGTTTTCCTGAACGTGTTTCACACCATGCTCTTTGATAACAAGTGCATGGAATATTATTCACCGTCCAATGGCAATTGTCATTACGAATGGATGGAGTTATATCCAGATAACGTTAATGGAAACAAAAGACAACAGAAGAGAAGAAAGACGTGAACCGTTTACAACGTTTAGTGGGTGAGAATACTGGTACACTGGTTCAGTAGGACTAATGGCGATATCTTCTATCAGAGATATTACCCCTACTTCAGAACCGTGATTTGCACGCACAGTATCCATGCCAAGGTACCATACAGTTACACCGCGGCCCTGACGCACACCTACCGAGTTTCGCCGTGCATAGAGCAGTAGCAGCCCTGTCATGCCTCGACAAGCTGCATTACGGAGGAAGCAAGACGAAATTCGCGTTCGCGTTCGCAAACATTTTTCAGTTCGCGAACTGGATTGCGTACTTTCGCATTTTTCGTTCGGAAAAGTAGTCGGAACACGAATCGCGGATTCGTGTCATGCAGTCAGGGCAGTCATAAATTTACCACGCTGTACATGTACGCAATGTACGTCGTGTCAACGTCATGCATGTGCGAATTCTGTCTGCTCGTAGTAATCCTTCTCATAACGCGAATTCCGTCACTGAGTTCGACTTTCCTTGGAGAGCGAACGCGAACGCGAATTTCGTCTTGCTAATCCCCCGTATTACCTCCCCGGTCCTCCTCAGCTGCTTTCAACTCTACCCCCACCCCGCAGGCCTATCGCGCATCCAAGAAAGCGCCACAAGCACCACATTGCAGCAGGCCACCCCTACCAGCTACAGGACACGCTTCCTGCGTCCGCCCCACTGGCGCTGAAGCGATCATTGATTCCCATTTGGCTCCCTGGCTGATTAGAACCCTCCCCACTCCCCAGAGACCTGTTTTCTCGGCGCCCGTGCAATCACGACCGGCCTTCATGGCTTCAAGATGAAAGTCTACCGGCATCTACGGAACCAGACCTGGCTCTGGGCAACAGAAACATACATGACATGTAAGTACTTCAGTCATCAGCAGCACTGTTTCTTTTGTCTGCCACCAGATACATGTACACCCATGTGCCCTGACACAGCGATATATAGGGACGATGTCGAGTCTGAACGCCATCTCTCTGTACTTCTCTTTTCTGTATTAATTTTGCTCTTTCCGACTTATTACAATTCTTTTCTCATTTTCATCTGGTGCGTGTGAGTGGTGAAGATGCCGAGACCCCTGGTCGGCGGAGCTGCCCACATCACACCATCAATGCTGCTGTGTGCGGCCCCACTTACGTGTAATAATTATTGTTGTCGTGCTTCTGTACTTCAGTATTAAGTTTTCTTGGTGTTTGCGATTGCCGTTTCACTGCTCCGGCCTGGGCTTGTCTTTCGCTCACCTTGTCCATTTTTATTATTAATTTTACGAGTTGGGAAAGTGAACTTTAGTTAAAAATACCCGATGCTGTAATAATTATATGGGCCACAACCAGCTAAAACATGTCTTAGGGTGAAAATTTTCAAATTTTGTTTTCCTCCAGAAAACAGTTCTTGGGACCTTACTTGACCTCTTGAAGGTGATACAGGGCAGAAAAGTAGTCTACAAGTGGCAAGTGCCCCAAACACCGCTTTCAAAATATGTACTTTGAAATAGAAAATGACAGTTTTCGCACAGTCTGACACAAAGAGACAAACTATTACTTAGTGGCTTTTGTGGCGGAGCACAATACAACGGAACTAAAGATGTTGACACCGACTTGAGCATGTCAACGACATCAGTTCAAAGGCATGGCCCAAGTTCTTCCTGGAAAGCAACACGATGCGCTGGGCGGCGTTGCACTTGCATACTCTTTCGATTCTGGCAGTGACACTTTCGATCATCGCCTGCGTTTCCGAGACTGCGTCAGACGCCTCATGAGAGCTGAACGCAAGTAACATCGTAAGGCAGCCGGTTCGCCGCCTAAATGATTATGTACTAGGCCACAACTTGTGCCTCTTCGCTACTGGAGACGACGGGGACGATTCAGCTTCGCTGTCGACATCAACATCAATGAGATCCCAACAAATAATATTGTCAGCGTCGCTCTGCAGACCTGCCGCCACGGACTTGCAGACACCCGAACAAACCTGGGCCATGCACAGCGATCGTCTGGCCCTGTGAGCTGCTCTAGTATCACTAGATGCGGACATTGTCAGTCTTCGCTCGCCAGCTACTTGAAGTAGAACGCCAAACAAGTGTTTGAACAAAATTTGAGAAGATGATCGCCACAATCATCATGAATCATTTTGAATGAAGTGCAGAGTGAACGTGCTCCAAAAAAACATTTTTTTCATTTCGTCATTTCCCAACTTTTTTTACGAAACCCCAAAGACATGTTTTAGCTGATCGCGGCCCATATGAAGAAGAAAGAGGACCAAAGAGCTACAAGTTACGCTATAACATCCACGAACACTACCAGTTACTTTACAATCAGCTCATGCGGTAGCATTACACGACACTGACCGACGGTACTGACGTTCTACACCTTACTGGCAATCTGCTCTAGCACGTCTTGGATGCGCACTCCACAGCCTTCCAGCTTGGAAGGTTCTAACAATCTAAGTTATAGAAATAACATAAGGAGCGCAACCAAGACAAGCACGAGCTGAAAGTCTCAGCTGTGAAGGACGGTGGCGGATGTACATGATTGTACATGTATCGTGCTAGAGTTGATTGCCAGTTAGGTGTAGAACGTCAGTACCGTTGGTCAGTGTCGTGCAATACTATCGCAGGGGCTGATTGTAAAGTAACTGGTGTTGTTAGTGGATATTATAGCGTAACTTGTAGCTCTTTGGTCCTCTTTCTTCTTATAAAATAATTTATGCTTGGCTCTCCACATGAGTCTAACAATGCTGTAATAACTGTTAATAAAAATATCAACCTTGAGAGTAACACAGTAATTCAGCTGTACTCTCTGTAGTTCAGCTACTTACAGCTACGACCATTGGTAGACTGGATCCCAACGCAGCCATGTTGCTGATTAGAATACACACAAGAAAGTTACCATTTTTGTAGAGTGTCCGTGATTTTCCACACGACCGAAGCAATTCTAGGAAGTTGGCACGCAGTCTGGATACAGCACGGTCTCTACGTACAGATGACAGTGTATTCTTCCTGCGGTGTTGCGAGTTGCCTAGGTGAAATGCAGCAAGCAGGCCGGTGATAGAGAGTAGACATATCATACGATAGTACCATCGCCAATTGTACGCGGTGATAATTTCTTTGCCAACATAGCCGTTAAACACACAGCTACAACCCACGGCGGTGTACGCTATTCCGGACATCAGCGCATAGTCGTTCCCGGAGGACACTGAAAGGGCGTATACAGGCGTTGAAGAGAGAAAGCCTGATCCGACGCCTGACATAACACCTCGTGCAATGTTAACCCAGTACAGATGGTTAGCAAACGAACTGGACAGTAGTCCTATAGCAAATGCAGCGCTGGAGAAGAGGACCATAGGCCTCAGTCCAAAAGCATCAAAGAAGTGCGGTGCAAATACGGTTGTTAGAGAGCGAACACCAGAAGTGAGTGAATTCACCCAGGCTGCAGCAAACAGTATAGAAGAAGCCGCATGCGTTAGTTATCGTAAAATAGAGGAAATCCCCCATCCCGAGTTATATTTTTGCATTAGTTATCATTCACACTTTATCTGACTTGAACTCGTACCCATCATGTGAACTATTGGACATTTTGTAACATGGAAAAATGTGGGCAGTGGGCACAAGTTATCCGATCGAGTCCACCAACTAAACCAGATTTTGAACAGTCTGATCTGACTGTTCAAAATCTGGTTTAGTTGGTGGACTCGATCGCATAACTTGTGCCCACATTTTTCCATGGCACAAATTTTTTTCCTTGGCTCACCATCTGAGTTCTTATTTGAAATTCGGTATTGTTTCAACGTTATTCGGGGAATGATTCTAGTAAATATGACAAGGACACAACAGTATGACTCGGATGGAGAGCCAAGGATTAAATTTAAAAGGAAAAGACCAAAATGTTACATGTTATTCGTAATTTGTGTCCAACATTAACAGTTACAAGCAAGATGTAAGATTTCGTGCAGTCAGAAGGTGCAACAGCTAGCACAATACTGACTGATGTGACACTGAGATTCAACGACCTGATGACAAGCTCTATCACGTCTTGGATGCGCACCAACAGCCTTCCAACTTGGAAGGTTCTAATTTATGAAATAAGTTCAAATAACATGAGAAAGGATGAGCTTATCATCAGGTCGTTGAATGTCAGTATCACATCAGTCAGTATTGTGCTAGCTGTTACACTTTCTGACTACACAACATCTTTAAAAATACAACATTTTGCTTGTAACTGTTAATGTTGGACTCAAACTACGAATAACACTGATGTAACATGTTGGTCCTTTCTTGTTAAACACGACAGTATAATTCGATACTTCCGCGATACAATTATTTACATGCTCTGCAACGGCAATTTTGTTCAACGATTGGAGCAAATGCGAACCACGTCAAACCACCAATTCGCAACATTATCAACCGACCACTGGAAGCGAGAAGGGTGGCTGTACTTACTGAGCTGCCCAAGCTGGATTATAAAACCCCTCTCAACTAGGGATAAGGGATAGAAAAGTCCTGTCGTGCATTGTCATCAGGGTAACTCCAAGCAAACCACCACAAGCTTATGAAACTTTGGATTTTTGTTCCCTGCAAGCCTTTGTTGTTCTGAGTATTGTTTCACGCCTATAAATCCTTACCTGTTGCTGCAGCTCCTTGTCCAAATCCTCCACATTCGGCCTTGCTCTCGTTCGCTCGGGAGGACGTATTCGCTGTAGATTGGGTTACATTATCGTACGGACTGTCCAAAGCACCATCCGAACTATTCATAGACCATAATTGGTCCAGTAAATCTAGTGACTGTGTAGACGTCATGTATTGGACCTCCTCCGGATCTGTAGCGTTGCCAAATTCTTTTTCCTGGGTAGAGTTTCCCAGATACAGGTACTGTGATGTGTTAGTTGTCCCTTGAGGACTGGGCTCAGTGCATGGAGGTAGTAGTAGTCGAGAATATACAATACCGTCCGAAAACTCCGTTCCTATACTTATCCAAATCAAAGCAAACGCAGCAGCCACATTCAGCCACCGTTGAACTCTAGAGTGAGTTTCATCGTTGTCTCTGCACTCGGTTTCAGATGGTAGCAAGACCTGTTCAGCGGATTCGAATTCGCTATGAGGAATAGGAGAATCATCTGAAGGTGTGGTGGGGTCGACTAACACCGTGGTACTAAGATATGCGTTGTCGGTCTCTATGATAACTATACCATTTGGGCTCCTGATCCTGGCCGGAGAGTTGGTTTCAACACTGTAATCCATCTTCCAGCTAAACAGGTACGTTATATATACCGGATTTGTTCACGACTTTCATCACATAGATGTTCTTCTACAGCAAGGCCATCACCTCGTTCTTCTCGATAGATTCATAATCAGCCGGTTGGTAGTGAAAGCAGCGCCACACACGTCATGGTTATATTGTTTGTGAAAGCACCACCGCAAATGCCATACTCATAGTTTAGGTTGCTTGTTGTTAGCGAAAGCAGCGCCAAGCAGCGCTGTGCAAGAAAATGCCAATACACAATCTACTGATCTAGAGTGCGAGGAGAAATGCTTGATATCCTGACTGCCACAGAAAAGTGGCTGCATCTATTGTTGATCTATGATACCTGGCATAGCGATTGTAATGATCATACAGACAGAGAGTATAGTATGAGTATGTGATCTGCAGGTTTGTTTGTTGTTTGTTTTTGGCGAGGAGAAGGATACGTCTCCAAGAACCCAGGGGCCAGCCAGCTTACAGGGACCAGCCAGCTAACAGGTAAACAATTTTAAAAATAGGATGGACTGCATTGCAGTGGCCGGTAGCATATTGTCTTCTCGCTTTGTACGTGCTAAGGGGCAGATGATATCCTTTGTTAGAAAACCGAACAGCTGACGGGGATGGCCTGGAAGCGAGCTGTTGGGGTATACATCCTGCCAGCTATCCAGACCAAGGTGTGGATTGAATGACTATGGCCGGCTAAAATGATACTCACATCACACTCACAGTCAGTGCCTGGTACATGTGCCAGTACTCACAATATCCTACCGTGAAGAGCAGATAAGTTGGCGGCAGACTGTAGACCAATATCCATGTTTCGATTCACCCTCATAATTATTATTATTATTATGTACAAAGAGAGAGAGAGAGAGAGAGAGAGAGAGAGAGAGAGAGAGAGAGAGAGAGAGAGAGAGAGAGAGAGAGAGAGAGAGAGAGAGAGAGAGAGAGAGAGAGAGAGAGAGAGAGAGAGAGAGAGAGAGAGAGAGAGAGAGAGAGAGAGAGAGAGAGAGAGAGAGAGAGAGAGAGAGAGAGAGAGAGAGAGAGAGAGAGAGAGAGAGAGAGAGAGAGAGAGAGAGAGAGAGAGAGAGAGAGAGAGAGAGAGAGAGAGAGAGAGAGAGAGAGAGAGAGAGAGAGAGAGAGAGAGAGAGAGAGAGAGAGAGAGAGAGAGAGAGAGAGAGAGAGAGAGAGAGAGGGATGTCGTGTCGGAATGCTCTGGCCCTATTGAGGGGTCTCTTACTGGAAAAAATGCCACACCGAAGTGCTGGACACAGTAAAGCTACAGTAAAGCTATCGGCCAAGCTCCCAAAACCCATTGCACGCACACTCGCAGTATCAACCTGCTTCTCCTCTTCCGCCTTTCTGCATAATGCAAGCATTTTTGTTTCACGGATCCGATCATCGAGCTGCTTTTTTAGTTCCGTGCGGGTAACTCACCACTGACCAGCCGAGTTTGCTATTGAAATGTGTCTTCAGGCCTTGTTCTGCACCTCCAGGAGCGACACTGGCTTACGGTGCTGTCTGACTCACGCTGCTTTCTCTCCTCCCATGGGCATAAAGGAGAGAAAGAGAGGAATGCTGGTGTTGTCCTTATTTTTTTCTTTGCCCACTTCCTCCTTCACTGATGAGCCTTTGTTGTCACAGTTAGACGAAACAGCAGTCAGGACTCTGGAGGAATTATTTCATTACATGTATCACTATCAGTACCCGGCGGAACCCTTCGTTGTTTGATGTGTGTGTAATGCATAATGGATATCGAGGGTAGCTAGTCTCCTGAAGAGCGCATTCATGCCATTGAGAGGAGTAGAGGAATGTTGCAACTTATTTCCTCCGCCCTCTGATATTTTATGCTGTCATCACCAGCACACTTGGTCTACTATCAAAATTTTAAAGCTATCAATATCAAGCAAGGCTTACACACCGGCAGTCATACTACACGTCATGTACATGTTATGATAAGTAAGTTATAACAGACGAAGACTAGATGGCGAACGGCTTGGCTCATGTAAGACTCCGGCAACACAATCATTGTGCCCTTTCTGACTAGTTTTACTAGTTTTACTGTGTCGCACAGTGTGACCATGGTGACTGACCGCACGAGCGCTCTCGAGCGGAGTCAGAGATAAACTGCCCGGCCTTCACACTGCAATGCCAGGCATTCCAGGCTAGGCTGCTGATAATGCTGTTTGGTTGGTTACCGGTATACCTACAGTACAGACTGTCAGTGACACGTGCTGAAGTGAGTTTTGGGTTTCGCCACGTTTATGCCACGCATGCAGGCGTGCAGTATTTAACTGTGCCAAACATGAGCTGCAGCTAGGGGAAGCACGCACAACATGAATCGTGGCAGTAGTGGTGGGGTTTACTGGGGAGCTCCGCCGACCTGAGATCTCAACTTCATGGCCACCTACATGTAGTAGGCTAGACGCACCAATAGTGGGTGGGTGGGTGGGGGAGAGACAGACAGACAAACATACAGATAGCCTGGAACCTCTCTGTTTTACAGACAGACAGAGAGACTGGGAGACAGACAGAGAGACTGGGAGACAGACAGACAGAGAGACTGGGAGACAGATACAGAGAGAGATTCGTAGTGCATTGGCCGTGTGCTTGTACTCAGCGACATGTCGTTGAGTTTCACTTGTCATAATTGTTCTATTCTTATCCTTGATCCTGGAGGACCTGGAGGATGATGGCGATACACAACAGATGTGGAAAACTCCGTCCAAATACTCAGTACTTCTCACCCGAACCATGAACTTTCCGGATGTTTGCGGCCGTCGTGAGCTCCCTCAGGCTCGGGAACGGAAACGACAATAATTATCGTTTCCATTATTTACTTATTACTTACATACATGGTTTTTTAGCATTCTCATTCATTGAGCTAAGCTCAAGTAAGTAAGTGCTTTACTTCGGAACTTTGGATTGAAGAACAATGAGCGAATGAAGTTATTCATTTCGCATTCTCAAACGTTTAAAATTAACTCAACTGTAGTCTGTAGTGTAGAGGGCAAAGCCAAAGGCAAAACGATGGCTCTCTGTACATACAGCTGTACAGCTGTACTATTATACAGCTGTACAGCTGTACTATTTTCGTCAAACATGTACATGTACATGTACCTGTATAGGTCTAATCAAATGTCAATTTGAAGTTAAAACCGTCACTGCATCTACTTGGAAGGCTTTCCTGTCACTGAGTTGCCACAATACAATGAAAAGGAGAGACAATGCCGGTCCGGGACAAACATTGCATTACATCCTGAAAATAGTTGAAATACTGTAATAAAGGTTGTGATTATGTCCCCCCGCACTCTGTCAAGCAGTACATATAGTAGTATGCACGTGTGGCTGGCTCAATCACGGTTGTGATGCTAGATGCAACACAGAATGATGAATTATACAGTGCGTACAGTGTTGGCCAGAAGTTTGGGCCTACCTATAAATTTTTGGGGTTTGGCACAATACAGTGGTGCTGCCAGGTTGTGTATCTTCAAACCTGCTGCAAGCCCGATAAAAACGCGTGAGATAAGTTTTTTACAGCGCACGTGCGCTTCAAAGCAAATTTTCAGGTGAAAATCATGAAAAAGCTAGGCCCAAATTTTTGGCCAAAATATTTGAATTTGTACGGTACCGTACGGTACAAGAATGTGTGATGCAAAACCAGCGGGAAATTCAACTGCACAACACGTGGTGGTCCTCACGACACGAACAACAAATTTTAGTTGCTGTTTTTGACATTTTTCCTTCACCATGGGTCGATCCAAGCACCTTTGGCTCTGACGTGAGGGAGTTGGCAGTGAAGATGAATAATGATGGCCTCTCTTCGAATGATATCGCCAATTTGACCCGCGTTTGTGCGCGCACGGTGAGAAAACTGTCACCAGGTTCGCAGTGATGCAAAGCTGCAAGAATTAGCCTCGTTCTGGTCATCCAAGGCTGACGTCTGCTCGTGACGACAGGTACCTCAAGGTGATAACTCTGGCTAGCAGAAGGACTTTGTCGTGGGAGCTCAAGACAGACTGGTGCAAACCCGTGGCAAACATGTCCCGAGCCGTACGGAACGTCCCAGACTGCTGAAAGCTGGCCTGAGAGGCTGCAGGACCACAAAAAAACCGTATATCAACCAGAAAATTGAAGAAACGACTGGTCTTTGCCAGGGCCCACCAAGGATGTACTGTGGACCAGTGGAGCAACGTACTGTGGTCCCACGAGTTTAAATTTAATATGAGAGCATCAGATGGTGTGGTGTATTTCAGTCGTTGACCAGGTGTACAACTTGTACCAGAGTGTACTGTTGGCACAGTCAAGCACAGTGGTGGCTGCATCATGATACGGGACCGCGTCGCCGGCAATGGTGTCGGGCGGCTCTACAACGTTAACGGAGCGATGAAAGCAGACCAATACCAAGGAATACTGCAGAACAGTATGCAGCCGTCCATGGTCGATGTGTTGCGCGGTCTGGATAGTGTATTTGCGCGCGCACACGCGATAAAGGCGTAATTGGCGGACCGCCCATATCGCGCACTGTGGCGGCCGACGCAGTCGCCGGACCTAAATCCGACTGAGGATTTGTGGGAAATGCTGAATTGTCTCTGCCATGATGTTCCCCAAGTCCCATCAACAGAAACACAGCCTGGGGAAGTGTGCAAGACAGCGTGGCAGAAGATCAGCAGGGAAAAGTATGCAAAACCCGTCTCGACCATCCCGGCGCGCATGGAGGCTGTCGTCAAGGCAAAGGGAGGACCTACTAAGTGGTAAAATTGGGCAAACAGTTCACTGATAGGTTCTTAGCATGGAAACAAAGCATTTAGATTAGATTTAGTTGATGTCTATTAGCTAGTCACCTGGATTTTGCTGTTTTTTAATTTTGGCCGTAAGTTTGGGCCTACGCTTTTTCGATTAAATTGACTTTATTCTATTTTACAACTATCTAGCCTTCGAAAGATGGATCAGAGTATGATCTCTTTGGTAGCTAGCCAACTTCAGTAGTTTTTTTCGTGCACTATACAAAGATTCTCTCTAGAAACCTGTTTTCTCTTGGGTGGGCCCAAACATTTGGCCAACACTGTACGTGTATGTGTGAATAGTGTCATGAGTAGTCAATGCGAAATTGTTTGTGTCTATAGGACATATTTGACGACTAGTCGACTACCTGCTTGCAACCTGCCTTGTCAATGTGTTGACATTTTGGAGACGTGGTGCTGCTAACTGTCATCGAACTGCACGCACGCGAAATGCGTGGGCCACTTTAAATAGATAAGTCTGCTCCTATAGAGTAGAGAGGCCCACGCGCGCAACGCCAACGAGAAAGAAAGATGATTTTTCTTGCCCGTCGTGACGTCCGTCGGCAGCTCGTACGTCATTATTGCGTCATTAATTTTATGGTTCGTGTCCAACCAGGCATGGCAGTCCTCGAATACCACTATTTTCACAACTCCATGTGTCCAACTACAATGTAGCTGATGCAGTACAGTGATGCCTGATGCATGATGGTCTTACACGTGTCTGTAGTATTCTCGGCAGTAGCTCTAGCTAGCGTGCGCGTGACTGACAGATGCGTGCAGTGCATGCGGATGCAGTTACATGATTTTACTACACAATCATGCACAGCTTGTAACCACACTGGCATGTACTGGGTGAAGTCCGCCATAGCCGCTAAAATGGAGCTGCTGATCCTCCGAGTCCGCCGAATACTCACGAGCTGCCAGTGCAGCACTTGCCAGCAGGTAATAAAACCGCCAGCGTGCCATAGACAGAATCATAGCAATTATTGTGCCTGATTACCTCACCTCAATGTTTTAGTTCTGCTGCTACTGTTACCTACTTTGAAGTAGGTTATATCAAAGTAGGTTATACCTAGCTCTAGCTCGCCGTCGACGGTAGCTAGTACTACTAGTAGTAGTAGTAGAGCATCTACCAGTATTCGAAGAAAGCCATTATTTTAGATTTAGTTAGGCGTATCACGATTGTTGAGGGTTTCGGAAAGCACCATGGGTGCTGCTGCTACGACGACCTTCAACGTATGTACCGGGCCAGAACGTAGGGCTGCTGATCGAAGGAGTCACTCTATCGACAAACAGCTACGGCAATGGTGGAGGGAAGACTGTCGGAGAATAAAGCTTTTGTTTCTGGGCTCGTGTGACTCTGACGAAGGTGACGTAGTGGAGCAGATTCTGAAAACACACTATGCAAGCGGCTCCGGCGCGGATCATGTTATGTTTCGCAATGCCCTTCACCGGAATCTCGTGGAGAGCATGCGATGCCTTGTGACACATATGAACTACTACTCCATTGAGTACAGTAATCCTCAGTTCAAGGACAAAGCCTGGCAGGAGGCGTTCTGTGAAGATCTCTTGAATTCAGCAACTCTCCATCTTGGCACTTTGAACATGATTGAGAAGGTTTGGATGGATGAGGGCGTGCGTCAGTGTTTTCAACGCCTGCTCGAGCTGAATACGTCAGACATCAATGAGAGCACGGAGTATCTTCTCAGCAATGTACGCCGTTACATGGCAGAGAATTTTATGGCCACACGGGACGACATCCGTCATGTCCGTCTCCATGCAACTAATAAGCCGGGCATCCAGTGCACTGGTACACGCTACAGAGATGTGGAGTTCTTATTATTTGATCTTCGTGCAGCCGGAATGATGATTCCCAGACCTCAGACAAGTTTGAAGCTGGTCTGCCAATCCGAGGGCGCAATGACAATAGTGTTCTGTGCATCGCTAGCTGATTACGACCGTGTGCGCGCCGGCGACGAAAGTACAAATTGCTTACTGGAGAGTCTGGATCTGTTTAGTCAGGTCTGTAATGGCAGTGGTTTTCGTGGTTACGATCACCATGACCATTCAAATATAGTTCTTCTGCTAACCAACACTGAGTCATTCAGGGAGAAGATTTCGACAACACCGCTCAGCATCTGCTTTCCCGAGTACAATGGCCAGGACACGACTGAAGAGGCCATTGCCTACATTGAGAAAAAGTTCAATGAGGTGAACAGGATTGGAAGGCAGCTATTTGTGCACAGGACTCGTACGTACGATAGCTCGACAATGGCATTACTGTACAGCGCAGCAACGAGTTCAGTTATTCAGAATGTCATGGGGGCAATTTTCAAGGACAAATGATGAGATGAGCGACTACAGTACTCCGCCTGTAGCAATGCTGCATGTACTTGAATTTCAGTGAACCGTTTACTGGCATTCAATATAGGTTGTAGAACTGATTGGCCACCCATATACATATACCTCATCTCCACTGGTCGGTGGCCTGTACATTAACCGGATTATCACCGTACTCTAATGCACGTACACAAACACTGTAGCTCGTATCAGTATATACACTCTTGACCAGTTTGATTATGTTGACATATACAATCGTGTATGTATGGTGGGTCTGGCTTTTTTCTCCTTTCAGGCAGTTCACTTCCCCGAATGATCCTTTGAATTTGAAGTTCTCCCAATCCTTTAAATATTACAATATTACACTAGGATTCTAATTATACAACAGCAGAAGTCAAGAAGACACATTCTGATATAGGTCTTTCCAGTGAAACAAATCCAGTGCATGTGGTGAATAGTGTGCTAAGGCAATCTACATGTGGATGAAAGTGGATATTTTTCAACATGGAGATAATCAAAGCACTTCACCATAGCTCAGTGGTTAGAGCATCGCTGGCCTCAAACAAAAGTCCCTGGTTCGAGTCCTGGTGGTCACAGTCAATTTTTTCTTCAGTCTTTTGAACTCTTTTCCCGTTTGCATCTTTCCCTCAAACCAAATGAGTAGAGATAATTGAAAGTATCTGCCTGCGGCATTGAAATACAATTTAGTTTAGATTATCTTTCGTTTCATGCACATCATAATAATTGGGTGTTTTATTAGTAGGGCCCCAGCATGCGTCTACACACTTTTCAAAGGTGCTTTGCTTGAAGAATACTGATCGTGCACCAACGCCTGAAGCACCATACAGCCTTGCAGGGGGGGGGGGGGGGGGGGCGCCATTCTCGACTACAGGCGTGCGGATGTACCAGTACAGTCATGTACATGTAGATGAATACCCACGCGCGCGCGCGCACACACACACTCAAGCGCGTGCACGCATACGCACAATAATAATAATGTCTGGCTCTCATCTGCATCCATACTGAGAAAACCCAACGAGTTCCTGAATAGGTGTACACTGTTGGCGGTATGTGGACTATCTTCTCTCATTGAACTGCAGGTCATTGCGTGATGTAGCTTATCAGCAGTACATACTGTGTGTTCATACAGGAAAAAACATGCCAGCTAGAGGCGCTGGCGCTGCAAACAGTCCTTCCTATAACCTTTGGGCGGTGGCAGTGGTCGTAGCTCAACAGTGAGTCACTGCGACCGATGGTACAGCCGCTCTTGATCTTCTTCCTGTAAAATCAAGAACAGTAATCGCAGACAGGTTCATCGATCGCACGCAGTATAGCCTAGGCAAACAGGAGATCTACTGCCGTCCACCTAATCAGGCCGGTTTCGGAAAGCTTCACATTTCGTAGTGATGTAGTCCAAAACAATTCTACAAATGCTTTGGAAAAGAAAGAACTACATACAGTAGCTAGTGTTTTTGAAATATTGCACTCACCTCCGCTTTTCGACTGACGCTTCACAGTGTGGCGTGCGAAAAAAGGACACACCACAGTTTCATCCACCAGCGTCCGCATCGGATGAGTGCATAATATTCCTCCTGAAAATCCTCCTCTGCCAAATGGCTGGAACACACGTGAAGGATTTACATTGTAGTCCCGAAATTGTCAAGCAAATAATTATGTCGCTTGATAGCTGCTATGGTGCACTGCTCGGCCTGTGCCAAGCACAATCCTTCGGAAATTGGTGCAGGTTCATCCCAGGGGGGTTACCAGTAAGACTATAGTAGCCACCAACACAGCCAGAAGCCATGATGACACAAATACCCTTTTCTTCCATGGACAAACAGAAAGAAGATGCGAAATCCCAGTGTTTCTGGATATGGCCAAAGGATCACCAAGTCTCAATGACGTCACGGACTTGTGACGTCACGGCACAGACCCGAAAAGGACAATTGCAAACTGATATATCTCAAGAACGCTAGGTCGGATCGAAGTGGGACCTTCACCAAACTCTACTGACCATGAAGTTTTGATTTTTGGGTGTAGTTCCCCTTTAATTACTAGGCTGCTCTGGTCCATGGTACTTGGTAGTCTGGCAGTCACTGGTGCACTGGCCACGTACCACGGTAAGACAGTGCGTTGGCTATATTTGCGAGATACTGGCACGAATGATTGATGGAACGAATAACCGGTGCTGCAAGTGTTGACTCAGCTTGGAAAATCTGGATTACTCACTTCAATGATCTACTACAGAAGCAGCATTTGGTCCTGTGCAGTGGCAACGTCGTTACGTGTCGAAGTCGACTGGAGAGCGCAGTTGTTGTGAGGTGGTTGACGAAAAAATGATCTACTACATCTACATGTAACGACGTTGCCACTGCACAGGACCAAATGCTGCTTCTGTAGTAGATCATTGAAGTGAGTAATCCAGATTTTCCAAGCTGAGTCAACACTTGCAGCACCGGTTATTCGTTCCATCAATCATTCGTGCCAGTATCTCGCAAATATAGCCAACGCACTGTCTTACCGTGGTACGTGGCCAGTGCACCAGTGACTGCCATTAATATACAATACAATCATGTGCATGACATGATGTAGTACTGCATTGATAGTGATACCCAAGCCAAGAAAGGATAACCGCCACGGTTATTCACCTCACATCCACAAGCTGCAGAATAGGCTCTACCGACGATACATTGCACGGCTGCATGATGTGGAAACCAAAGCGCTCTCTGTAATACGTCTTCAGAAATCGCTATCACAAGCACATCCCCCAAACCAGCGAACTAAACTAAGCTTATGCACGATGGACCGACCACCAGCCACGAGCGCAGAAATCCTACCAACACAGGTACCCTCGGTCTCAGGTACTCTCATATTTATTGTTATTTTTGCTCCTGAATTGTCCTCCCTTTTGCTTTGCTACCGTCCTCCTCCTTCCTCCAACCTTTTTCTTAATTAACCTCATTATCACGTTCGCTTCCATGTAATTGGGCTTGTAGCCCGTGTGTACTTGCGAATTCAAATAAAAACATACATACATACATACATACTAACTGCAATGATCAGCTGCCACCATATATGTACCAGAGAAGTTAGTTCCATTTCCCTCCCTTCAGGCGGGGGCAAAACCCTATGACCTACAACATCTCAGCAAACGACTTACGTAAAGCCACGTCCAGTAACTACATCATACAGTACTGTCCTGAGATGTCTAGCAGATGTACATGTACATGACAATAGAAAGTCGCCACAGTAATTCTGTACAAAGGAGAAAAACCGGTCCATTTGCACGACATGTTACCAATCTCTCTTCTCCACCTTAACTCGGTTGCTTGAGCGAAGCCTAGTCACAAGCTTAGTTGCTTGTCTAGACATCAATCACGCAGTATCCATGCAGATGTCAGTTTTCTTTCATGCCAAACAGCTCGGCCACAGATCAATAATTGGTTCTGCTGACATATCATGGCTAAAGTTCTTGACGCTATAGGGGCCGTTTTAACTTTCGAGTGTGCCTTTTTGGAGTTCCGGAAGGCTTTTGACCGAGTGTGCCATTCCTCTCTGCTTCAGGTCTTCAGGCTACTCGATGGTGGTAACACCTGTAAATGGCGGGAGTATCAACTTGAAAACAGAGCTTTAGAAGTGGCTGTAGAAGAGAACACCTTTTCTAGCCACCACAGTCACTGCCGCGCTCTCCAAGGCTCTACCACATACATGTATATACGCTTGTTGTTGCTGTTGCTGCTGCTGCTGCTGCTGCTGCTGCTGCTACTGGTGTTGCTGTTGCTGCTGCTGCTGCTGCTGCTGCTGCTGCTGCTGCTACTGGTGCTACTGGTGTTGTTGTTGTTGTTGTTGTTGTTGTTGTTGTTGTTGTTGTTGTTGTTGTTGTTGGTGGTGGTGGTGGTGGTGGTGGTGGTGGTGGTGGTGGTGGTGGTGGTGGTGGTGGTGGTGGTGGTGGTGGTGGTGGTGGTGGTGGTGGTGGTGGTGGTGGTGGTGGTGGTGGTGGTGGTGGTGGTGGTGGTGGTGGTGGTGGTGGTGGTGGTGGTGGTGGTGGTGGTGGTGGTGGTGGTGGTGGTGGTGGTGGTGGTGGTGGTGGTGGTGGTGGTGGTGGTGGTGGTGGTGGTGGTGGTGGTGGTGGTGGTGGTGGTGGTGGTGGTGGTGGTGGTGGTGGTGGTGGTGGTGGTGGTGGTGGTGGTGGTGGTGGTGGTGGTGGTGGTGGTGGTGGTGGTGGTGGTGGTGGTGGTGGTGGTGGTGGTGGTGGTGGTGGTGGTGGTGGTGGTGGTGGTGGTGGTGGTGGTGGTGGTGGTGGTGGTGGTGGTGGTGGTGGTGGTGGTGGTGGTGGTGGTGGTGGTGGTGGTGGTGGTGGTGGTGGTGGTGGTGGTGGTGGTGGTGGTGGTGGTGGTGGTGGTGGTGGTGGTGGTGGTGGTGGTGGTGGTGGTGGTGGTGGTGGTGGTGGTGGTGGTGGTGGTGGTGGTGGTGGTGGTGGTGGTGGTGGTGGTGGTGGTGGTGGTGGTGGTGGTGGTGGTGGTGGTGGTGGTGGTGGTGGTGGTGAAACGAATTTTAGAATGTTCGACTAGGTTCGCTCCAAATGCCAAAATGGGAGTGGAAGAGAATTCGATTCGGTACTTCAGGGTGTCGAACGTTCGTCGATGCATGCGTAGGTACATTGTACATGCAGTCCCATCACTCCCATGCTTGAACTGCAAAATGTGTCATGTACATGTACATGTCTGGTTGTATATCGTGCAGAGGTCACCCAGCCACACTCGGCCCCGGGTCACCATTGCAGGTAACAGTAGCTATTCGAAAAAGAAAGTGATTGCAGATTGTCCAATTCTTGGTTGTTTTACGATTGCGATGGAGCGCTTGTGTGGACATTTGTGGGGGCTTCATTTGTTAAGAATAGTTTGCGAGTTCGTCAAGCGAAGCGTACAGTTCGTCAGAATGTTTCGTTTACCTCTATTGGGGTTCGTTACAGCCCTCTGTCACCGTCACTCCGACTCAACTTCTTGTTGTTGTTGTTGTTGTTCAATTTTATTTAAAGTCACAGCGCAAACAGGCGGTAACGCCTTCTTTGATACATGTGCGCGACTCAGTACAATACAGAAACATGGGGAAAGGGAGGAAGGAAGGAGGGAACAAGGCAAGAAGTCACCTACATGTAGGTCAATACAAACCAGTATAGGCAGGGACAAACTTACAGATCATTGGGGCCTGGGCAATGGGCATACACTTGCGAGAAGGCACAGAACTGAGCTCGGACAATGGAGGAATCCTTCAGAGTACTGACTACTGGACCTTAGCCATAACTATGATTCTTATAATAATTATTACGATACTAACCCCCCTCCCCCCTGGTGCGCGTTGTGTGCAAGGATACCGAGACCTCTGGTCGGAGAAGTCCACAACGCCCCACCTACACAGCTGCGCTAGTGGATACTAGTTGTCAGCCCCGACTCAATAGTTGTTTATTCTGTCAAGTGTCAACCCACAACTTCTGTGTTCTAGTTGTTTCTTCGTTCTCCCTGCATGCAACTTTGTCATCTTTCTTGTTCTTATTTTCGTCTCGAGCCGGGTTTGTGTTCTTTGTAAAAAACTAAGAAAAAGAACTGTACCATGTACCACAGTTCAGGCTCTTGAAGAACGTCTTCAAAGATTTCACTAGAATACTTTCAAGCCTTATCGTCAGGTGAAATACAGGCAAGATCAAATGAACAAATACAATGGACTCTAAAACTACAGCAGAGAGGTGATAGAAACAGCGCAAGGAAGTAAAGCGATAATGATAACCTAAAATACGTGACCGATACACCGTACAATGTGCTTGTAATGAGAAACTGGTGCGTGTGCGAGGAAAACTAATGATTACCACTACTACATGTACAGTAACAAGCTCGAAGTGTGGTGTGACAACAGTAGCCAACAAATGGACATAACTAACGAGTTGTTGACGACTTACCTACATTTAGCAGCCAAAATGTGAATTTAATCTGCCTCTGCTTACATAAGTGATAGTCTTCATGGTTTCACGCGATTGGTGTTGTGAATAAACCCGTTCTCAAATGATACTAGTGGTTAGAACTTAGGTCGCGTAACAGCCTCTTTTATGGGCAAAAACAACATCATAATAACGATGAGAAACCAGGGTATGATGGGAATAGAAGAAAAGAACACACAGGTGTGGAATATAATTATGTCTCATGAGAGTGGCGAGAGTTTTACACTAAAACACAACTGGTTTAGATCCGGCTTTCAACCACCGCCAGCTCCCTGAGCTGGACGACGGTATGCAGCCACGTAGCATGTTGCATATTTGCAGTCCGCAGCGCACATACATGTTTGCAACATGGTGTGCATGGGTATAGGGCATGCTGGAATCATCCCTGGCAAGCCACAGACGTGACAGAGGCGCTTCAGGAACCTTTCGCTTTCAGCCTCAGATTCAGGGGAGGCAACACGAGAACTCAGGCCGCAGAAGTTGAGAAAACCAGTTGCCTGAATGTGCCACGATCCACGATGAAAATTCGCTCCCCATACTGAAGATTCTTGTGGCGCTTGTGCTGAAGCAGTAGGACATCCAAGTGTTGGGCCGAGTACGACGCCGAAGCAGGATGGAAGACGCGAACGTCTAAAAAAAAGCAACTTTGTCCTCGGGTCCAGAAGCCACTGGGCATTGGCACGGACATCGGCTATGGCATCCTCGGAGGTGTTTAGTACTGTTTACCCATGCAGCAGTCAATACCTCCCCAGAGAGTAGGGCTAGCTGGGGCTCGATTGCCGCTGCGTGACATACCTCCGTGAGTAGCTCCCCTACCATGTCGCGGACTTTGTTATGGCGGATTGCAGAGAAGCCACCCCGGGGGCAACACACGGCACGAGCAGTGGAGAACAGAACTCCACAGGCACATGTCGCGGGGACGTCGAGGAGAGGCCAGTGATATCGCAATGCAAGGCCGTCCCTGAACTCCTGCTTCGAAGGTGGAAACCATGTTCCTTGAGAGGAAGAGCAGTGAGCGAGGAAGAGGGGCCTTTGCGGGACAGCTCATCCAGACGACGGGCCAAGGGGCGGTCCGCAGCTTCTCGGAGAGTAGCGAAAAAGACAGCACTAAAAAGTATAATAGTAACAGCAAGAGTACATAACCCTAGCCCTGGTTATGTACTCTTGGTTACAGTGATAATAATAATAATTTACCGTGCACGCGTGAGAGACCCGAGTTCTGCGCTGATGATGAGCAAGCTTTGCTCCAGCCACTCCTTACTGTACCATGGGTTACCATGGTACAAACATACTTGCAAACAGTAATAGTCAGTATGTCATTAGATGGAATGCTCACTACTAGTACTACGGAGGATTAGCAAGACGAAATTCGCGTTCGCGTTCGCAAACATTTTTCAGTTCGCGAACTGGATTGCGAACTTTCGCATTTTTCGTTCGGAAAAGTAGTCGGAACACGAATCGTGGATTCGTGTCAGGGCAGTCATAAATTTACCACGCTGTACTGCCTACGTCGTGTCAACATCATGCATGTGCGAATTCTGTTTGCTAATCCTTCTCATAACGCGAATTCCGTCACTGAGTTCGACTTTCTTTGGAGAGCGAACGCGAACGCGAATTTCGTCTTGCTAATCCTCCGTACTAACACTACAACACAGCACTGGTAGACATCTACAAAATTCATGTACATTGTACATGTATAGCCCTTGGCGGATTATGCCGGCATAATATTTGGCATAATCTTGGGATTTCGTCAAAAAATTGTGCTCCGGCATAATACGGATTCCAACGTGTAAGGTCGGCATAATCTTTCGGTTTAGACAAAAATTATGCTCAGGCCATGGCCGTGTGTGTATGCGTGGTTTCTCAATCCTCTATGTACAGCGTGAATACATAGTGGAACCGAGCATAATTCAGCATATTTGTTGGCATAATTGTGGCATAATCAAAAGCATAATTAAATTTTGACGATTGGCCGAGCATAGTCCGCCAATGGCTAATCATGTACATGTACATGGTGCAGGGCGCAAAGATTAGTTGGCCACCCCATGGCCATGGCCCAGCACAGGATCGGATTTCATTGAACGGCCTGTCTTAGTGTCTACATGGTCTAGGTCTAGCCTCTAGGTCTACATGTACTGTAGGTCTACGGTCTAGACTAGGGCCTACAGTCCATTCACTCTATAACTTATAAGTGTGCACTCTTTTCCAGTCAAAGTGGCATTGTGTATGCCCCATGGATTCTACATCATAGTACATGTATGTAGGCCAGCGCCAGCCTGACAGGGGAATACGCCACGTGGATGCGTTGAGGTGATCAATAAGGACTTAGGTGCATGACTTCTTCAAAGACAAAGCAGCGGCGCATGCAAATGCACGGAAATCAGCCAGCAAAGCGAGCTAAAAAAAATCAATTTTCCATTTTCTCTCTCAAATGGGACAGATTTTGATCCGGTTTTTTTTAAGGAGCCGCAAGCATGCTAGCAAGCGTGCATTCACTTAGAAAAAATTGCCTTGTATTTGTACATAGTGACTAGTGGTACGATGGGAGCATGTAATAACAGTGCACACTCATAGTGAATGGACTGTAGGGGCGCGTTCGAATTGTCACTCTTTGACTTTTCGAGGAGTTTCGTTTTTCTGAAGAGGTGGCCTTTTTGGACTCTTCAGAAAAACGGAACTCGACAACTCAAAAGTTTAATTAATAACAGAATTTTGATATTCTGAGACAGAAAATAATGACGGGGATAGAATCATAGAGGCGCAAGCAAGAATGAAGAAAAATGATTCTAACGGTAGTAACGAACTAACGACCTACTGATTCTATCACAAATCATCAAATGCCTGTACATGTACAATGTACAGTATGTCGAGCTACAAAAACCATTCCCATTGGCATTGGCATTGGCATTGGCATTGTACATGTACATTGTAGATCTACTAGTATTGACATGACATGTCATTATTTTGTAGTCATTGTAGAGTCTACATCATAATCATGTAGTGTAATGCATTGTTCATTATGGACATGCATGCATGCAGGTACTAGGTGACTGGTTAGTGACTGCCAAAAATCATTTTTCTTGTTTGCGCCGCTCTATGATTCTATCCCCGTCATTATTCTGTCTCACATTATCAAAATTCTATTGAGTCTGTTCTTTTGTGGACAGGACAGGGGGTGGAAGTAGTGGAGAGACGAACGCCAAGGAAGGCGAAGGCGTTGCTCGCTGTTGTACCGTTCCCGATTGCTGCTTAGTAGCGTCCTCGACAGTGAAGAGTCACTGGAAACGAGGCACATTTGCGCACCCGAGCGGGGTGGAGGTTGAGCTAAGCAGCACGTTGAGCGTTTAGGATGAGTGTGGCCAGATCATTGTTAGATTGGCGAATCACTGAGTCAGCCATATCCCCGTTGTCCCTCCAGCAAGAGATTTGCCAAGTAGCTGGATAATTCCCACTGTCATTGGAATCATTTCCAGTACTGACTAGTTTACTTTTGCCGATACCAGCGTTTTGTACGTGGTATTTAGGTAGCCAGAGCCGAGTTCTACCTTAGCAGTTTCCACTATGGGTGCTGCTAGCTGCTTCAACACTGACCCTGTGAGTAGAACTGCTGCGCGGAAGAGCCGTGCTCTTGACAAGTCTATCCGTGGATGGGGTAAAGAGGAGCGCAGGATTATCAAACTGCTGTTGCTGGGAGCTGGCGAGTCCGGCAAGAGCACTATTGTTAAGCAAATGAAGATTATTCACAGCACTGGCTTCTCGGATGAGGATCGTTTGAACTTCCGCAAAGCATTGCATTACAACCTTGTGCACAGCATGCGAGCGATAGTGGAACACATGGATATCTTGTCTATAGAGTATGGCAATCCTCTGCTGGAAAGACGAGTGCAGGAAGAGCTATTTGGTGACCACGTCATGTATTCAGACATTCTCAATCTCCACACATTGAAATTCATAGAGTCACTTTGGATGGATGACGGTATCCAGAAATGCTTCCGCCAGTCAAAGCATTACCACATCAGCGACGGAGCTGGATATTTATTCAAATGTTTGAGACGTTTCATGGTGGACAGCTATGTTCCCACGGAAACGGACATACTGCACATCCGAGTTCGTACGACTGGCATCATCCAAACTGATTTCCGCTTCGAGAATGCAGACTTCCAGCTGTTTGACGTCGGTGGGCAAAGGTCGGAACGGCGAAAGTGGATACACTGCTTTGATGGTGTCACCGCCATCATTTTCTGTGCATCCTTATCTGGATATGATACAATGTGCGCCGAAGACGGCACCACGCTCCGGCTGCACGAGAGTCTGCAGCTCTTTGACCTCATCTGCAACAGCTGTTACCTGCAGAATTCCAGCATGCTTCTGTTCCTCAACAAGACTGACCTTTTGCAGCAGAAGGTGTTCACGTCTGCCCTCAAGGACTGCTTTCCAGAATACAGTGGCCAGCAGACCTTTGAGGAGGTGGCCACCTACATACAGATGAAGTTTGTCCAATTGAACAAGACCCGAGGCGACGACCAAGTATTTGTACACAGGACGTGTGCTACCGACACATCTATCGTTAAGAGGGTCTTCCAGGTGGCTGCTGATACTATCCTTCGCGAGAATCTAGAACGCATCGTGGCATGACTGTTGCTGGATCTATTCAAACTCCCACAGTGATGCTACACGTCCAGTTTGAGAAGCACTGCGTGAGCAAGACGACAAGGTATGTGAATAGGCTTGACTACTTGAGGTCTACTATAGGGTTGATAGAGACTTGAACACATGGCGGTTTTTCTTCTTCTCTTTTGCTTACTTCATGCAGAGATCAGGTCATTTATGCTGGTAATAAATTACGGTTTCTTCCATACCATTTTCTTGAGCCTCCGTTTAGTGATAGAACCAAATTTTCTGGGTCTGTTTTCCATGCATGGTTTGCATGTAGAGCAACACACGACACCTAGGCAGTGTGGATATTTTGCTCAGGACTTGTTGAATTTTTTAGTTGTTAATGTGCGGAACCATCTACATGAAGATTTCTGTATCCAACTGAGTTGTTGTTAGGTTACCGCCCACTTTACTGGTTCATTAGCTTACCTCTGTCGCCGGTCCTTGATAGATTTTGGGTACACGAGGACCTATTTGGGTCTTAACTGAGTTCACATATTATACTATGGTTTGGAAGCTGATTTTAGATTGTTTCGAACGAAGAGCACCTTGAAATCATATGATCGTGTGAATCCTATGATAGTGTTGTTCTACTACGGTGTTTCTACTAGCACAACACACAGTGCCTAACCTTTCAGTGACCAGGCATCTTCCTGCAGATTGAAAATATCACCTACGCAGTACTTTGCAATGCTTTTCTTTGTGTTTTACTGCAAATAGCTGAGTGGCAAGCAATAGTCAGTGCTTGTATTCGACTGTAGGAAAGCTGGTGGCATGTTTCCGGGCAGAACAATGGCCAAATGTATTGGGTACCGAATGGCAACGATATGCTGTTCCGATGTGCAGTGTACATGTATGTAAAATTTGTACTTCGAAGCAGGGTTAGTAAAGTACTGGCATATATTTACCACTCCCTGCTTCGAAGTACCTGTTATGAGTATACTACATTTCACATTGTATTATGTATCTTGAATTCTTGATAAAATGACTTATCTAGACGTGCATCTGAGGGTATTCTTGTCAAGGAGTGTCAGCACTGCGTGTAAGCTATATTATATACGAAAATATTATTTTTGTCAGCAAAAATTGTTCGTACGGATACTATCAGAGTCTTTAACCTCCTCCCGGCTTTATCAGACATGTCTCTTGTACTATGCTCAGACAAACACCATGTACCATGTATACGTCCACACACACACACACACACGCACGTGTGCACATGCACACACACACACACACACACACACACACACACACACACACACACACACACACACACACACACACACACACACACACACACACACACACACACACACACGTGTGCACATGCACATACACACACGCGCGTGTGCATATGCATGCACAGGGTGCATACACCCGCTCGGTCTGCCTCTGACTCTCTCGCTCTCTCTCTCTCTCTCTCTCTCTCTCTCTCTCTCTCTCTCTCTCTCTCTCTCTCTCTCTCTCTCTCGCTCGCTCTCTCTCTCTCTCCTCTCTCTCTCTCTCTCTCTCTCTCTCTCTCTCTCTCTCTCTCTCTCTCTCTCCCTCGCTCTCTCTCTCTCTCCCTCGCTCTCTCTCTCACACACGCACACACGTGCACGCACGCACGCACACACACACACACACACACACACACACACACACACACACACACACACACACACACACACACACAATGTGACATATACACACACCGCATACATTATGTCACATGTCTGTTGTAGTACATTTAAATACATGTCTTTTGTAGCCTACACACTCAAAATAGTATCTATGTGTTGACCATGGTTGAGAAGGACATACATGTACTGCAGAAGTGAGTGCAGGTATGTCATTGTGTGCAGACCATCTTCGGTGGTGTGTACTGTATCCATGGTATCAGGGAGTCGTGACGGCTTTCATAATAATTATCATGACTACCTGTCCTAGTCAGTGCATGCATGCATAGTGCAGACTCCACTGCAAGGCAAGAGTACCACAACCAGTAGCAGCACAGTGTGTACCATAATTTATAAACATTAAATTTTATGATGATACGCCGGTACTGCGGTGTCTAATATTGACTGAGTACGAGGTCAGTATAGGAAATACCCCCCCCCCCCCCCCCCAGTAAAAGACCGGGGTGAAGCTGAGGTCTTTTACGAGGTTCTGTATTTCCTATTGACCTGGTACGAAGTCAATATTAGATTGATCGCGACAGGCCGAAGCATGTGTTCAATCCCTAAAAAGGAGTCCAAATATAAGCAGTCAATAGTCTTAAAGGGGTAAAATACGTATCTAATATTGACTGAATATGAGGTCAATATAGGAAATAGAAGCTGAGTAAAAGACCGAGGCTTCGCCTCGGTCTTTTATTTCCTATACTGACCAAGTACGAAGTCAATATTAGATTTATCACGACTAACCAAAGCATGTGTTCAATCGCTATTCAAAAATGTGTCAAATATAAGCGGTCAATATAGCCATAAGGAGTCGGGAATATGCAGGAATATTTGACTGCTTAGGTATAGCAAAAGTCTATGGGAGTCAACACTAAGGCCAGTAAGGGAGTGATAAGCAATAATATTGTCTTGTTGATACGCGATCTGCATGATACTGAGAGAGAGAGAGAGAGAGAGAGAGAGAGAGAGAGAGAGAGAGTGATAAAGTACCTTACTTGCATGTACATGACTGTAGATCTACATGTACATGTACATGTATGTGGATTCTTGCCTACTTGAGGCTAAACAAGTTACATGGTGCCGCAATCAAGGAGTAGTAAAATGCGTTACTACTCCCTCAGTCCCTGGCCTACATTACTACAATGTAGCTGGTGCTTGAGAATGGGTTTATTCACAAATCCAATTACGTGAAACCATAAAAAGTAAGAACTAAAGCGAAAAGACAACCCAAATTCGGCAAATTTCCTGCCACCGTGCTTTGCTAGTGCAGTGAAACCTGTCTAAGAAGACCATAAGACCGCTCAAGTCAAGGGACCTTCAAAATGTGGTCTCCTTATCCAGGGTCCTTTGATTGGACCGTCCCTGGCCGGCCTTGGTCCAGTTTGCAGTGGTCTTCTGGGACAGGTGATCACCTTTTCTATCTGAGTGGTCGCCATGGCAGGTTTTGCTGAACAGTACTGTAGAGTGTAGTGTAGTCGACGTAGTGTGTTTGGTCGTGAGCTACTCTGAGCTCATGAGTCTTGACGTCAGTCCAACATCGTGACACATCTGTACTAGACTAGTCTGTAGCATCTGGAGAGTGGAGTGGAGTTTGGACTGTCTGTACCACAGTACCACTACCGGTAGTACTACCAAAAGTACCAGGGAGTAGTAAGTATGTATTACTGCACAAGGACCAGTGCAATACCGGCCGATATCTGCACGAACGGCGAAGCCGTAAGTGCAGATATCGACGCCGGTATTGCACGCGTCCGAGTGCAGTAATACATTTATCGCACCCCTGCCACCACACAGTCTGTCACCACACACTGGTGCAACCCTAGCATGCTGCATATATGCGCATGCAACCCTGCTATCATTCACAGTCATAGTATTACAACACAGCACAACCAGTCGCGTTCATTTTTAGAGGAACACTTCTTTCGAGTAGCTGCTGTCTATCACGGGAGATCCTGGAAGTAGCGGGACAGCTTGCTCATGTCGTCGTCGTTGATGGGGTGTTTGTGCTCCAGCGCTTTGACTTCTCCCGCTTTCTTTGTCTTCATGAGGAAGGCTTTCAATGCAATGTTTGCGTCCTTGAACGCTGGGTCACTGTGGACGTTCATGGGCCGCTTCAACTCGACTAGCTTGCGATGTATTGCGGAACGGAAACCGAGCAAGCTTGATGCAGAGTAGAACTTCACTCCAGCTTTCTTCGGACGCAATTCGACGTATGCATGTCGCAGAATGTAAGCTAGGTCGCTTGCCGTAACCGTACTCAGGTCACAGCGACGTCCTGTGTCTTTACAATACTCGTCGAATAAGCGGAGCCATTTGTCAGTTGCCTGCTCTGTGTTTTTGTTTTTCTGCTCAGAAATGAGGCTGTTCGATGGCGGCGTCGGACAGTTTCTCAAATCGGCTGTCGACAGTCTTCTCCAATACTTGGGCGTCCGCTGTCTCGACTCTCACGGATCGAGCTTGTGAAGTAGTTGACTTGGCGGACGCAAGCCGGGTCCACATTCGCTTCCGCGACATCGACAGCGTCCTCGACCAATTATTTTGGTGTGCTGCAGCAAGTCAGCAGCGACTCCCTGGCGGAGCGACTCGCAATATTCCCAGTACACCGCCAGCCAATATGTGGATGCACTGCAGTCTGCAGTGCGATATTGCACCCCGGCGAGTGAGCGTGCAAATAACCTATATCTGCACGCTCACTTCGAAGCGAGCGTGCAAATAACCTATAGGCTATATTTGCACGCTCACTTCGAATCGAGCGTGCAAATATAGGTTATTTGCACGCTCGCTTCGAAGTGAGCGTGCAAATATAGGTTATTTGCACGCTCACTCGCCGGGGTGCAATATCGCACTGCAGTGCATCCACATTGGCCGGCGGTGTACTGGGGAATATTGCACGCTCAGTAAGGCCGCTGATTGGCTCAAACCATGGAAACACTCACGTGGGGTGCGATAAAGTATTTTACTACTCCCTGGTAGTACTGTTGTCATGGTTGTGGACATGGAAATCCGGTCGCACGTCTAGCGGCCCCAGGGTGCTGGCCATGCAGCCTTGGATAAGCGGTACGAGCTCGTACACACATGCATTTTATGCGCTGCATGCAGCGCGCTGGTCGCATTGGATCAACATTTGCCCTGCACGGCAGCGTTCTGTAGATCTACGCGCTGAGGGCGCCGGCCCCGATCAATCGACCGGATTTCCATGTCCACAACAGTACTAGTAGTAGTACTAGTAGTAGTAGTCATACATTTACTATCGCTCGTCAGCTCGCTGACCTAAAATCATACATGTATTGTTATGTAGCTCGGGCATCTGGCACATGTCATGACTGGATCGACCAGATCTACGAGTAGATCTACATCAGTACATGTTTTATGGATAGCTACAGTGCTGGCAACTGAAATGGGGGTCGGATTTCAGTTGCCAGCACTGTACATGACATACATTATTATGTACCCGTGTGCCATGATGTAGCTAGCTACAGTCAACTTCGCTTATAACGACACTCGGCGGGGCATCAAAAAGGTGTCCTTATTCGCGAAGTGTCGTTATACCCGAAGTCTCATTATTATGTATTACAGTGGGATGGGAATTATTATTTGCTCTGGGCATGGAAATTCTGTCGTTATTCGCAAATTGTCGTTATATCCGCAGTCGTTATTAGCGAAGTTGACTGTGGCTTATTAGTACTAGTACCTGAGTACAGTAGTAGCTAGCTAGCTGCAGCATATGCAGCGATACAGCGCAGATCTTTTTGAAGTGGACAAAAATATTTCTCGGTCTGCATGCAATATGCATGCGCGCATATGCTACATATACATACATTGATACAATCATTATAATCATCAGTACTACACATTTTTGTACAGTCATGTGTAGGGCGCAGTCATGGTCCTATGACTATGTACTGTCTTGTACTTGTAGGTACAAGCGCTACTGACACACTGTTTGCAGTATTTTTTTACTTTTTTAGTTCTGCTCCTCATAGCTCATGCTCAGTGGCTGTGATGACCTTGTGGAATTCTTTCGCTGGTAGATTCTTCTCCTGCCGCATGCCATCCTAAACTGGTCACTTGCTGCGAGTTGCTAGTTTGCATTGTACTGAGAAAGGTTGTTTGCTATTTGGTCCTATTTTGATGTTCTCCTCGCTTGGATCAGCAGTTTGAAGAGCTACAAGACTAGTATAACGTTGGTTCCGCATAATGGACTGTCTGTCTCCTGCATCGAGAGCAGAAATTCAGGCAGAAACAGCGGCAGCGTAGTGAGCGAGTGGCTTACTGTAGCCACCTTGATGCTCGATCGCTGCTGCTGTCCGACAGCAAACGAGGCTGGAAGTAGACCGGAGGCGGACTGCCTATCCGCTGGGCTAGCGTGCCGTGCCGCCGCTTGTGCATTGAAAATGGGTAATGTCGAATGCTGTGCCAGACTTTCGGACGAGGAGCGTGCAGCCGTAGCGCACAGCAGGACCATCACCCAAGCTAATCGCCAGGATTATGCACGGCAATCTTCGGTGATAAAGCTACTACTACTTGGGGCTGGAGAGTCAGGAAAAAGTACTATCGTCAAACAGATGAAGATAATCCACACGTCAGGGTTCACGCGAGAAGACTGCTTGGCATTCAGGTATACGCTGCACACGAATTTGATCGAGTCATTACGGTCGATTGTTCAAGCAATGGATCTTCTTGTAATTGACTTTGAACAGGAGAGTAACGTTGAACTTGCTGCTGACCTGGCCAATATGGAGCTGAAAGAGGGAGAGTTGCTCAATGTTGAACAGATGGAGATGCTGCAAACGTTATGGCGTGATGCAGGCGTCCTGCGATGCTTTGGTCGATCGAGGGAATATCAACTTAGTGACGGTGCTAGCTTTCTCCTTGACAACATCGACATGTACAAAGATGAGGAGTTTGTGCCACGCGAAGAGGATATCCTGCACATCCGTGTTGAGACGAAAGGCATCATTGAGGTGAATTTCACCTACAAGGAAACTCAGTTCGTACTGTTTGACGTTGGTGGACAGCGAAGTCAGCGGCGCAAATGGATACACTGTTTTGACAACGTCATGGCAATCATCTTCTGTACTGCACTCTCTGGCTATGATACCGTACTGGTCGAGGACGGAACAACAAACCGCATGATTGAAAGCTTGAGCATCTTCCAGTCAATCTGCAACAGCGAGATCTTCGAGAAAACCAGTCTTCTGCTCTTCCTGAATAAGACCGATCTTCTCCGGAGGAAAGTCCAGGATTCGCCACTATCCACTTGTTTCCCAGAGTACAAAGGTCCTAATGATTATGAATCCGTCGCAGCCTTCATAGAAATCAAATTCCTGGAAACGAACCGCAAACGGCTCCAGGAAAAGATCTATGTGCATCGGACGTGTGCCACGGACACCACCACGGTTAAGAGTGTGTTCCGTGTGGCTGCGCAGGCCATCATGCGTGAGAACTTGGAGCGGTGCGGCCTGATGTGATCATGCAGTCACACAATGCTGCTGGGACGCTAGCTGACGATAGATAATGAACGTGGCCAGAAATGGTCAGCGCAATTGATTCCATCCTGGCTTTTCGTGCCGATATGGATCGGCTCACCAGCTCCGTGGCTCAAGCAGGTTAGAATCTGCTAAAATGATATAGGCATGTATGGTCATGGGCTTTATCCGAAATGATAAAATGACGAGTGCCCCGACACTCTTGCTAATCTTCATTGTTCTATTTAGGTGCAATGGCGTTGAATGGAAACAAGTATACCGGCCTATTTCATGTTGCTGTTGTCTGACAGACGTACGCCATCGCAGTAGTTTTTCTCCACTGGTGTAGTATACGGAGACAGCAGCAGCACTCCAGCAAGAAAATCGACATTATTATATTTCCACCATTTTGTTGGTATTCCTGCGTCTTGAGTGACTTTTCCAAGTGTTCCTTTTTCAATTGTCAAAAAGCTAAAATTCAGTGGCCAGGAGGCTTGGAGGGTTGTATTAGAATATTAATTTCTTCATTGATTTTCTTCTATTTTCTTTCCCATCATATTTTTTTAAAGAATAGCATTATGTAATAGGATTAATTTGTGGTATTGACTCCAGAGCCACCGATAGTGTCTTGAGTAGTACAGAGAATGTATGCACTGTTCAAAGCTCTAGGTTTTAAAACTTTTTCTCTTTCCCTATGTATTGCGATTATTGTTCCTTGCTGAGTCAGTAGCCAAGTCGTTCTTGTCAACAACAATAAAATAGAAGGCATGCTTGCATGCCGCGGATAAGTTTGGGACTGGCTGCCTTTTGATTTTTTTTTAAGGTGCAGCATACCAGTGTCGGTCTGAGATAGCTGGGCAATGGCAGCAAGAGCAGGGGGTTCTGTGCTCTTGATCTAACTTCAAGCGGGCAACATAAATTCGAAGACCCCCAGTAATAGTTATGGTTATGTACATGACATTGTACTTTGCTTGGCACTGTCCAAATAATTCTTATGCATCACTATTGTTACTGCTAGCTGTTATCTCCAGACGGCACAGGAACTCTTCTCTTTAGGGTTGTAAAGCGTGTCACGTGGTGATCCATGTGTGCAGTCATGTACTCCATTGGGCACATGCACAGAGTGCGCTTCAACATGCGGCCTGTGAAATGTTGACCCGTGACTACTGAGTAGATCAACTGGTGACCCTGCAAGGCCGGCCGAGTGCCTGTGCTTCACTGAGTCGACCACTCTTCACTATGCGGCATCAATAGCTTGTTTGTGTGTTGTCAAACATGTGCTGCTGCTGCTGATGATGATGATGATGCCACCGTCTTGTTTCTGTTCACTTTCTAGTGGCATGGTAGAATGATAGTCGACTTGCATACCGTTTGTTATCCCTCCATTTGTTTTGTAACTTGGCAAGTTTTCCTCCTCTGCAGGGCTAGCGCCAGGCTTGTCGGAACTTTCACTTCGCAGAACTCGCTGGTCAACCAAAACAACAGTTTGGTAGTAAGGAGCACAATATTAGCTGAGTATGCCTCAATAATAACTACATAATACTTATCGCTCGCAACTTTCCCAAATGCCTGTGCAGTCATGTATGGGATGCCATGCAACTTCCAATCGCACTACCGTACCTAACTAGTTTCCCATCAAATGATCATGCATGATATTGGCGTGGCAGTACATGATGTAGAAAGTAGAAAGGCAGTGGACCATTGTCGGCAGGGCTATGATGCTACCTGTATTATAATCATCAAAAGACAACATTGCTTATACACCGGCATGGCATGGTATCCTGCCAAGAGTACATTACCAAAACGGTTAGCGGCATATTTCCTCTGATAATCAACCCGGCAGCTCGGTGGATGCCAACCCTACTCGGTTTGGTCTCTGACGTTGTGTTCTAAGTTAATTTCTCACATGGTCTAATATTTGCAGAGCATGGTCTTAACCCAACACTCAGTCTGTTTTTGAAACTCAGAGTAGTAGTGTCACGATAAGGCGCCCCAGTGCCCCCCCCCCAGTGCCCCCCCCCCCCCCCCCTCCTGTCACTGGACAACTACTTCATTGCTGGCCCGGAGTAGTCACGCGGCCACCGGATTACGCCATGGTCCCACGACTATCGCTATACAGTCTGTATCGGCTATAGTGTACCCTTTTGTTTTCAGTGTTTTCATCACTATATCCGATGCATCACTACAAGCGACAGCACGTGCACATGTCGTGACATACATGTACCCCGTGCACACATGAGGTGCTCTACTACGTCCACAATAAAGTCATGGTCATGGTGTATATCGTGATAATCGCATGAAAATGGTACTATAATGCACAATGTACCAGTGCCAGTGGAAATGTCACACCTTTCAGGTGCACATGCACACCCACACACCTGCTTGTTTGGTACTGATATCACAGTCACTATAGCCGTTGTTTCATTGTTATTACCTCAGTGACGATGGCCAAGTGCCGAAACGTTGTAAAAATAACGGAACTGGTTCGGATGTGATGTGCAGCGCTGTGGGAATGGGTGTGTCCACCCGAATTCTTTTCACAGATGAAGCTGCAGGAAGCCTCAGCCCTTCTTCAAACATAGCCGTTGTTATTATTATTATTATTATTATTATTATTAGGGCTCAAACGGTCACGGTTTTACCCCTAACGGTTAACTGCTAAGCTAACGGTCGGTTTAACGGTTATAACCTATAAGCCAAAGCAATCCTGCAGACTCTTTTTAACCGTACATTTGACTATACTCATTCAAAAAATGTACTCTATTCAGTACAACGCACACATGTACATTCTCTTGCATGCTCATTCATACATACTCTCACACCAAGAGACCAGATATGACCAAGTTGACAGCCCAGAAATTGCGTGCGACAGCCTGCGAAAGTGCATACTTTGCAACGACCTGATACTTGACAAATTGACTGAAAAGTTACTGCGTAACCGTTATCTTTATCAATAACCGTTAATTCTTTGTAACCGGTCTGCAACCGGTTAATCGGACTAACCGTTTGAGCCCTAATTATTATAGTGTGAAATGCTCGTTCTGATTCTGGGATACAATCGTGATATCAGATAACTCAGTGTATCAAGGCTGCAACTGATTCAGTATTAATTATAAAACTTATAATGGCTACACCATACTGAGCTCACGGTGTTTGGAGCTTCGCTGGCCTCAAGCGAGGGTCTCTGTGCAATGTTATCGCATGAGCTGATTGTTTAGTAACTGGTCGTGTTAGTGGACAATAGTGTAACCGTTGTAGTTCCTTGGTCCTTTTTCTTTTCTATCAATGTCAGAAGCTTCATAATGATAATGATAATAGTGATAAAAGGTGTCAGCACCGACAAAATCCATATAGTCAAGTAAGCCAATTTGGTGATCGAACGTTTTCGTTCCCTTCTCATCATGGGTAAATACAGGGAATAATCTGGGAAAAATGTCAAATACAACAACTTAAAGAGCTGTGTAGCTCTATAAGTTGCTGTATTTGACAATTTTCCAGTATTCCCTGTATTTACCCATGATGAGAAGGGAACGAAAACCGTTCGGTTGCCAAATTGGCTTACTTTGTATTTGTATTTATATCATTTTCTCATGGCACATCATGATGACGGCCAGTAAAACTGAGACAAGGGTGAAAGCCAACCACAGCAGTAAAACAGCAGTAAAACATAAAAGAATACAAATAAAAGGCAAAGGAGGAGACAAACCAGCAGGACTTGACTGTGTGACTGGGATTGCGTCGGTGCTGACACATTTTCTTTCGAACATTTATACGCCTCCAATTTTTTCCCTATACAGTCAACTTCGCTAATAACGACTGCGGATATAACGACAATTCGCGAATAACGACAGCATTTCCATGCCCAGAGCAAAGTCCCTTCCAACTGTAATACATATAATGAGACTTCGGGTATAACGACACTTCGCGAATAAAGACACTTTTTTGATGGCCCGCCGGATGTCGTTATAAGCGAAGTTGACTGTACCGTATGGCCGCACCTTTAAAGCCATTGTGGTATATTCGATTATAAAGCCAGTCTCAGTTATAAAGCCATGGGCTTCATAAATGAAATGACATTTGAAGCATGTTTTGCAAAAATGAAGGAATAAGTACTATGCTAACAAACTTACAGCCCAGCAGGAAGGGCGAATAAGTAGATTTAGATTGAAATTTCTGTGTGGACTTTGACTTTTATGGCATGGCGTAGTGGGTGAGTCATTTTGCATCTAAAATAGCTAGGAAAGCAGCGGTGTTTCGATTATAAGGCCATGGCTTTAAAGGCGCTGACATACGGTAATAATAATAATTATTAGTTTTGGCTGAAAAAATGCATTTTGCATATTTGGTCTTGTCACATGATTCAACAGCATACAGGGTGACTATTTTCTTTATAATTTATACAGTGTATACTGATACATGTAATTCAGGACTGAACCGCCGTGATTCTCAGTGTTTAATACAGGACCCGCGCCGGAAGCAGCTTTTGATTGGCCCGGTAGTATTGTGGCCTTTCATACCAAGTTTGGGTATCGAAATGTTGGATACATAATATTTGCCTTTCACAGTACTACACACATGTTGGTGGCCAAAAAGTTGGTCCGGTAATAACCTGACCAACCATACCCGGCGGTTCCGGTGGGCCTGTAATATTACCGTATTTCCCCGATTATAAGTCACATCCCCATTTTCAGGTTTGAGCAATATTGTTCAAGTGCGATATATTCACTTCAGTAGTAAGTCCTGCTCGATTGTAAGCCGCACCCCCTTTTTTACCCTGAATTTTAGTGTAAAAAGGTGCGACTTATACAGTGTACAATCATGTAATTGGGGAAATACATGTACCGTAAAGTCGCGGATAAACTGAGCCGGGTTTGCATACAAGCACACGCGGATAGAAGCCTGAAAATCAAATGCATATAAGCCTGTCGCGCGTAGAAGCCTGGCTTCTATGCCGCAAGGGCGGATCGGGTAGGCCAAGAGTACCAGTAGTCAGTGGTAGATCTACGCTCGTACAAGCCTGGCAAAAAAATCAGTGGTGCATATAAGCATGGTTTGCATACACGCCCGGTTTGCATGAAGCAGAAAGCGGCTTTAAAATATGTGCTTATATAAGCCCGGCTTTTATCCGCGACTTTACGGTATGTGCTCTGGTTTCCCCAGCAGGCCCAGGGCCTAGGCCGGAGATCTTTCTCAAGTTCATTCGTTTTAGTCTACCAAGCTTACCTTCATGCTCACTTGCTCAAGTCCCTCATACATAGACCATGATAATCAAGAGTACTCTTGGTATTATTTATATCAGGGAGTAGTAAAATACCCACCACTACAGTCCATTTCAAAACTATAGACGCGTACCTAGGCAAAACCGTTATGCCAGCATCTATACCACATAAAATCTGTGATCACTTTGTGCATAATTTTTTCCAAATTGGGCGTCTGTTATCCAATCGTTTAGAAACTATATGAGAGTAATTGTGGAGCGGCCGGTCCTGAGCAATATTCCGAAAACTATTTTCAAAAAGTTCCAGCCAAATTTGAAATATTTCAAAAACTCTACGCGTCTGACTATAGTTTTGAAATGCACTGTAGCACTACTCCAGGACCATTGGCATTGCTGGCATGATTAGTTGATTACCATGATTACTAGGGAGGTTCCGGAGTAGATCTACGATTTTTCGTGCCAAAATCCGTGGGGGCTCTACGGATTTTTTATACGTCGTTTTCGAGTAGTGGAAAGTTCCGGGGTACGGAACTTATGTGTTTGCCGTCATTGCCTAGGTTACGATCGCAAACACGTCACATTCCCGCGCTATGCCTTTTTATTTTGAAAATTTGTACCGAAATCAAAATTTCCCGCGAAAAATCGATGTTTCTCGTATCAAATTTGTACGCGAAAAATCTTTCTGCACCTGATGACGCAAAATCTCCATACGAAACATGGTTCGTATGAAAGCCAGTCCACACGGATTCTCCGTGCCGAGAAATCGTATGGAGCACGCCTGGAAAAAATCCGTAGCGCCCATACGGATTTTGGCACGGAAAATCGTACCCCGGAACCTCTCTACTGTTCTGTCAGACTGTCAGTCTTGTCTTGATGGCACGTCGACGTCATGTCACGTCAGTCATAAGGACATTACGTCATACCATTCAAACTGAGTTGGACAGTTGCGTGGAGTTTCATCATTTGGCGTGATGGATTAATCGATTGGTGGACACGACTTTCAGGATACTTTTGAACAATTCAACGTCTCGTTTTCGTCGAGAACACCGAAGGTCCTTGTGTTAGTATCTTCTTTGTAGACATCATTCCGATCATAGGTCGATATTTGGACCTTCAGTGATCATGGCGTCTGTTGGTGAGCCACAACCTTCTTCTAATTCCAATTCTCCTACGTATGTGAAGCTGAAAGGACATCATAAATTAGCATTTTCTCTGCTGTCTCGTGCTCTCGAAATAGAGGAGAAAGGAGGTGAGAAACTTCAGGGTGGTACAATAATGCACATGTGTCCGAGAATGTTCCCGCGCTCGTGCTAGTTCTAGTATTAGCGACTTCGGTCCAAAATTTAAAAAAAAAATGGAATTATGGCCAACAAATTTAAACGACTGGATGGAGATCATACATTAAAAAAATTCATGGGAATGTCTTGTCCCATAGCGGAGCTATGAGACCATAAAGTTGGTATGCAATCGTCGGAGACCATGTATGCAATCGCCGCAGACATGTATGCAATTGTACGCAGAGCGATGGCACAAAAGCGGGTTTCTCCGACCTCATGACTATCATGCATACACAGTGAATGTATGCACGATATGTGGTGTTGTTGTTGGAGAGTGGCAGAGAAACCGTCGTAGATGTTGGACAGGATGTCACTTGTGTAATAGTGTTCTGCTTCAATGAAACGAGAGAGCTTGGAAGCTCAGGGCCCTATGCTATGCTTTTTTGCCTTGATGACCTAGACAAAAAAAAGCATAGGTATATTATAAATTCTTTAAAAAAATCCCTTTTTTTTAAGACATAACCTGGGATTCGAACCCGCACTATCGCGCGCCCTGCATGCATCCCCCGATACACTTCGCATACATACTAATTCTTCCAAGTTGCTTCACGTTATGATCTTGCATTTGAAAGCCCTATTTGATTATGCATTGTGGCCAGCCGTCTTTGATGGTACGGTACGGTACGGGATAGATACGGGACAGGTACGATCGAGGGTAATACGACACCATCTACCGCCTTGATGACGGCAAAAAAAGCATAGGGATGTTATAAATTTTTCAATTCTCCTATTTTTTCAGGCATATCCTGGGATTCGAGCCCGCACTATCGCCCTACATGCATTCCCCCATACACTTCGCATTCATACCCATTCTTCCAAGTTGCTTCACGTTATGATCTTGCGTTTGAAAGCCCTATTTGAATATTGCGGGCAGCTGTATGTGGCCAGCTGTGTTTGATGGTACGGTACGGTACGGACAGATACGGGATAGCGCCAGGCGTGACACAAACACACAAACACACAAATACCAAATTAAAGCTGTTGGACCCTGGCTAGCGCCAGACGTTACTGAAGTAACGTCTTCTGCATAGCTACGGGAATAATCAGCACTTGCTCGTGCACGTCCACCGCCTTGACATAAAGAACAGTAGCGGCCATGGATTTACAAGCCAAAATGTCTGCTCGCTCCGCCATGCCGCACCCCTCACATAGTGCACTTCAATGGTCGTTGGGCACAAACTTTTCGAACTTTTCAAACAGCTACGGAGCAGAACCTTACTGTGAACCTATGTGAACTAATTCGAGGATGCTGAACATGATGGTAACTCGGTCATTGACGGTCAAGGTAGCTGAGATGCTGAAAATTCGCTTTGAATACTAAAGCCTAGTTCACATTCGACGGGACGCGACGTAAGGATCGACGGGAAGCGACGGGACGGTCTGACGGCGTCCAATGTGAACACCAGGAACGGGAACGCAACCGTACTACCGTACAGATCGGGAAGCGACGGGAAGAGTTGGATCGATCCAACTTTTCATACCGTAGACGGGCGTAGACGGGGACGCAAGCGTACAAAACGGCTGCAATTCGAGTGTGAACAGGAGACGGCGTCGTGCGCCGACTACTCCCGATTCGTACTTGGATATTTTTAGCATTTTGAACACTGCGCTTCCCATGATAACTCACAGAATGGCTAGCATGCCTTTAGTTGAATTTTAGCAACATAAGATCTCATCTCACTTATTGTATTTAGGGATAGTTCAGAAGCATGACAGACGAACTATTCTATCATTTCCTGGGGCTATTATTTGAATGCCACAACGTTCAGGGCTAATTTTTTGATCTTCATGAAAAACTGGGATTGCGAACTTGATTCCGCTTCTTTCCAGGAGAAATAATTGATAAGAAGTCCCGAAAAACGAGAAATTAGGTCCGAAAGTCACCCAGTCACGGACCGTGCCTTATGACTCGCGCCGTTCGACATTGAACGTCGCAACGACTTCTGCATGTCGTGTCGTACGAATCGTACAGGATTTTACAGCTCACCCCAGCCCTCCCGGCAGGCCCTTACGTCCCGTACCGTCGGCGTTGCGTCGAATGTGAACTAGGCTTAAAAGTACGGGGCGATATATCAGAAAAGCAATGAACATGCAGCACACCGTTGGAAAGCTATTCATGTATGCTTGGCCATCATGCAAAAATCGAAGGTGCTGGGCACATGAATAACATGAAGGCAGGCGCAAAACTTCAAGAGAAAAATTGTGCCATGGACACCACTCCTCCAGCATACATCCGCACGACGACGGATTTCTGCCTCTTGGTCACGTGATTGAAGCCGCCACTATTATCTGGCATGTTATCACAACTGCTGCTGTTGTCAGTGCAATCGTGAACACAACGCCAAATCATCAGTCACCGGTACTTATATACTGTAGACCCTTTGGCAAAGGCTTTGCTCATATGGACAGTCCCCGACGTTGCCCTCGAGATGCCCTGAAAAATTTGAATAAGTGGAGAACGTACGGGGCTTGCTTTGCACGGAAAGTCAGACACAGATACGGAGTGGTTGCAAAAAGACCCGCATTGGCATGAGCTAATAATATCCAAGACTTGTGTGGAAGCAGAGGGGCACCCTGGGTGTCCTTCTTTAGCTGCAGCCAAAATGACAAGCGCCAGTGCTGCCCCAAAGGCCTGTGGTGTCAGCAATTCACTGTTTTCGTATACCCGTTGTGCACAAATTGTTCTCCGCATGGAGCGCCGTGGACTGCCCGTTTGCAAAGGTCTATCATGGTTATACAGTTATACTTTGATAGAACCTAACACTGGTTAAAAAACCAGTATTAGATAACAATTACAGTTATACCTGTACATGTTATGCAATAGAGTATCGGTTTTCTGAACCCTTCTGGGGGGGGGGCAGCAGGATATATTTTCGGATAGTGGATATGTCTACAAACCACGAACAGTGTGGTGATGGTAAGTGAAATACGAACCCCGGGGGTTTCGTGATGGGGGGGGGGGGGGCAGTAGTGTTTTGCTGACTCCCAGCGAGTACCAGGCATGCACCAGGCCTTCCGCTGACTCCTGAAGATCACTTTCGTAGCTTCCATTCTCAGGTCTTGCATACGCGACGTAGATCGTGGGTGTGCATGGGTATCGGTCAATAGCGATTATGCATGTGCTGCGTACAGCTCTGTATGCCTGTGTTAGGCGGAGTGTTAGGCGGAGTGTTAGGCGGAGTGTTAGGCGGAGTGTTAGGCGGAGTGTTAGGCGGAGTGTTAGGCGGAGTGTTAGGCGGAGTGTTAGGCGGAGTGTTAGGCGGAGTGTTAGGCGGAGTGTTAGGCGGAGTGTTAGGCGGAGTGTTAGGCGGAGTGTTAGGCGGAGTGTTAGGCGGAGTGTTAGGCGGAGTGTTCACACAGTGTACATGTACTTTAAAATAGACACGTGACCTACGCGTATGCTACATGCATGCCGACATCATGCTTGCCTTTAGGTTGATGTGGTCTTTGTGCTGTGTTGGTACAATGCAATGCTGATTCACCTGTGATTCTTATGAATTTCTGGCGGAGGACTTCCCAGTAGACAGAAGAATACAGCCACTTCCTTTTTGCAGAACACTCCATGATGCTAAAAATCAGACTGCTCGATGGGTATCAGACTATCAGCCATGCTACATCACCTAGCCTATTACCACCGTGGATCATGGCGTCAATTGCACAAAGAGTTCGATAGGTAGAAACCTACTTGAAAGCAAACAGTCTTCCCGTTGAGTTCTTCCTTGCCACTCTCTCTCTCTCTCTCTCTCTCTCTCTCTCTCTCTCTCTCTCTCTCTCTCTCTCTCTCTCTCTCTCTCTCTCTCTCTCTCTCTCTCTCTCTCTCTCTCTCTCTCTCTCTCTCTCTCTCCTTCTCTCTCCTTCTCTTGGTTTTATCTACTGTCATAAAGAGCTTCCAGGAAACCAATGGCGTGCTTGGTCGGTGTGCACATATTAGCTTGTCAGAACTTTTATTGTCTTGTCCCTCGTTCTCTTGTCCCGCGTTCTCTTGTCCCTCGTGCCATGTGTTGTCAGGAGAGCGACAAGACGCCATTCCACTCTACGAAGCTGGTATTGCAGAGCTCGAGAAAGGCTTGGAATTGGAATTGACGGAATTCGGTAAGGGCGACATGAACACACAGTTAGCCGGCGAACTAGTTTTATGTTCAGTGTTATTACGACGCTAAGTACTGAATGCAGTTTTAGTTTTTGGCGATGATTTTCATTAGACATGGCCTCTGCATGCATGGATTGGCTTGCTCTGTGTCTGCTTTCCTCTGTGACTGTTTGCAATGCCTGTGCATGCTTTCCACTACGACTGTTTGCAAAACATGCGCGCGTGCATGCATGGCCTCTTTGCTGCATGACGAAACTGAGAAAAGTGGAAATATGCTGGGTACAGCCATGCGTCAACTACTAGCTGTACATGACATTGTTATTGGCATAGTATGGTGTGCGGGGAAGCCAGGTGCTGAGCTTCACTTGGCGCCACTGTCTTTTACACAAAATTCAAAAACTCCGTCGCTATGGATCAGCTATGCTCTTGCTGCCGGGGTTGTGCTCCTACTTGTACTTCAGTTTCATTGTGTTTGTTTCTCACTTGATTTCCTTGCAAGACAGGTTCTACTTGTGAATGTTTGATTGCTGTGTTGTGATTGCTGTGTTGTGTAGATGCTCCCAAAGCGCATTCACTGCAGGCACATATGGTGCAGAACCTGACGAGTATGCGGGACAGAGTGGCAGAGTTAGGTATGTACTTCAGTAAGTGTAATGTGATTCACCCTTACTATGTCAGGGTTCTAGCCAGGTAAAAATAGTAGGGGGGGGGGGGGGGGGCGGAAACAGTCTTGCCATGCCAAATGCAACATTCGGGGGCGAACCCCCGACTTCACGCCACACAAAATGTGCCGTTGTGAACCCTCTAGTCTAATAGTGACTAGAGACTGCGTTTTCGTTGAATGGCATGAAAAGACACAAAAATCAACAAATGAGTAGGGGGCGCTCAATCAGAGTGTGTGTGTGTGGGGGGGGGGGGGGGGGGGGGTGCTGTGCCCCCTACCACACCCCCCCCCCCCCCCCCATTTGGCAAGAACCCTGCTATGTACTATGTTGGTGGCAGTTCAGGTTGCCATTGCAATCTCTGTACTATAGGAAAATCCTCATTCTTCGACGCAAGGCTGGCAGTTTCCTGGCCTTAGCTATCCGAGAAACCGCACAGTGAATCCATGCTTTGAGGCGGCCTGGATCACTGGAGAGAAGCCAATCACCTTGCGAGAGCAGTAGCGATTACGTGTGCAGTTCCTCATCGTAGAGAGAGTAACGTTAGAACATGCACAAATGTAAGCTCCATGGCATCCTTCACGCCTCGCTTCAGCTCCTTCTCTGCCATGATCAAGTTGCTACAGACCTTGCAAGCTGATTGCATACACCACTGCCACAGGTTATGTCTGACAGCTAGCTACAATAACAATATCCTCTTCATGAATGTTCAAGAATATTCTCGGGTCAAAATCAACTCTCCACTGTCTACAATACAGCATGATCGCATGTGCGTGGACAGGATCCGACTGTGATGCAGCTCTCCTGGAAGAAAGCAAAGTTCTTCTCTCTCCAATGCCATCGCTCGTCAGTGTCAGTCCAGAAAAAATTAATTTCAATTTCTGAAGCTGCAAATTCAACGCATTCCAGTCTGCCTCAACCAAGACTACTACAGGGTATGTGATTTGACAAGGTTTATCAGTAGGACTTGGAAAAGTCACAGTAACAGTCTGCAAGATTACTAGCCATTACAACAAGTATCAAAACATCAAAACAAACATCGTGTAGATCCACAATTTCAGATTCAACCATCGATCTACGAAATAATTACAGACTCACTTTCCCGCCAGCTGGACATGCATGCTCTCACCAGGCCGAGAGTCGTTGAATGCCGGTACTTGACGACTCCCTGGCTCTCACTTGTCAGCCAGCTCACACGTCTGGTTGTGCACGCGCAGACGTCCAGCACACACGCGTGTCGAAATGTGTGTTTTGCCGGGAAAGTCGGTAAAAATTAAGTGAGGGTCCCTTTAGTCCTTCGCCAAAGTTTGCCCAGCACCGTGTCAACTGAATCACGGTTTGCCAGTGTTATCTTGGTCACACGCGTGCAAATGTTTGCACGTCGTGTGAATGGCCTATAAGACAAATTCCCCAAAAAAACAGAGGTACTATATTGTAGGTGGGGGTTCGAACCCCACTTTTGACGACCTTTTTTCCCGCCGTGATCGAAGTTTGTGGGTTCGAATCGCAAACTCTCCGTCTTCGTGCCAAAAATATTTCCAAATGGCAGGAAATACTTTATCCATATACTGTTAGGGTGCATGTACATGTAGCGACCTTTATTCAATCCAAGGTGTTTCATACCATCTATAGGGCTTTATCCATATACAGGTGGAATCCTGATAATTCGAACCTCAAAATGCCAGGAAAAAACTTCTAATTATCCGGACATTCTAATTATCCAAACATGAACCAACAACACAATATGTATGTCAAAATTCTCTCATGAAAACGCAGAGTTGCGCTATGGACCTTAGACACAGATTTCACGGATACAGGTCGTCCCTCGTTAATACATAATCTCTTTTTGCCATGCCAAATGCAACATTCGGGGGCGAACCCCCGACTTCACGCCACACAAAATGTGCCGTTGTGAACCCTCTAGTCTAATAGTGACTAGAGACTGCGTTTTCGTTGAATGGCATGAAAAGACACAAAAATCAACAAATGAGTAGGGGGCGCTCAATCAGAGTGTGTGTGTGTGGGGGGGGGGGGGGGGGGGGTGCTGTGCCCCCTACCACACCCCCCCCCCCCCCCCCATTTGGCAAGAACCCTGCTATGTACTATGTTGGTGGCAGTTCAGGTTGCCATTGCAATCTCTGTACTATAGGAAAATCCTCATTCTTCGACGCAAGGCTGGCAGTTTCCTGGCCTTAGCTATCCGAGAAACCGCACAGTGAATCCATGCTTTGAGGCGGCCTGGATCACTGGAGAGAAGCCAATCACCTTGCGAGAGCAGTAGCGATTACGTGTGCAGTTCCTCATCGTAGAGAGAGTAACGTTAGAACATGCACAAATGTAAGCTCCATGGCATCCTTCACGCCTCGCTTCAGCTCCTTCTCTGCCATGATCAAGTTGCTACAGACCTTGCAAGCTGATTGCATACACCACTGCCACAGGTTATGTCTGACAGCTAGCTACAATAACAATATCCTCTTCATGAATGTTCAAGAATATTCTCGGGTCAAAATCAACTCTCCACTGTCTACAATACAGCATGATCGCATGTGCGTGGACAGGATCCGACTGTGATGCAGCTCTCCTGGAAGAAAGCAAAGTTCTTCTCTCTCCAATGCCATCGCTCGTCAGTGTCAGTCCAGAAAAAATTAATTTCAATTTCTGAAGCTGCAAATTCAACGCATTCCAGTCTGCCTCAACCAAGACTACTACAGGGTATGTGATTTGACAAGGTTTATCAGTAGGACTTGGAAAAGTCACAGTAACAGTCTGCAAGATTACTAGCCATTACAACAAGTATCAAAACATCAAAACAAACATCGTGTAGATCCACAATTTCAGATTCAACCATCGATCTACGAAATAATTACAGACTCACTTTCCCGCCAGCTGGACATGCATGCTCTCACCAGGCCGAGAGTCGTTGAATGCCGGTACTTGACGACTCCCTGGCTCTCACTTGTCAGCCAGCTCACACGTCTGGTTGTGCACGCGCAGACGTCCAGCACACACGCGTGTCGAAATGTGTGTTTTGCCGGGAAAGTCGGTAAAAATTAAGTGAGGGTCCCTTTAGTCCTTCGCCAAAGTTTGCCCAGCACCGTGTCAACTGAATCACGGTTTGCCAGTGTTGTCTTGGTCACATGCGTGCAAATGTTTGCACGTCGTGTGAATGGCCTATAAGACAAATTCCCCAAAAAAAACAGAGGTACTATATTGTAGGTGGGGGTTCGAACCCCACTTTTGACGACCTTTTTTCCCGCCGTGATCGAAGTTTGTGGGTTCGAATCGCAAACTCTCCGTCTTCGTGCCAAAAATATTTCCAAATGGCAGGAAATACTTTATCCATATACTGTTAGGGTGCATGTACATGTAGCGACCTTTATTCAATCCAAGGTGTTTCATACCATCTATAGGGCTTTATCCATATACAGGTGGAATCCTGATAATTCGAACCTCAAAATGCCAGGAAAAAACTTCTAATTATCCGGACATTCTAATTATCCAAACATGAACCAACAACACAATATGTATGTCAAAATTCTCTCATGAAAACGCAGAGTTGCGCTATGGACCTTAGACACAGATTTCACGGATACAGGTCGTCCCTCGTTAATACATAATCTCTGGGACTTGACAAATGTTATGTATTAACGGGGTTTATGTACTAAACGAAAGTGTACATAACTTGCTTGTGTACCAGAATTTTTCACTTTTTTCAATTTTTCTGAGTGTTTCTTGCTACCATGACTAGGGAGTGAGATATTCTTGATTCCCTCAATATAACATAACAATTATGTTATAACGGTCACAGTCAGCGAAAATTCTACAGTTTACATGATAGCATGCCAGCCGCGCCTGTACAGTCACTCGGAAAAAACAGAGCTTTCTCGGATTGTGATGTGCGCTCTGATTTCTGAGCTAATTGCGTCCACAAGTAGAAACTAGAACACAATGTGCCTCCACTGGAAGGCCGAAAAACCAACAAATTATGTATTATTGAGGTAGGTGGCATGCGGGTACGGAGAAATGTTATGTACTATAAACGGGGTTTATGTACTAACGAATTATGTACTAACCGACAAAATTTGTATGGAAGTGACCACGTTTCGTCCAGGACTTGAGATTTCTTATGTACTAACGGGGTTTATGTACTAACCGGACTCGTATTAACGGGGGACGACCTGTACTGAACTGACCGGCACAGCCTGCTCATGCAAACTGAACTGACCAGCACAATGTACAGTGAACTTAATTACACTTTGCTAACTTCGAATTATCAGCACAAACGCTACACATTTTCTATGTAAGTGGAATCTGTGGGACTTCGAATTAACCTGACAAATCCAGTTCGAGGTTCGAATTATCTGAATTTTTTATGTGGGAATCGTATTGATAGAAATCGGTCCTGGAAAAACTTCTAATTAAGCGGTATGTTCGAATTAAGCCATATTCGAATTATCAGGATTCCACCTGTACTCTTAGGGTGCATGTACATGTAGCCACCTCTATTCCATCCAAGGTGTTTCATACCATCTATAGGGTATGTATTCCGCCTTCCCAAAGTTTTATGAGAATGTGATTAACCCTTTGTGACCCCACTGAAAGCACGACAATTTACTCACCTTCAAAAAACATGCACTTTCGCTTGTATCTCTACCAAACATTCACCGATTTTTTACAAACTAACCACCGCTGGAAAGATATTTCCAAGACGAAGGGACTAATACCACACTCAAGCCTGCTACCTGCACGACCTCTGCTCTTTGTGGCCTAGAACGCCGCTCAAAACAGCAGCCGTGCGCGAGCAGCTTCAGCAAAGTTCAAACAGCCGCCATGCCACTCTCCTTCATCACATCGACTTCAAACAAGCTACATCGGAAAGCTCTTTTCAAACGCAAAATTTTGGTGTGACGTAGCATTCCGGGGAAATCCCCCGCCAAGCGCAGCATTTCGATCGGAGTGAATTTTTCAGTTTTCCTCCTACTTCCAGTCTCACCACGGCGGCATTGTACCTCCTAGAGACTTCGGATAATTTCGACGTGATAGCCAAGGTTCCTCTCGAAACGTAGATGATGAAAATCGGTGAAGGAACACCAGAGATATATATGAGCCCCAGCCAGCAGAAACCTGAACATGTGTAATTTTTTCAAAAATTATTTTTTCCCTCGAAATTGTTTCTACACTATTAATCATTCAAGTTATCAAGTTTGGTAACAATCTGATAAGCGAAAGCATGGAAAATAGAGTTTGAAGTCAGAGAGGTCAAGATTCGGTACAGTTGGCGCAGCATCCATGCCTAGTGACTCCATGCAAGTTGATCCTACAGTTTCTGATTGTGATGTGGAACAGGTACATGTAAGTAAATAGAATGCAAGTCAGGCTTGCCCTCTTGGTGCTGCAGCCTGTGCAGGCATGAGTAGTTCAGAAGTCACAGTGACGATATTCCGTATACATCACTACCTTCTTTACAACACCAGAGTGCAAAACGATGATTGGTGGCTGGCCTTCCAAATTGTGTTCAGGGACCTCTGCGCTGGCAGTTTGGGCGTTGTCCCAAAGCTTGCCATACTGATAGATGTACTGATCAATACTACTGACATCCACTCCCTTGCACACTTTCACTCAGACCATGATTTCAGCATAATTGTATTTCAATGATATGAGCGAATGCTGGCGTTTTGTAGCACGTGAACATGTTGCCCCAAAGCGTTCAGCCGGTTTGAGTTTTTAGGGATCCCCTTTCTCAACACAGGCAGCAGCCAGCTTGATGTCGTCTGGCAAGGTAGAGTACTGAGAATACTACGCTCTGTTTTGCGCCGTGAGAAGCCCTCCATCAGTGTCTGCAGCATCATTGTTGTCGATGTAGAAATACGGATCGCTCAGCGGGTCGAAATTCAGCTTCTCCTCGCAGTCGCTATTTCTTCAGCACTGACTATCGTCGCCACCAGTATCCAGTGTCGATTTTATGAGGGCTCTTCGTTGCTATGCATATGACACTCGCCACTGCTGGACAAACTCAGCGAGATCGCCAACAAAGAAATAATTCCGATCGCGAACTAACTTTCAGCGCCGCTTCGTACAGGGAGTCTCACGCTGACAACTCTGGACCTAAGTCTTTGTCGCGACACCTGTCGCCATCGCTGTGTCTAAACTCAACCTCCGTGTGACGAGCTCTCACCTAGCGCTAAAATCAATTGACCAGAGACATTTGAAGACACTTGAAACTCCTTTGACAACAAAGACACCCACTCGATCGAAAAGAATCTTCAAAAGCCAGCTCACTGCGCGTCCCAAACTTTGACGTCACATTTTGATGATTGATATCAAGTACACAAGTGCTGGTTTTCGCTGGCCGGGGCTCATATATTTTTTAGTGCCACTGTATATCAATCGATCGATATCGATCGATGGGGTCACAAAGGGTTAAAAGCATTCCAAAGATATTCCATTAAATTTTATAATCTACATTGCCCGATTTAGCTGCAAAAGTCAGCATTGGCTATGCACCCTTCCTGAAGAGCGAGAGGCCCAGTAGGTCCTTATACAATTATAATTTCTGATCCTTTAGATGTTTGTGCTGTGCTTACCGACAAAAATACATCCATATGCCCAACTTCAAAAGTTCAACCTAACTGTCCTGAACTACCTTAGGGGTCGCTGCAAAGGTTTTTGTCGTCCCTGTGAAACGAACATGATTCGTTTGGGGAGGGGGGGGGGGGGGGGGGGGGAGGGGTGCGAGCCAAAATCGCAAGTCGACTGACACTGTACATATGACATGTACATGCATGCGATTTTCGTCGTCCAGCATAGCAAAATGTGTTCGTTTCAGAGGGAGTGAAGGGGGGGGGGGGGCGAGTACGAAATGAATGATGTTCGTTTCAGGGACGACAGAAAACGTTTGCGACGACCCCTTAATACAACGATCTTCGTACTGAGCCCTTTCACAAATAGCTCATTCTGTAACAAACGACAAGGAAATTAGTGAGAGAGAGAGAGAGAGAGAGAGAGAGAGAGAGAGAGAGAGAGAGAGAGAGAGAGAGAGAGAGAGAGAGAGAGAGAGAGGGTGTGTGTGTGTGTGTGTGTGTGTGTGTGTGTGTGTGTGTGTACGTTTGCTCAGTCATGAGCGGACAATATGAAACTCCCTGGTAGGTGGGTACGATGATGAGCTCAGAGAGCTGGTGTACATGTGTGTCTTGGTTATAGCGGAAATTCCGGTACTGTTGATATCTGCGTGTACATTGTGCTGGCATGTGAACCCATCCTTGCTTCTTTTGTTCTTGCTGTTTGCTTTTGGTCAGTGTCCTCAGCACCAACATCTAAAGCAGAACCTACCAAGAATGTGCCCACAAGTGCACCGTCATCGCGGCCAACTGGTGCTGTCACAACCTTCAGGCCTGTCAGACCTGTAGTTACAGGAAGCGACTTCCACGACCCACCCTCCGTGAAACGAGCAAAGGAGTTGGAATCGAAATATGGCCCTCCTCGTCCACCCACCGCAGCGCCGTCTTCAAGTTCTGCAGCTAGGGCAAGTAGTGCACGATTTCCAACTTCAGCAGCATCGGCAGCAGCATCACCGAAACTCGCATCAGCCAAGCGACAGCCGTCTGCCGGTGGTGTGTTGAAAGGAGTGGACTCCAAGTTGGCCAACATCATCATGGACAATATGGTGGATAGGTAAAGCTAATGAAAGGCCTCAGTGTGTTGTCTCTGTCTGCTCCAGTGCCACATGATTGTATGTGTAGCCATGTCCCCACTGACACCCCACCGTATGCCTCATGTACATACACACGCATTCTCCAACTAACTTTTAAATCACATGTTGAGAAGTGTAACAAAAAGTATGTAATCATGGTAGGCTGTTGCAGTCTACAATGCATTGATGCCAAAGGCATCCCAAGGAGATTTTGGGCATTACTACTTTTACAAGTAGTTATAATTTACTTTCACTTGTCTGTCCTGGGCCATTGCTGCCTTCCAACAGGGTGTGCTGTATGTGTGTGTTTGTATTTGTGTCTCTGTCCATCTGTCTGTCGGTCCGTCTCTCTGTCTGTCTGCCAACTATCTATTTGTCAACTACGACTACAACTCGTCCTTTCGTTCATCTGTCTATGTAAAAATGTACTAGAAATGAAGGTGAAAGTTTGTGTCTGGCTCTCTGAGTTTGATGCGCTATAAATTGTAGGAAACATTTAGACAACAACCAATGAGTGCCCTAGTACCTTCACCTAGTACTTTAGCTTATCTCATCTTGCACACCTGTTACTCCTCCAACTAGTGTGCATACTCAGGCATACTGTGTGCCATTGTTTGTACTGTAGGAGTCCTGGAGTGGCTTGGGATGATGTAGGTAAGGTATTTACTAGTCGTCCTAGTAGTATCAAGGAGCCTTCTTCTAGTCTACTCTTCATGTTACCCCTACTGTACATGTCTTCTGGTGTGTGTGTGTGTTCCACCTGGTGACATAACAGGTCATTTTAACGGTCAAATTTTAGCGATGACCCTGGTTGCTAAAATGTGTCGTTGCCTACAGTCCATTCAGAAAAAATGAACTTCTAGCTTTTGGCCATAAATGGGTCAAACGTTGAGTTTTTTTAGAATTTTTTTCTGCAATCCCATATGGAATCCTCTTCCAATTATGTTTCTGAAGTTTTTTTGTCCAAAAAGCAAGCCATAGCAAGAATAGGATTTCGGCCAGGTTTTGCCCCAAAAGCACTGAATTGGGAAAAACCATCAAAATCCAGGCCGTTTGACCCCGCCTGCAACAGTGCATTCTGCGGTTCGAACCCCAGTTTAGGCACCCTTTTTGGACCCTTTTTCAAATTTCAAAGTTCGCAGCACTGCACTGTGTACGATGAAATCACGAAAAATCGCCAAATACGGGAGCTCGCCAGAGCCAGGACCCATCTTTTTAAGAATGGACTGTAATCCAGCTTGGGAAATACTGAAGGTTTTCCTGCTAAAATTACCTAATCCGGCTTGGGAAATACTGAAGGTTTTCTGCTAAAATTACCGTTCTTGCGCTATTGACTATTGTGTAACATGCTCGTTTTGCTATGAAGGAGAAATCTACATAGCAAGCCTGCTATACAACACCCTCTGATGGCCTTACTTTATTGTTTTTATGTAGCAATATTCCTCTGGAAATAGCTTTTGGCCATTTCATTAGACATCCTGCATCCGGAGTGAACGGAAATTAGTTCTGAACGAATAGGGTTGGTTGGCTTCGCAAGTTCGCATACAACCAGGAGAGTACATAAACTAGCGTGTACAGCTGACACACTGCCAGGGAAAGCGTAATGCATTGCTTACGTCATTTTTGATATCAAGATAATGGTGAACAACTGATGTCACAGATCGTACTTCGAGTGTTAATGTAGTGCAACAGTATAATTGGTGACTGTGGCTTCCATGACTCATCAAAAAATGGCACACAAAGGACGAATTATTCTGGTCACAACCCAAATGCAGGGTTGCTCACTCTGATTTATGTTCGTTTGATACATGTACTATGTGTGGTACATGAGGTGAGGGTATGCAATCGTTGTTCGGCGAATGGTTCATTTTCTACAGTATGATACTGTGTTAACTTCAGGTAGTTTAAGTGGCAGCTTGCCTTTGCTTCTCTTTTCTTAGCTGGCTTGGAACTTGCAAAGCGATCTCTTCAGGAGCTTGTCATTCTGCCGTCTATCCGCCCAGAGGTTGGTCTTTGTGTCTACATAACTGTGCTGGTGTGCTGGTGTGCTGGTTGCTGTGGACAGAGAACTGCGAACTAGAGATGTCCTTGTTAAACATCACACGTGTCCATGTAGCCAATTAGCCATGGGCATGCTTGCCTAGTCACTCTATCAATATGCACCCTTACTGCATGGGCCAATGTCCTATCTCCACTTCAAGCATGACCACCGTCCACAATGCTAGTAGTACAGTAGATGTATTAGTAACTCTGAATACCTTCACTTTGAGGATTTCTACTCTAGGGCAACAGCACATTTGACCTGCGCTGGTAGTCTTTTCTTATTGCTTGTGGGTGTCATGAGCAAGATCACCACTTGGGATAGTCCCTGATCAGTCATGTTTGGTGATGGCTTTGTTGCAATGCGAGTTAGGGAGTTGGGGAGTTGTTAGAAAAATACATTCCTGGTCCGCTACATCAAATCTAATCACTGCATGCTTTCTTGCAGGGTAGTTGACGATGATATCTTGTGTTCATGGCACCTAGCTATGCTGTGTGCATATGCACTGGATATACTATTTGTACCTGTGGGTAGGGGCGTCGGACACGCTACGGTCACTACGACCTAGACCGTACCACTATATGCCCCAGGTACCCTGTCAATCAATAAAATGCACTGATTTGGGCTCTAGATTTTCAAAAAATTCAGCAGAAACCCCCGCTCCATCCACCTCGAGTATACCTCGGATGGCTGACCATACCCTGAAGTACCTCCTGGTGGGCCATACAGACTGTTGTTGTTCTGCCCACCTGCTCAGCTCTTCACTGGCTTACGGACACCGGCACGTGGCTTACTGTTATTTGGTCCACCGGGCAATGGCAAGACAATGCTGGTAAGTGAATGCTGGCTGTGTCATGATCATTCTGTGATTCATCATCCTAGTATGTAGCCGTCTGACATTATGATATCCTGATTTTGGAAGCAGCCAAGCAATTTCTACTTGGTCCGTTTCATCGCAATTGTCGCTTATCTATCGCAACTAAGAACAAGAGTTATTTTATCGCTCTGTAAAATTTCCAATACGCATAGTGAAGAAGCATGATACAGGATGCCTGTCCGCCACAATAAAAATAATTCAGCGATGGAATCTGATGAAGCAAGTCGAGAAAGGAAGCAAGGTTACAAAAAATGTACAAAAGAAAACAGCGACGGAGCACACGCTTTAGTTTATCCGACTCTGGCTCTGTATCACTGGAGCTGATGTCACTTGAGCTGACATTCGCTGGTGTGTATAGCTGCTGGCGCCATGGCGTAGAGTATATCTTGCTTTCTCGGCTTCTCGTATGGCAGCGATGGGAAAGGAACAATTGTGGCTGTCACTCTGGCACTTGGAGGAACGTGGGCAGCGCAGCGTGACCCGTGTGTCACCACTGTCTGTTTCAACAATGTTTTTGAATCAGGCACACATCCCTCACCAGACAGCTGTCATACGCTCTGCTGGATACGCTGACCACGACTCTTGTACTGCAGCTGCCAGGTCGGACAATGTCTTCTTTGCCACCAATTCGCCATCAGTTTGCAGGCTTGCAAAGAGTGCCAGGTCGTCGCACTTGCAGTTCAAACGTGGCGACTGAGCTGGCTGGCCTGGCCGTGACTGTCACGCTCTCAAGGTCAGGATGTCGATTTCCCCTGCTACAGTTCCGGTCTTTGAGCTGCGTTTGGCTTTTCGCTGCAGTGAATGTGTGCATTCACTGCAGCGAAAAGTTCCCCACTTTCCCAACACAATCGTACGAATCGCGATGCCACTGGCGCTAGTCGCGATGGTTTTTTCTTTCTGGTCTCCTTTGATCTTGCCTTCACAACCTCCCAAACAAATGGGAGTTAGATATCGAGATCGGGCTGGGATTTACCTGTCAAAAAGTGCGTGGGAGATAAGCGACAATTGCGATGAAACGGACCAAGTAGTAAAATACATGTAGAATGTTACGAATTAGCACCATGTATAATAGTAGAGTAAAACCTGTAACTAAAGACCGGCACCGTGACTAGCGATCAGCCTGCTACTACTGACCACCGTGACTAGCGACCAGCCTGCTACTACTGACCACCGTGACTAGCGACCAGCCTGCTACTACAGACCACCGTGACTAGCGACCAGCCTGCTACTACCGACCACTTCACCAGGCACGGACGGTCTCACATTCAAAATACACTGTGACTAGCGACTACCTGCTGAACGCGACCAGCGACTGCCTTTTCTTGCCCCAAAGACGATTATTGACCCGTAACTAGCGACCGCGATGTACGAAATCAAATGTTGCTCGAAGCTCCTTCTTGAAAATTTGCTGATTTCCATGGTCCTGAAAGGACTTTTTCGATACTACAGCTGAACAAATGAATACAGGTCATTTTGACTGTGGAATCGGTGTGGACTGCACTACACCTGTCCAAATTTCAAGCTCTGTCAAGAATGAACACGATAGGAAACGTCTTGGAGAGCGCATCGAAAGCGCTCTCTGATCGATGTTACTACTCGGAGGAGAAACGAAGACAGAGCGGCTCTGACACCCCAGTTAGGCTTTTCCACATTATTCGAAAAAATATTGGAAAGATGTGGATGTAAAACTCGATTTTTTTGGGGAATGATGTTATTCGAAAAAATGGATAGATTTGAAAAAAATCTTTAAAAAATTCAAAAAATCACCCAATGTGCGAAAATTATTCACCAATTGCCATGGCAACAAGATGGCTGCCAAATTCATTCGAAGCAGGGAGTCGTAGACTCCCTGATTCGAAGCATGTACACTGTCTGTACATGTTGGCATCAGGGAACCCTACAGGACATGTACCCGTGCATGCATGCACATCAATCAGTCATCATCATGCACTGCCGCCTGCCGGCCCCAGTGCCGGGCATATTTCGAGACTGACAAGAGTCAGGTTACGTCAGGTGCGGGGCAAGGTCAAGTTTTGCCAGCAGAAGAAAATGCCTGTCGGCTAAAGTTTAGCTAACACTTGCAAAACTTGTTGTTTTTGAGGAAAATCTGGCAAAAATCACGCCAAATTTGTTATTTTTGAAGAAAATCTGACAAAACCACACAAACCTTTTTGTTTTTGAAGAAAATCTGGCAAAAATCACGAAAGATGCATTTTACAACGGGGATTCATTTTTACCCCCAAGATGCAAAAATTATGCAAAACATAATGTGGAAAAGCCTAACCCCAGTCATACAGACGAATCGACGATGGCATCAAGGAATCCAGAAACAAATCAGCACCGCAAGGTCCTGATGCTGAAGGATCGCGTTCAAGCAATCGAGAAGTTACAACAAGGACAGTCAGTACGATTGATCACATGAACAAATTTGAAGCCCAGCGTAAAACGAATCTTCTACAGGGAACATTTGACTCCTGGTTTCAGAAGTAGCAGCTGAATTCGATGTCTGCAAAAAGTAGTCTTCTCCCTCTGTCTCTCTCTCTCTCTCTCTCTTCAAGTGTTGTTTGACCTGAAATAAGAATGGCATTGCGCAAGTCCTGGGGAATCGTATTAGCTGCATTTTGACATACATAATCATATACGGGATCCATATATGGTCGCGCAGTGCAAACCTCTAACTAAAGACCATCTGCCACTAAAGACCGCTTTTGCTGGCACCAAGGGGCGGTCGTTAGTTACAGGTTTTACTGTATATCTCTTATGCAGCACACGATAGAGTTGGATTCAGAGACATCATTCACAATTCTCTCGCTGATTAATGCCTCTACGATCACCTTGTGATTATGAGTTCTACATACATACATACCGGTACATAATAGTATGTTCAACGGTCTCTGGTGGGATGATGGCCACACCAGAACTCTGTGGTAGAGCATCACTGGCCTACAGATAGCAAAGATCCTGGTGGTGACAGTCAGGTTTTTTTTGTTCTTCAGGCGTTCTCCCTTTTCACTAGTCACCATCAACGGATGAGTACTTGATACATTGGGGCTCCCAGCGTCCTAGTTTGTGCGTGAACTGTGTGGGTACAGTGAGGACTGCGTCCCACCAGCCTGCGTAGTATCACATGAAGCATGAGTTTCGAAGTCTAAAGAAAACGTTGAACGGTCACTGCTTGGATAACGACTACACGATAGCTTAGTGGTAGATCATGGCTGGCATAGCAAAGCTCCCTGGTTAGAGTCCTGGCGTTTTCTTCACACCTTTTCCCTATTCGACACCCTCAACTGATGAATTTATAAATGGTGTGCTCATTCATATTTTTTGCTTCTTGTCGACCATGGTGTGTGTCCAGGCCAAAGCTGTAGCCAGTGAGGCAGATTGCAGATTCTTCAGTATCAGTGCATCATCTCTTATGTCCAAGTGGGTAAGTTCTAAGAATCACTGCTGATTTCCGTGTCTTACACCAGTCTGAAACAAAGAAACAAGGGGGAGGGGAGGGGGGGGGGCAGGGCTGGTTGAGCTCGTACATTGTTTTATGAATGTTGGAGCTTGCACATCCCGCCGATGGACTCAATGCGTGTCTGCATAACCCATTTCCATATGCATCGCAGTTGTAAGCCATCCACATTTTCATCTTCCTGGTGGTTTTGCCATGTCCATATTATTGTTTTGCTTTTGCTTTTGTAGGTCGGCGAAGCAGAGAAACTTGTGCGGGCTTTGTTTGCTGTTGCCCAAGAAGTTCAACCATCGATCATCTTCATTGGTAAGTGCTTGTGTTATTGTTTGTGTTACGGAAATAAACAGTTTACAGGTGCGTAACTGGGTACCCTTCAAGTGTGTGTGTGTGTGTGGGGGGGGGGGGGGGGGGGTGAACGGACATAACTCAATAATTATGCTTTTGAGGCATCGTCCATACGATATGATTCAGTCGCACTTCTCTAATGAAGTAATTACTGTACAAATTGTGCATAACAATGAAACTATGGGTGATCATTTTAAGTGGAAACTGTGGAATCTTATGCCTAGCTAGCTGACAACTAGTGCATCAAATCATAATAATTTTTAAAAGTTTTTTTAGAATTATACTCATGGGGTTGAGGGAGTTACAAACGGGAAAAGTCTAAAATTGACTGTCACCACCAGGACTCGAACCAGAGACCTATGGCCAGCGACTGTTCAACATTTTCCTCAGACTTCGAAACTCACGCTTCCTCTGAATCCACACAGGCTGGCGGGACATAGCCCTCACTGTAACCCACACACTTAAGTACAAACTAGCACGCGGGGCGCCCCAACATATAAAGTACTAGTATTCATTAGTTTGAGGAAAAGACGCAAACGGGAAACGTCTGAAGAAAAACTTGACCGCGTCGCCACCAGGACTCGAACGAGGGACCCTCGCTTATGGCCAGCGATGCTCTACCACCAACCAATGGTGTACTGTAAGAGTTGAATCTCTAACGGGGCACAAAGTCTAGCATTTTAACGAGAAAGAGTCCATCGTTAACTCCAGAAACATTACACACTATGTGATTCTTTCTCTCTAATATACTGGAGAAGTAGAAGACTGGTGTGTGCTGGTGTGTGCTGGTGTGTGCTGGCAGGGTCGGTGAACTTTGTGCCAGCCTTTAAAAAGTGGGAAATGTTTGCAAATCTTTAAACTTTAGGCTCGTCGCACTTTCAACTCTTACAGTGGTCGTCATCCAAGCAGTGCCCGCCTAACATTTGCATGACAGAAAGTCAACATCATCAGCGTACGGTGCGCCTGTGGGAAGGTGCAAGTCGATGTCGAGTAGGGGGCGAACCGGTAAGAAATCTTACACGTCTCTCAGGGCTGCTTCTAGGTACACTACGAATAGCACCGGAGACGATGAGTCTCCCTGTGGGGTGCCTCTGTTGGTTGTGAACTGCATGACTTCCGTTCCATGCAATCAAACCTGCAAGGTGGTGTGCTGGACAAGACACGAAATGAGTGCAACGTCGTCTTTGTCAACGAGGCAAGAACATCGATTAGCTTCGGCGTGAGATGGTGTCGAATGCCGTCGACATATCTATACCAATATTGTCGTACTTCTGCTTGAGGTGTTGGTATCGGGCTATGGCCAGCGGTAGGACCAGATTACGTCCTCGGTGCTTCTCCTGTCTGAAACCGCTTTAGGTGGGAGATAGGAATTGCTGTATTTGCTGCCGATACGGGACAATGTTATAAGAGACAGCACCTTGCGCAACGCCGTCAACAGTGATGTAGGACGTAGGTTTGATGTAGGCCCCCTGGCCTTGCCAGGTTTTTGTAGCGGGGTAAGAGTCCCGTCGCCAATACAAAGCGGCTCAGAAATAGCGACCTTGTGTATCTGGTCTAAAGCATGGTGGAGAGTATCAGGCCCGTATTTGATGAGTTCATCCGTCATGCTATTTGGCCCGGTTGCATGGCCAGTGTTAAGACCACGTGCTGCCGACTTCCTGCTGAGTGATCTTCTTTGCAAATGTTTCTGTATTTTTAGTTGGGATGGTAGTGTTAGGCTGAGTGACCGAAATGAACATGAAGTAGTGCCAATCCGCTCAGCCGCCTGCTGCCCATGCCGGATTACACATGCGTTGTCAGACTTCGGAGGCTACTTATGCCTCGCTCACAGGCGCACATTGTGACAGACAGCGAGGTAAGAAGAAGCAAGAGGCGTGAGATGACAGAACGCATGCTCTTGTCAGCAAGCTCCGCGGCCTGAAAGAGAGCTGAGGGTACTGGTATCTGACGATTGTGGACCTGATGCAAGATCATCTACCAAATCTGTAACTCAGCCTCAACTGTATGCTGTATGTCTCTGGAAAGTCACTCTCCGACTCCTTGGCCAAGTCCACTGTAGCAGTCTTCACTCTCCGACTCCTTGGCAAAGTCCACTGTAGCAGTCTTCACTCTCCGACTCCTTGGCAAAGTCCACTGTAGCAGTCTTCACTCTCCGACTCCTTGGCAAAGTCCACTGTAGCAGTCTTCACTCTCCGACTCCTTGGCAAAGTCCACAGTAGCAGTCTTCACTCTCCGACACCTTGGCAAAGTCCACTGTAGCAGTCTTCACTCTCCGACTCCTTGGCAAAGTCCACTGTAGCAGTCTTCACTCTCCGACTCCTTGGCAAAGTCCACTGTAGCAGTCTTCACTCTCCGACTCCTTGGCAAAGTCCACTGTAGCAGTCTTCACTCTCCGACTCCTTGGCCAAGTCCACTGTAGCAGTCTTCACTCTCCGACTCCTTGACCAAGTCCACTGTAGCAGTCTTCACTCTCCGACTCCTTGGCAAAGTCCACTGTAGCAGTCTTCACTCTCCGACTCCTTGGCCAAGTCCACTGTAGCAGTCTTGGCAGCCACAGGATCGGCCACAGCGTTGACTGGCATGAGCTGCGTTCCTTTCCTAACCTTCTTCTGAATAGGATTGAAATGGGTTCTTATCTGCCCAAGCAGCTCATCAAGGAGAGGGATAGAAACTGAGCGCCGATAATACTCCTCAGGATCTGCGGCAGGCGTACTGTTCCTCCCTTGCTGACGACCACAACATCTTGGAGCTGATAGTTGCACACCTGATAGTTGCACACCTGATAGTTGCACACCTGATAGTTGCACACCTGATAGTTGCACACCTGATAGTTGCACACCTGATAGTTGCACACCTGATAGTTGCACACCTGATAGTTGCACACCTGATAGTTGCACACCTGATAGTTGCACACCTGATAGGGCAACCATGCTGATTGTAGCACTTCACGACTTATAATGCTAATAAGCGGTGGTGTGTGTGTGTGTGTGTGTGTGTGCGCGCTCGCGTGCGTACGCACGTGCACGCGTGTGCATGTGTGTGTTCATGTGTGTGTGTGTGTGTGTGTGTGTGTGTGTGCGTGTGCGCGTGTGTGTGCGTGTGCGCGTGTGTGTGTGTGTGTATGTGTGTGTGTGTGTGTGTGTCTATGTGTGTCTTTGTGTGTATGTATGGATGTGGGTGTGGGTGTGGGTTTGTGGATGTTCTGCTGTATGCAGATGAGATAGATTCCATTCTATCAAGTCGTACAGAAGGGGATACTGGCTCCAGCATGCGCTTGAAGACCGAGTTCTTGGTGTCATTTGATGGTGTGAGTTATATTTTCTTTTTACATTTCATGTACTTGTGTCGCTGTGCTCCTGGTTGTGCGGTCCAGCATGTTGGTTCTCGCTGGGTATTCGGATCAACTAGCAAAGCTAGAGATTGGTTTACTACTGTTGTCTGACGTATCTACTGCAATGGTGTGTACTGGTTTTTCTCTGACATGTGCCTACATGTACATGTGTATGTATCAGGTGTTGTCCAGTGTCGATGACCGCGTGCTGGTGATTGGTGCGACAAACCGTCCTCAAGAGTTGGACGAGGCAGTACTCAGGTACGTATGCCTTCGGCCAGATTCTTCTTTCATAAGATCACTGCTGTCCTCAGTGGACTGTGCATATACGTGTGTAAAGGAACTTACTGCAAGACATGTAAATATAACGAGGAAGTGAACTTAACGCCTTAACGAGTAACATTCCTTCGTTATAATAAGTTCTGTTGCGGGTGTAAGGCCTCATATGTGTTATGTGCGGATATGCCTGAAGACTTCAAGGTCATTATTACGTATCTTCTCGTTAATCTATGGAGTTTGAACCATCGTTAAATTTGCAACTCGCTGCGATAACGTGTCTAACAGTATGCTATGGGTTTGTCTTGCAATAGGATAATTAGAATCATTAGGTTGTGTGCTGGCTTTGCATTACCCCATCCAATTCTCCGTGTGGTGGCAACCCTACTTGTCCCCTTCTACTGCAGCCATCTTCACCACTCTCTTCTATAATGCTGATGTACTCGTATTACTTCTGTAGATGAACTACTGTAGCTCGGACATCGTCAAGAAGTGTGTAACTTGACAAGTTTGTGCTCGTGGTTATATTTAATCAATGCTTGTTTGGTTCTTAGTTCATGCTTATTTGGCTCTAAGTTAGTCTAAATCATTGCTTATGTGCTGTTGGTGTATTTCTTTGCAGACGTCTAGTCAAGCGTATCTATATTCCCTGCCCCGATGAGAAGGTATGTCTGAAAGAATGAAGCTTGCCGTCGACGGTGTGTCTTACCCTGGCTTTGGCCAACCAGTTTCTGCTCAGCTTCCCACGTAACACTGTGGGAGTTTTTGCTCAGCTTCCCACCTAACACTGTGGGAGTTTCTGCTCAGCGTCCCACCTAACACTGTGGGAGTTTCTGCTCAGCGTCCCACCTAACACTGTGGGAGTTTCTGCTCAGCTTCCCACCTAACACTGTGGGAGTTTCTGCTCAGCTTCCCACCTAACACTGTGGGAGTTTCTGCTCAGCTTCCCACCTAACACTGTGGGAGTTTCTGCTCAGCTTCCCACCTAACACTGTGGGAGTTTCTGCTCAGCTTCCCACCTAACACTGTGGGAGTTTCTGCTCAGCTTCCCACCTAACACTGTGGGAGTTTCTGCTCAGCTTCCCACCTAACACTGTGGGAATTTCTGCTCAGCTTCCCACCTAACACTGTGGGAGTTTCTGCTCAGCTTCCCACCTAACACTGTGGGAGTTTCTGCTCAGCTTCCCACCTAACACTGTGGGAGTGTACATAGATGCATAGGTATACACACACCATCCGTGGCAGCAGCTGAGTATGGCACGCGCCAACATGAAGTACAGTTGTGCTCGGTGAAATCCGACCCAGAGTGCACATTTGGCGCCCTCAATTTGCACGGCCGTTGACACCCTGGAAGCGGCACAGATGCGGCTGGACGTACACATGTACAAATACAATGAAGTAATCGGGACGTGCCCAGGATGCCAGCTTTGCACTCCGGGTCAGACTTTAGCCAGCACAACTGTACATAGTGACTGTGATGGCTTTAGCCATCTTCCGTACATGTAGTTTTTGACTTTCCGCTGTGGGCGGATTGCAGCTGGATGATGTCATGCAGGCAGCAGCACCCATGCATCTGTCCCATGGATGTTAGTGAATGTAGTGGCATGCAGCGGTGTGCAGCAGCAGCAGCAGCAGTGCTGGGTTGTGTTTCGTTGTCCCTTGCACTTAAGTAGGTTTGTCACAGTGTTGCTACATGTACCTTTGTTTCATTGTATACGTGTACGTATAAGTAGCATGTTATGATTATATAGAAGCCTTGCTTGACAGTCTAACATGTTTTCGATTTCGACAGCATGTTACAAGGCAACCGGGTTATGGTTGTAGTCAGAAGCACTGTGCACTGTCTTCGCCTTGTAACATGCTGTAGTCGAAATCGAAAACATGTAGCATGTTGTGTTGCTTGTGTCTCTCTCTAGACCCGCCATGTCATCCTTGAGAAACTACTTCACAAGCAGAGGTCTAGCATAACAGCCCGCCAGCTGCAGACAATTGCAAGGTTGGTGGTGTTGAATCTGTTGATCCCTTAGTGGCCTTACTGCCTGGATTAACAAGAAATGTGTAGACGCCGAATTGGCCTGTCAGCGTTTTACCTGTGATTGGTCATAGCTGTGATCTCGGCATATGTGTAGCATGTATGCCAGTGGAATTGATCGTTTGGTATGGTAATAATAAGTAAAATTGTGCCGTCAGATAACAAAACCGACCTTATCGCAAACACTTTACAGTGCAGAAAAATGCACTCGAAAGCTGGCGAGTTTACGCACTTGCGCACCTGGACAACCAAGCTACAAACCGTCGTATTTCAGTCAAATATCGGTCTTTCGGGACAATCCAAGTATGTAAATCGAAGAGAAAACTCCAAGGAATCCAATGCAGCAAGCGCGATCATGGCACGATGCTGCGCTCCAGAGATACGAAGCCTGCCAGATCCGTCACGGCACTTTGCATTTCTCCACGTGAATCAAACGCTCCAGACCTGGGGTTTCCCCCTTCTCAAGCTATCTACTATCTCGGCAACATTGTTCCTCATTGTGTGCGTGCAGAGGAAATACTGACATGAGTTTGTTTGCCGGGTACTAGACATGGGGCTGTGGCTGCTCTGAGCCAGTTGAACTGACTGTCTTCGTCCATATTGCTTCTTCGTCCTTTTGTGTATTAAAGAAGAATATGGTGTGTCCGCTCGTGTGTGCGGGTATGGGTGTTCATGTATCTTTCATGTTCAGGTCAAAGACGGTGAACTTTTCTGCCAGTGATATCACTGCGCTGGCAAAGGAAGCAGCTCTCGGCCCCATTCGTGGTAAGGTGCCGTCTGCACTGGCTGATAGCTGCCATTGTTAGTTGTGCAGTTGGTGTAATGCATAAACACAGCTACTTTCTCTCTCTCTCTCTCTCTCTCTCTCTCTCTCTCTCTCTCTCTCTCTCTCTCTCTCTCTCTCTCTCTCTCTCTCTCTCTCTCTCTCTCCCTCTCTCGCCCTCTCTCTCTCTCTCGCCTGTAGTCACTGCGTTACCAGGGTGCTTGTGCCCTCTGATAACCAGTTTTCTAGCAAAAGAAAAAGAAAATCACTTTCCACTTTTTCAGACCCGGCATAGGGTGAACAGAGGTACACACGAGGGTATATACTGCTATGCTATAGTGAAATATCATTTGCAAAATGTGCTTACCGGTAACCCTTTAATATCCGACTGTCAAAGTGGACAAATTCTCAGTCCCAGCGAGACGCCGCGACTCATTTTGTTGATAACTTTAGTTTCCCTGGGGTGATATTGGCTACCTTGGGCTTTTTGGAAAGCTTGAGCCATGAGGAGTTCTGTAGAAACAGTTTCTGGCCTTCATTTGTAAGAGGGACCAAATACGTCTCCAATTCTATTTTTTGAAGAGTCGTATGCATGTGTGTGTGCATGCGCGCGTGCATGTGTGCCTGGTGCATGAATTTCTTCTGTCCTGTTGTCAGAAATGGACCTGGCAACAATGCGAACGTTACCTGCAGATCAGGTGAGTCATTCTGTTGACCTGTTAGAACTTCGAACCACACTGAGTGGAGAGTACTGTGCTGTGCGTAACTGTTAGCTTGCTAAATACTGTGGTGCAAGGCAGTTTGCTCATTGTCTGGAGGTCTAAATGCGGCCATGACAAGCATGACTACAGCACAACGCTTTATACAAGATACCGAGGGCTCTAACATTGAAACCGCTTCGAAACACTTCCAAGAAAGACTAGTAAATTGAAGTGCTTCCAAAATATTGAGCATCGTTTGTGACTAACTTTCTGTTCGTATCACTAACCGACGAAGCTCGGTTTTTTCCCGAGTGATTGCACAGGCATGCCCGGGCATGCATCATGTGCACTGTCGAATTATGTGAACTGTAGAATCATGTGGACTGTAGAATCTTCGCTAACTATGACCGTTATAACATAATCTTTATGCTATAATGAGTAATTTGCATCATTTTCACTGCACATTGTTTTCCATCGTTTGACACTGCACGAATAGACACGGTATGCACATGCCGATTCAGCACTCATCTTATTGATTGCAGTTTTAAAATTGCTGTCTCCCGCCGGTTGTTTATGATGAGAGAACCAAGAATATCTCGCTCCCTAGTCACGGCAGCAGCAAGAAACACTCATGTCTACCTGGCTGCACACTGAAGACACCGCATACTTTTAAAACATCCAACACATTTCGGGCCAATTTGAAATTCTGATCTAGTTTCCAGCCACCTTAATTCTGGGTGTCCTCGCCTCTCAAGTTCTATCAACATAGAGGAAGGCATTTTTGAGTTGCAGCCACTAGCTTGGACAAGCGGATGCAAAAATTATGAACATACATGTATCCGTGGAACAGCGTGTGTCAGGTCGCATTGGAGTGGAAAGTGTTTGATTACACTACCAGGCCATTACGTGCACTGTTGGCTGGAATACAATGTCTACCACTTGCCAGTATTGTGGCAGATGTCATGCTCTTTTTTGTCACTCCAACACACTGCGGTGGTCGTGGAATGTTTGTTTTCAGGTTCGGCCAATCAGCTATAATGACTTCGAGGAGGCTCTGAGAGTTATTCGACCGAGCCTGTCTGCAGCTTCTCGCACTATGTACGAGCAGTGGAATCGCGACTTTGGCTGCAGCACTATTTGAACTCTTCCCTCTTCGAGTTTTCGATAGTGGACCATTGCTGTTGCTTTGGATGGATTGTTGGCATGCTTTCTCTGGGCTGTACACAGCCTGTCTGCTTGTATCACTCTCCGTTTACTCGTGTTCAATCACATTTCTTATATTTCCAATTATTTTGTCCATAGCTTAGCCAGTTTTTAGTCAGTACCTGTATAAACCACCCTGTCAACAAAGTACAAATTACCAATATGACAGTGACCTTAGGTGATTTTCTCATATCTGCATCATAGAATTATTCCTCTTGCCACATTCTAATAGTAAGCGTGCTGGGTTTTTTTTTAATTTCTTTCTTGGCTGCATGATTTTTCATGTTGAGATCCTGCGTGATTTTATTGTAGCTAATTCTGTAGAACAGTTTTGCTCTAGAGTCACGTGCCATACAAAGGGTCACCCACTGACGTCAATCAGAGCTCGTTGACCAAGGACTTAGCTCGTTGTTGCACGGAGTGCGGTATATTGCAGTTGTTACAAATTTCTCCGAAAACAGAAAGGAGCGGGTGCACCGGTTTCGTTCAAATTTCGGACATCTAGTTCACTTCTACTTCTAGAACTTCATGTATAATAAATATTATGTGTAGAACCAGGGTACTCCATACCCCCAACCAGCGAGCAGTAAAATACCTTATTACTCTCTGGTAGAACTGCATAGCATGATGGTCCACTGGGCACTGTCCTTCTTGTTCTTGTTGTTTTCTTTATTTGATTTCGCTAAAACCAAACGGACAGAACTGTCCAGTGACAAGGGAGCGAATGATGACTTCTAGAATGGGCCAGGACCCCCCTCGATGTCCTACTGCGGCTACATGTCCATCCAGATTTTGGGGATTTCAAGGGTGCCGGTCATTGGGCAGTTCAACAGCCAATTGAGTCACCTTTCCCCTCTCCCGGGAGACCCGCATGACCAGTTTCTGGCAGTGAGCAAGTACAAGTAACGTAAAATACCGTTGATCTCCCTCTCTCATTGCATCATGGAAATACAGGGTGTCGGAAGGTACCTTCAGTCAGTACAGTTAGCCATATCTGTGGTACAATTTTTGCTCGTGTGTGTGGGGCGGGGGCTCCGCTTTGATAGCCCGAGCCAGTGCACTTTATGTATTCATGGGAAACCTGGTGCAAAGAGATTAGAGCGGTACGATTGTGACCAGGGAGTCATAAATACCACGGCTAGCTGGTCAGGACCATGATGTGTCTGATGGCCCGGAAATGTCGACAACTGTTAGAACAGCACTGTGTGCAGGGGTTGGGAGCTGCACACTCCTGGGGGGAGGGGGGGGGGGTATGTACTCTTGCCCCTATAATATGTGCCCTATTCGTTGATCCGAGCTAATTTTATGCACCTGTGCTAGGCCCAGACAGATTCTGCTCCGCTCGCCTCGATATTTTGCTCCATTTTGCTCCGGAAAAACGTGTATTTTATTCACTTCCCGTACAACGTTTCATAAAATCGCAGGGTCGGTTTCTCAACACAGATTTCCACGCACGCTTCCCTGAGTTCTTCCAAAATCATGTCGATCCACAGTGAATCCCAGTGATATTTTGGTGACATGATCTAGTCCTGGCAGTGTATCCAGCTGAACGTGTAAGAAACAAGGAACTCCAAGTTACAAGTATCAGGCATCGATTTTACCCGTCTCGATATTTTGCTCCGATTTTGCCGGCAATTTCCGCTCTTTGAATTCTTCGATATTTTGCCGAAAGAATTGCCGGCAGGATCTGTCTGGGCCTAACCTGTGCACTGGCGTGAACATGGTGAATGCTACATGAAAAAGAGACTGCCTTTTGCAACGTTACTGCTGTATTTGGTGCATTACATGTCATGATGTAGCGCATTCCAGCAATGGTTATACTGTATCAAGGACAGGTACTTGCCTACTAGGTTCCAAACGTGCCCTTGATGATAACAATTACTCCCTGGACACATCCCCCAGGAGTTCTACTCTCAACCTCCTAGCGATATACAGTATAGCTGTCACTTACTTCAGGTTCCCTTCCCAGCACTGGTTATTGTTGTGCTGCTTGTGTCCTGAGCTCTACTACAGTACTATACTAGTAGATCTACTGGCCCCTTTTTTTCAAAATCGCCTTGGCCAAGCCAAGGCCCTTGATCAGTGAAGGACCCCGTGCCAAACCAAATGAACACAAAGTAAGCAACTTACTTCGCCGCCGCAAGTCAGTTAGGAAACAAGTCCATGAACATGCGGCGGCGGATGCAACTCCAAGAGTTCATATCCCTGGCCTACACTAGGCTACAGGCTACAGTGTAGGCAAGAGTAGACTGATGTTTATCTACTCTTGGTGTAGGGCTATGTAGATCTACTCGTGTCGAATCTTGACGGCTCCTTGATCTGCTGGTCTATCATGGTCTATACAGCAGGGAGGTTTTGTAGATCTACCCGGAAATGTGAGTCGCACACTACCAGACTACAGACTTTGGACTACATGACACAAGCAAGGCTTCTTTATAATTATGACACAAGCAAGCAAGACTTGGCAAAAGTCGCCCCGATGACCCGGGTACACATTGATACTATTACACAAGGATCGCCATCATTAGATCATTGAAATTGTGCCTTATTTGTGGTCAACATGATCTACAAACAATGACTATGCAGTATCGTACCTGCATTATACCGCGCACTGACTTTGACCAAGGTGCAAGTAGCAGCAAGAAGACTCCGAAACAGCTCCTGACATCTGACCTCTGTACGAGCAGTGCAGTGGGATACATGTTTTGTAGCGCCAAATTTCTCCCCCAACTGCCATTATCGTCCTCATCTTCACCAACACAGTTTTGTGCAGACCTTTCCTGCCGGACCAAGGAAAACAAAAACGGCTTACTCAGTGGGCACATGGACTGACAGTGACATGCTGATATGGCTGTGCATGTGAGCATAATTATACATGTAATTGTCATGTCTTGATGTAATTGAAAAGTTCTCTGTTGCGTTGCATGCTCCCGTACAAATCGTCGCATGCGTTTGTCGTTCTACGCTTGCACCCGAAAATAATTTGGCCATTCGATATTCCCGCGATTGTAGTACAGTCAACTTCGCTTATAACGACATTCGGCGGGGCATGAAAAAGGTGTCCTTATTCGCGAAGTGTCGTTATACCCGAAGTCTCATTATATGTATTACAGTAGGATGGGACTTTGCTCTGGGCATGGCAATTCTGTCGTTATTCGCGAATTGTCGTTATATCCGATGTCGTTATTAGCGAAGTTGACTGTACATTAGATCTACGTGTTCACGCGCCACGAGGTCGAGTCGCTCAGCTCAGTACAACTGGTACATGTATACAGTGGATATGGATCCATGGATCTCATGGAGTACAAGAAAAGACTGCTTGCATGTGCATGCAAGTGTGTTGTGGGCAGCGTGCAGGGAATGGTGGATCGGCGTGTGTCCTAGATCCTGGTAGATCTGCTGTACTGTATGTTGCAGTCTTGGCGCGCATGCGTATTGAAAAGGACCAACGAAGAGAACTCCGGAGCTGCGTACTTTGTACTGCTGCTGTACACATAATGTGACATATGTACGCGCGCCGCATGGCCCTGGATAGAGCATGGTTTCTGCTGGAGAATGGAATAAGCACCTCGTTTGTTGCTGTGGTTGGCCTGCGTTGCCTACTCGTGGATGCTACAGGCAGACGTGCAGAACTCCATCTGGAGTTCACCGAGGCACCCGGCTTCCTTGTGCCATAGGATTTGTCTCCTTGGTTTGTTGTAGAAGAAACCATTGAACTTCTGATACAAGTGTCGCTTTCTTGGCAACATCTCCGCGAGAAGAGAGCAAATTAGCCTGGCGGGCTTGCAGGAGTTATGGGTTGCTCTTGCAGTACAAGTAGTGGAGGACGCAGGTGCTCGCATACTCCTCGTGCGTTGGGTGGAACTAAGTCCACAGCACAGTCTTTGCTGACTGACAAAAACGCTGTCCACAGTGCTCACAAACGCCATGGCAAGATGATGAAAGTCCTCATCACAGGCACGGAGCAGACTGGCAAGACCACTGTATCCAAGGCCATGAAAATCGCTCTCTCAGGAGGGCTGACCAAGGAGGAAATGGATCCCATACGGTCGCAAATACATGCTAACTTATTACAGATCATGCAGACGAGTGTAGCGTATATGGAAGAGTTAAAAATGTCTTTCGCTGACAGCAGTCTAACAGGTCGTTGTAAAAACCTGCAGGAGGAAGTAGTGGGTCCAACTGGTCATCTGGACAGCACTGTTTTCAATTTGATAGAGGATCTGTGGAAGGACAGTCAGGTGAAGGAGTGCTTTGAGAAAGTACGCACCGCACATCAGTTCATTAGTGATGGCGCTGAATATCTTCTGACAAATATTCAGCGCTACAGAGCGGAGAAGTTTGACTTGACGGACAGTGATATTCTGAATGTCCATTTGTTTCACACTGATATCTCTGAGCTGTACTTTACGTTTTGGAAGTACGAATATGCCATGTACGATTTCAGCAGCCACAGTCCATTGAACGAAATTCTATTTTCCAAGTTCAACAACGTGGAGTTTGTAGTGTTTTGTGCCTCGCTAGCTGACTACGATGTAGAAGATGAAGAGAGCAGTGATGCAGTTGGTTCCAGTACTGATGAAGCATCATCGCCTAGTCCGCGCACAACTAATCGTATGCATAAAAGCCTGGAGCTGTTCGATCGTTTCTGCCAGTCCTCCTTCATCCAGAACACGTTTGTCTGGCTTATTCTGAACAAGAAGGATTTGTTCCGACACAAGCTTATTCACACCCCGCTCACTGTGTGCTTTCCAGACTACAAAGGAAAGAGGACAGATGCACCGGCAGCATGCAATTACATTAAACAGAAGTTCCGGTCGCTCCACCCCAGGAGGAATGACCTGTTTGTGTATGTTATGTGTGCCACGGACGTCTCTGGCTTGCCCAAGTTCAAGAAAGCCTTTGAAAGGGCATCGGAGTGCCGCAGCTTGGATGATTATGGTCTTCTTGCTAGTTGAGGTGAGTGCTGTTGCCAAGATCACCTTGCTGTCCTTCAGTTTCTTAGTTTTGTCTTCTGTCTGCAAATCAACCTACCATTGTGTATGTTGTAGCTTGCAGCATACCTCTCTCTCTCTCTCTCTCTCTCTCTCTCTAACCGCGCCGCAATGAACACTTGCACTGGCAATCAGTCATTTGCATTGTTAGCTTGGCCCCACTGATTGTTGCAGTGCTGGTCTTCTTCAACCAAAGTGGCTTGGCACGTTTTTTGAGCTGTGGTCATCGTGCCTGTGTGTCCTATAGTTTTCGCTATTCCCAGTATTATACTCCCGTCGTCCGATATCGGCCTTGTATGAGTGTCCTCGCTGCTCCTATTACCCCTGTTTGTCTTTCGCCACAGTATACAAGTCCTATCCTGTTCTTATTTGCTGCTCAGATGTGGCTATGCACACCTTCAGCAGTAGCTTGCTATCAGTTGCCATGCACTAGCCAGTAGTCACACGGCAGCACACTTGTCCTGCACCTGCTGTGTATGTAAAGTTATACGCCATGCTTTTCTCGTCTTCAGCACTCTTGTCTGCCCTCAGTATCGGCTGCAGGGTCACCATGACCCTACTTGTTTCTACTCTTATTTCTGCTTTTACTAACTTCTGTGCTGCCTGTTTGGCTGGTCATTTACAACTATACGTAGAGTTGTCCTAAACCCAGCTTAGTTTCTTCTAGAACGGTATGTTACTAGTGGCAGACTGTTTCCAGTGTCTGTATTGAATGTAACTATAGCCGGTTCTACTCACTTCCTCCCCATTCCCATTTCTGTGGCCTTTTTTATTCTAGCTTCTTGTAGATATCTGGGCCTTGACTTTTGTAATCTGCCCGCATGGCTGGTTCCCTGCTTTTATGCTTCTTGTATGGCCAGGCCAGCGACCTTTGCCTTGTAGTCAGCTAGTATGTTAGGCGGTGGCCGTAGGGCGACTGCCTAAGTTTGGCAGTGGGCCACAAACATAACGTATCAGTTTGTGCAGGCGAGCGTCGTTCTCTCTTCAACCATGATATCTTATAATCTGCCAAGCGGCATACGTGCATTATGTAATAGTAATTTAGTGTAACCCAAGACCTGGTGTCTCCACTGCCATACTACATGGCTGTAGTACGGTCTGTAGTCCGGTACGAATTGTGTGTGAGCATGTGTGTGTGTGTGTGTGTGCGCGCGCGCGCGCGCGATAATGGTGGTGTTGGATGAGGGTTTGAGTTCTCTCCAAGTTCATTTCCCCACTGCAATATTCCACTTTTGTTCTAACCATACTGTTTCAACTTTCAACACAACCAATGCTAACATTACTTCAGTAGTCTTATTGCGAGGCGTGCCTTCTGCTCTTACTACACACTCAGTACCAGTGTACACAACCCACAAAACAACTAAAACAACAAGCGATACCCATACGCTTCGGCCAGTGGCCGGAGCATTTGAGGTATCACTGGCTGTTTTTGTTGGTCTGGAGCTGTCCGTTGAGCACGTGCTAGGCTACAAGTCATGGTGCATTGTTCACCTGGCACGAGGCCATTTAATGATTATGCTGTTGATAGTAGCCTGCAATGCATGGGAAGCGATGTGCGGTTCTACCCAGGTAACGACACGTTACGTCAACCCTGGTTTGGAAGATCTGTAACTAGTCTACAGTAGTTGTAGCAAGAGTTCATAACCCCCAAACAGCAAAGGGGGTTATGAACTCTTGGTTGTAACTGCCTGTGTAGTGTGGTCCGGGCCTGGGTTGTAGCAGGAGTACATGAATACTACCGGGTTTCGTACTCTTGGTTGTAGTCCCTATGACTGTAACTGTAAGAGTAGATAACCGCCAGAGTTATCTACTCTTGCTGAAACCAAGGGTATAATTATAACTCCCAGGGGTTATTGTACTCTTGCTGTAACGTTGGACCTGCGACATGCTGACCCAAGCATAGTCCAGATTGGCAATGGCAAACACGAATGTGGCAGAGTTTCTCCCAACTCAGTTACTCCCTTGCGCCTTTACTTACCCCCCCCCCCCCCCTCTCTCCCTGCCCTGCATGGGCGGATTGCGCGTTGGCGATGTTAGCATGCCAGCAGCAGCAACACACGCGTACAGACACACGCACGCATGCGCGCACACACACACACAGACAACAACAACAACAAACGTTGTAGTCCCCTATGTTCTCTTGCCGCTGCTGTTGTTGTTGTTGTTGTTGTTGTTGTTGTTGTTGTTGTTGTTGTTGTTGTTGTTCTCTTCCATTCTATTGTAGGCGCATGTGCACTTTCATGAAACCCCCCAAAAAAACAAAAAAAACACAGAAACATGTTCCTCCTTGTAGATCCTTCACGGTTGAGTAAGCGGTCACGTGCTCATTTACCGCCTGTTTGGACTTTGGGCCCCAGGTAGGCCCAAACAGATCCTGCCGGCAATTCTTTCGGCAAAATATCGAGGGATTGAAAGAGCGGAAATTGCCGGCAAAATCGGAGCAAAATATCGAGATGTTGGGTAAAATCGATGCCTGATACTTGGATTTCCTTGTTTCTTACCCATTCAGCATGATACGCTGCCCAGGACGAGATCATGTCACCGAAATATCACTGGGATTCACTGTGGATCGACATGATTTTGGAAGAACTCAGGGACACGTGCGAGGAAACCTGTGTTGAGAAACCGACCTTGCGATTTTTATGAAACGTTGTACGGGATTGTACGGGAAGTGGATAAAATACGCGTTTCTCCGGAGCAAAATGGAGCAGAATATCGAGTTTCTTGTGCCAGGCTCGGCAAAATATCGAAGATTTCGCAGCAACATTTTGCGGCAAATAATTAATTATCGAGGCGAGCGGAGCAGAATCTGTCTGGGCCTAGTAGGCCCAGACAGATCCTGCCGGCAATTCTTTGGGCAAAATATCGAAGAATTGAAAGAGCGGAAATTGCCGGCAAAATCGGAGCAAAATATCGAGATGTTGGGAAAATCGATGCTTGATACTTGGATTTCCTTGTTTCTTACCCGTTCAGCAGGATACACTGCCCAGGACGAGATTATGTCACCGAAATATCTCTGGGATTCACTGTGGATCGACTTGATTTTGGAAGAACTCAGGGATACGTGCGTTGAAACCCGTGTTGAGAAACCGACCCTGCGATTTTTTATCAAACGTTGTACGGGACTGTACGGGAAGTGGATATACCGTATTTCCACAAATAGTAGGCTGGTCTACTATTTTTTCAACCTCGTCCTAACCCGGCCTTATAATCGAGGACGGTCTTGTATTCGAGGACGGTCTTTATTCTTTCAACCCAGTTTGACCCCGGTCTTCTATTTCTCGCCACACAGTTTTACCCCCGTTCTTCCATTTTCTTCTACACAGTTTGAGCACGGTCTTCTATTTTTTTTCCCTCAGTTTGAGCACGGTGTTCCATTTTTAACACAAGAACAAGAAGCGGTTGGGTGGGCATCTGTGCCCGAGTGGTTTCGGCACCCTAGTTTTTGTCTTCTTTTCGCATATTTCTTCTTTTTCTGAAACTGTTATGGTCTTTTGTATCTATTCGAAGTGGCTTATGCGAACATTTTTGGCTGGTTTGCATGATTTGCATGCCCATTAATGCAGCTGCAGGCCATGCTGATGTCTACGCGAACAAGCACATAATAATAACTAATAACAAGAGTACATAACCCAATACAAAGACTCATTTAGTAGGCCCGGTCTAAATCGGAGACGGTCTTTTATTTTTTCAATCGCCCCCTGCCCCGGCCTTGTATACGAGGAAGGCGTTGTATACGAGGACGGCCTTTTATTTGGGGGAATACGGTAATACACGTTTTTCCGGAGCAAAATGGAGCAAAATCGAGTTTCTTGTGCCAGGCTCGGCAAAATATCGAAGATTTCGCAGCAATATTTTGCCGCAAGATATCGAGGCGACCGGAGCAGAATCTGTCTGGGCCTACATAGTGACCAGGCGACTGGTGCATGGTGTACGCATGAGCACGTGACCACTTGCTCAACCGTGTTCGATTGGGAATAAGGGCCGAACGCTGCATCGCAGCCTTTTCGAACCAAAACCAGTCGACTCAGCGGCCAAAAGATTCGTACAACATATGATATGGATCAATCGCGGTCATCCGTGCTTTTATAAGAACGAAACGGCGTTTTTAGTGACTTTTTCCATACAAATCCCTATCTACAATGTAGTAGGGCGCAGTCACCCAGTTTCGGTGGAAGTGCGCGAGTTCGATTGGGAATAAAAGGAGGAAGGGAGCGTCTCAGTTTCCTCGGACCAAGACCATTCGACTTAGCACCCCGAAGACTACATGTATACAACTGGTGAAAAATTTGATTTTAGCGTATACTTTCCCTCTAACAACATACAAAACGTATCTCACAAAATAGCAATACGTTTGCAAAGTAATTTTTTTATTAGTTGAACTTTTGTACTGTATGCGAATCCTCCTTTTCACCATAATTATGTGGAGGTTAATCCATGTATGGAACGAATGGGGTGGGAAGTTTTTGCCCATACATGTAGATGGATAAATTGTTACCCTTGTAATCATTACTACATTTTTTAGGCATCTATATGTGGGAATGTAAGAAAGTCTGAAGACAAAAAAAATTGTTGTCACCAGTACCGGTATACCAAGAGTACCAGGATGTACTCTTGCCAGTAGATCTACCAGTACCACCCGGACTACACTACACTGGCAGTCTGTGGCAGATGCATGCGTGGCCATAAATGCTCGAAAAGCAGGTTGAACCGTTGAGGAGTCAGAGAGAGGAGCCACCACCCCCTCTGCACAGCAGCCTAACCATGCTAACCCCTCCTCGTCTCTGGCCCACTCTGATGCTGATAGTGACGAAGACAGAGCGATGGCCTTACTGGCTGACTGCGCTAAGGCCACAGAAACGCAGGCAATAACAGCAAACGGCATGGAAGTTCGACCTCCCCCTCAGCAGAAACCGAATTCACCGAAGTCTGTGGAAGAAAGACGACGAGAAGGGATCCAGCAAGCAGAACACTTGGCGTTTATAAATCTTAGTAACACGTTATATAAGGACATTTTGTTTTTGGGAACTCTAGCTATAGGTTTACATTTGTTGTGCTGCTTATGTCGACACCCTTAAGCGTCTCTTAATCCCCTAGCACCCACCTTTTTCCCCTCTAGTGTACACAGTCGACATCTCTCCCCTGGGGCTGGCGCTGACATGCCAGGTCCCAGTGCTCATGGCTCTTGTACCCAGAATAACCCTTCTGCCCCTGCTCACAGCATTACCCCACTGACACAGTCCTTCATAAGACTTGGCTTTTTGAATGTTTGTAGTCTTCGAAACAAAGTAGTTGAGGTCGCTGATATCCTGCAGCAAAACAACTTCGACATATTTGGCGTCGCAGAAACCTGGCTTGGCAGCACAACGTCAGACAGTGATATTGATATACCAGGTTACTGTGTGATACGGCACGATCGTCCAGTGCGCAGAGGTGGCGGTGTATGCTTCTATTTCCGTTCCGGACTCCAGGTAAAACCGCGCCCAGAGCTTTCCGACGCTAACATTGAATCGTCCTGGAGCGAAGTCAAAGGGCGATGAAGGCGACAACTAGTTGGGTGCTTTTACCGGCCACCTGACGAGCCCATCTCGTGCTGGCAGAATTTTGAAGAGCAGTTGCACAGGGCTTTCGTGGACAACTCAAGCATCACAGTCATTGGCGATTTTAACGTTAATGTTTCAACCCACTACCCACCTTGTCCTATCGCCCGGAAATTTCGCGAACTTACTTTGCAACTGCTACGGCTTCACTAATCACGTTCAGGCTCCGACTCGTATTTCACCGGCGTGCCCATCTGGTACAACTATCGATCTCATTCTTTCAGCCAGTCAAGACATCAGTGAGTGCCACGTCCTGCCTAAGGCTGCCTTTGACCATTAGCGACCACTTTGGGATTGAGGCCAACCTGCACCTTCAGGTTTCTCGCAGCGTGTCACCTCAGGCAGTAGAGCGGGTCCGAGCTCAGAGAAATACTCGGTCGGTGAACCTCTGCGAATTCCGTCGGGATGTCAGCTCCGCAGGGCTGGATGATTTTACTAACACGCGGGATGTGGACACCATGTGGGCGTCGTGGCACACCAAGTTCTTGGCTGTCGTGGACAAGCATGCACCCATCCGCTATGTATCCTCCAATCGCAAATCCCATCCGCCCTGGTCCGACAGAGAGCTCCACAAGCTCAACCAACGTAACAACCAGCTACACCG